GACTTTTTCTTGGTCCAATTTCTTATGGACTGTTTAGTGCATGTTCTCGTCACGCCACAGAAAGACTCTAGACCTATAAGGCGATTGGCCGCACCATGTCCAGCTAGCTCATCCGCCTATTCATCTCCTTTGTGTCTTTCATGTCCGGGTATCCAGAGCAATGTTTCCTTGTTTCGGTTTCCCAACTCTTTGAGAGTGTTCACGCAACCCGATACCCTTAGTAGTAGTCGATATTTGCGATGAAGTCTGAGCAGATGATGGCGATCGACTGATTTGCAGTCTCTTACTTACTTCAGCCTGAAATATTGTTGCAATATTTCCTAGACTTATAGAGATCTCAGTTTTTGGTCTTGCTCCATATATCCCAGCTCCAGCTACGTCTGTGAACCTGTAGCTTTTATCGTGTATAGGAGGTCCCTTGATTTTTGCTGTTATTTTCGACAAATGTTTCGCCTATACTTTCGAATCGAGCAGGTTTTTCGAAAATCGTCTGGGGCATACTTAGGAAACAACCTGGATAATTTTAAAATTTGTTTCGAAAGAATTAAAAATATCTGTAGACAATACCCCTTAGATGTTGTATAGATCCGCTCTTGGATGGGTGGAGATAGGCGAGAAACAATTTGTATGGCGATTACGGATTAATTTAATTAACTCCATATTTGCGGTGCAAAGAATTGTCAGCATCAATTTGATCGATGTATAAGAGAATTATCGTCGAATCAACTGGATATCTCGCGTATTTTTAGACACCCTCAATTCTGGAAATTTGGTCTCAAGGGTATTTCTGTCAGGGCCATATCACGATGTATATAAAAATGATTAATTTGCAATCGCTTAGGAAATCAAACGGCATAGAAACAACAAACACAAGAATTGAGTCAAGTGGATTCCCTCGTCACCTCACGCATTCACTTCATAGTAAACGCGCCCGTTTTTTGTTCCGTAAAGTATAAGTAGGAACTTTCCTTTAGTCGAAAAGAACGCTAGTTTCACTTTTACAAGTACACATTTGACTTAAAATTTAAGGAAAAGTTACGGCACTTCCTGTATTGAGGGCTGTAGCCGACCGCCCTCGGGCATCGAGTTTCGGTTATGACATCACATGACACAAATTCGGCTTCTGGGCCTCGGCACTGACACTGACGGACGACGCGACGGTCATGCTTATTCCGCTAATTTTTCAAAGGTGGATGATTAACGGTTAAATACACTATACAAAACGTTTATGCTTTGGCATGCATTAACATTTATTAGGTATTAAATCCACACGCGATTGATCCCACAGTGGTTCAAAAGTCCTAAAGGATGTCCAAAATTAGAAGGATTCACTGAATTTTACAAAACAACTACTTCTACGTTTTCCAGGTCGCTGATTACGAATATGATATCCATTTGTCAAAGATCAAAATTGCGGATATAATATGGTACCTAGTCATTTTTGAAAAAAATATTTTGATCGCGCTCAAAATCAAGTTTCAAGTCTTTTTAAGATAGCTAATAACAGTAATAACGAATGTTTGCTAAAAATTTGTGGATTGCGCTTAAATTAGTTTTATATGTTTTCAGGGTATAATTTATGTATTACATTATAATGTCACATATTTGCCAAGCTTGCAGTCAGCTGCAGCCAAAATTGATATATTTCTTAACTAGATGTGCTACTCAGAACGAACTCTAATGGACTTTTTTTATTTTCACTAATTACTTTCAATTATAGTTTTTGTATAGTGTCATGTCGATTGGCAAGTAATATGGGGTTGTCCAAAACGGACCCAGGAAAGTAAACGCATATTAAAACAAGAAAGATTGATATTCAAATCAAGTTGGGTACTTTATTTTGAAGGTTCATTTATACCATTTATGTATGAAAAATAATATCGCTCAAATTTTCACCACGACTGGATTTACAGACGTCCACGCGATGGTCGAAATTTTCAATGACATTTTGCAACATGGTCGGTTCTATGGCATTTATCTCGGCAATGATGTTGTTTTTGAGTTCTTGGAGGGTGGCTGGTTTGTTGACGTAGACTTTGCTTTTCAAATATCCCCATAAAAAGAAGTCCAAGGGAGTCAAATCGCACGATATTGGTGGCCATGGCACATTTCCTCTGCGCGAAATCACGCGATAACCGAAGAAGGACTGCAATCGATGGATATTGGCGTTGGTTGTGTGGCATGTTGCACCGTCTTGTTGGAAATAAACATCGTCCATATACATTCCTTCAAGTTGCGGCAAAAAATAGTCTTCTATCATCACATGATATCGCTCAGAATTGACGGTAACGGCGTCCCCGGCCGCATTTTCGAAAAAGTAAGGTCCGATGATGCCTTTTGACCACAATGCACACCACAGTCACTTTTTGAGGATGCATCGGCTGCTCTTGATACTCACGGGGATTTTCGTTCGCCCAGATGCGGCAGTTTTGCTTGTTTACCGTCCCATTCAAAGTGAAATGCGCTTCGTCGCTGAACATGATTTTTGATGAAAAATTGGCATCAATTTGGCGGTGTTCAAGGAGCCAATCTGAGAACGTTCGGCGCGAAAAATGGTCGGCCCGTCGCAGCTCTTGCGTCAATTGGATCTTGTAGGCGTGTACATTCAAATCCTTGTGGAGAATGCGGAGCAAACTGGTTCTCGAAATGCCCAATTCGGATCGTCTCTCTCGTGTGCGATGTTTTTCTGGAGCTGATACGCCTGTATTTGTACCCCTAGGTACAATACAGTATTTGTAAATTGATGGTCTGACCCATTTTTTATCTAATTAGTAAATACGGAGTAAAGCATCGTCTGTAAATGCCGCTAAGCGAGGGTAGCTGGTGTCAACTGACGTCATTACTCAGACTCACGCTCCAACAAGATAATTCCCCAAATAAGAAACTTCTGGGAAGCGTAACTTTGCCATCTTTTAAGATGGTCAAAAAATGTCAGTGCGACTTTACTTAGACAATAATTTAAATGCGCTTCAAAAAATATTAAACTTTCCCTTTGGGCATTATACACTAAAGCGGGGGAACTCTTGTCACGTCACGAGATATCCAGCAAAGTGACAACTTATAATTTGGTATGTATTTCACGTCAGATACCCGTGCTTGTCAATCCGGCAATTTATATTGCTACGTGAGTTTAGAATAGTTGAACGTTTATGGTGAATAGTCTGAGTTGGGTTGCCTGGCCGGCATTTGTCGATTTTCGTAGTAACAAAATTAAAAATTCTCACAGTGACAATTCTTTCTTCTCCTATGCATGAGAATAAATTATTAGGAACTAGTGATATGATTTTTCAACTTTTCTTACACCAAAGCGGCCGCGCAGGCAGAAGCCTAAGTGCCAAGACACGCGGATGCTCTGAGAATCCCAAAGAAACTTTGTCAATCCCATTTTTGAACTGCCTAAGGTTAGTACAACTTGGAAAATATCGAGCGACAAGAGTACGTTCTTATGCCTGAATGTTACTTCCCACATAGTTTAGGAAACCCTTTAAGATCCGAAGATCGACGGTACTCAGGCGTTGGGTGTAGTTTGCAGCAAAGATCTTGACAAGCAATTTGGCCTCAGACGTTGAGTCCGTACAATCATTCCATACTGCCACGTTGGTGGAAGGCTATTCTGTGAGAAGTTTCCTTCATTGTGCTTGGCCAATATCCAAAATACCGACTACCATTGCGCTGCAACATTACCCTATGCCTAACTTTTGCTGGCCGCTTCGTTATATTTGTTTCTGGTCGGATTTTGTAAGAAGGTTCTGTATGCCTTGAAATTCAGCTAACGAGCAGAGTGTCCCACGATTTGTTGAACCAGCCATTGGAACCTAGATTAGGCACTTTTACTGTATGAGGGATGTATTCCTCCACCCCGACGTGGATAATTTCGGTTATCAATGAACAGACAGCGAAACAAAAATCTCTCCAAAGAAATGTGGAGAAGTCTCTCAGCCCCTTCCAGTCGGCATGTCCGTAATGCCAAATTTTGTGCCCTGGGTGAGTTTATGCTGCCACAGCTGGTTCTGACCGAAACGTAACCTCCACATCGCCATGACCAGAGTTACCCAGAGAAAAGATGCGTGGTCACTAAGATATCCAGCGGGCTACAGGCGTGTGACGAAACGCGTGGGAAAAGTACGTCTCTTAGACAAGGTCTGTACGTCTCGTCACCAGCTGGGTCAGTCCTTGAGTAATAGCAAACGCCTCAACTGCACGACCTGCTGCATCAGACTTGTTTGATCCCATCCAGAGCTCATTATGGCCATTGAAATCACCGCGAACTGCCTCTGAAGCGGGGTAACTGATACTCAGGTAGTGGATAATCACAGCGAGGTATTCAAGTACGTCATCCCAGTTATGGTCTGAGGGAGAGCTATTTGGGGTATGTTTTGCAGTTGAGGCAAAGCCACAGAATTTCCTTCCGGTCTGATTCCAAAGAGACATCTCTGGAGCAGGAAAGACTGCCGCGGACAAAAGCCACAACTCCCCCGTTCTTTCTCAGATCGGAGTGCACCTCCTAATTTGGGAAGATAAGATGATTAATCGGTGCCCAATCTGAGATTTTTATCCCGCCAAGAAGAGCATGGTCAACCGATTAGATTGCAGGTAGTGATGAACATCACCAGTGTTACAGTTAATCCCGAGATGTTCGTGAAACAAATTTTATCATCGATGCTATTCCCTCGAGTCCACCCTCCATCCGGACAGTCCTAGAATGGAGTGAGTTTACAATCACTTGAACAGGAAGAAGTTGTATACTGAAAACAACTTCCGGAACATTTGCCACGGCCCCACTCAATAGGGCGGAAAATGATCAACATACACAATTTTAGTGCTTTAACTAATCTTTTGCTATAAAGCTATTGGTTACTTGTTACTTGAGCAGCTAGCTTCAAAATGCCCCCATAAAAAACTTAGACCAAAATACAGATTTTTATTTGGTCTGCTGTGATAAAGCTTCTTAGAAATCCATAGATAACATCTCATGGATTAATTGGTATTCCACTAATTTATCATCATTTTAAGTCTGATTTTTTTTGGAAAGATTCATTTCGCGCATCATCTCGTTAAATAAACCACATAATTAACTCGAAAACATTTACTAGCTTTTGTGATTTTTGACAAAATTTAAACAATACGCTGGCAGAAATTACAACATTTTATGGGTTCAACTAAGCTAAAACAAAATTAACGCGAATCAATTTGAACCCTTCAAAACACTGGGAGATTTTGTAAACCTGACTACCATCCTCAAAATGCATACTTAGAGAATAAGCAATAGTTGTGCATACAAAAGCTCAAAATACTTTTTTGCTATGGGCAGTAATATTTTATAACCTAGCAAATTATAATAATCTTAAAAAAATCATATTCACTTTTGGGAATTGGGGAAACAATATAAAGTGCTATTTTTTCTTTTAATTTGCAGTAGAAATGTATATTTAGTAAAAATGCACTGTTCATACACCTATTGTTTCAGATGATATTTTCAGACAATTTTTAAGTACTACTGTAATAGATAATATAAAACATTTTCAAAAATTCGAAATATTAAGGTCAAACAATGAGGATTTAACATAAACATTTTCAGCTATTTTCCAATCTACTCTTTCAATATCCTAATATTTTATATTCAATATGCAAATAAATAGAACAATAATTATTACTATGAGTAAGAGCAACTGTTTCATATATCAAAATACCTGAGGTATAATATCCTTATAAACCCTTCCACCCAAATGTAGTAACCACAGTAAAAAAAACATGTTCATATATTTAAAAAAGTAGTAGTGTGTCATTGAGAGTAATTGGTGGTAATTTAAAGAAAAGACTTTCAATAAGACCTCGATTTTGAGACATTTTACAATTTATTTACAAAAATTAGCTATTTAGATTGTTGCTCATCATCAATAGGTCTGAAGTGATTCAACAGATTTATAGTCCAACTATCTTCAACTCCTTTGGTGAACTCCCTTATGAATCTGTAATTGCTAATGGAGATCTTCTGTTGATATTCTGGTAGCATTCCCATGTTTACAGGGGGTTCCTCCCCTTTAGATCTCATACTATCCAAGCCTTTCAAAGTGTGATATACCATTGTTATTTCTACAAAACGTTTTTGTTCTTTGCCTTCCTCTTCATTGAATATTATTCCTACCTATAAAGAAATGACCATAGTTGTTGCAGAATAAAAGATGACCCAAAATTTAAGTAATATTTGAATAAAATAGGAAACCCAGTGTTTTCTTTAGGTTGCTAATTTTTTATTGAATCAAAGTACATAAACATGTTTACGCATGCAATAGCACATCATGCAAATCACCTCCTTGACTTTGCTACCAAATATACACTCTTTTGTAGAAACATTAACATTTTGCATAAATATGGCTGAATATATCACTACTGGATAATATGCAAAATTTTGAGAAAAATAGTGTGTCCCAACAATCCAAGGGAGCTATTTGCCTGATTTTTGATTTATGATTCAAGAAACAAATGAATAACAATCTAAATTTTGTGAGACTACTTGTCAGTGAAAAAAAATATTGTTTTGTCTCAAGCATTTATTTTAATTTGCAATTACCTCAATTGAATAACATTATATGCATGGCCACAAGGAGCAAACAAAAACATTAGTCTACCAATCCTTGATTTTTATTCAATTACATTAACTTGGCATATTTCTTGTAACTAATATAAAAGGGACATATACAAGTTGAGTCATTTATTTTAACAGTGAGTAGATCTTATCAACAGAAATGTTTTTTTCCTTTAACATTTTTGTGGTAAAATTAAAGTAACAAAGTTATAGCCCTTTAGAAGTTTGAGTACCGCCGGTCTCAATAATAAAATTATGTGCTCGTGTTTGGCGACAACGGATATAATCCGCCTTATCGGTTCATCGCATCGGAAACAAAAAAGCGAAAGAATTTGAAACGCTTATCACGATGTTTTTACTACAATTTTATTCAGTTGTATTCAGTCAATGTGTCAGTCGGTAACGCGTGAGTGAATAGTGGTGTTTGTTTCGTGGCTCAAACGAAATAAAAAATGGCACATGTTTACGAAAATGCTGAACTTGTGGACATGATTCTTATTTACGGGGGGGAGTCTTTACAAAATGCTGCTGCGGCATCACGGATTTATGCGGATCGGTTTCCCAATCGAGTGCAACCAACCCCTAGTGCCTTTGTTAATGTAGTACAAAGGGCTCGTGAATCAGGTGACTTAAGACCTCACAGGGGAGGGCATGCCGGCATGCTCCAATACTGCACGATCAAATACAGATCCGCACTGAAATACTTGACGGGAGGACACTTTATAAAACAAGGTAACAGAATTTTTTTGTTTTTACACACATATTGTGGTTTATCTTCCTTCTACAATCATTATCTGAAAATTAATGACTCAACTTCAAAGTCACCCTGTATATTTTCAATATCTACGAATTGATTTTGATGAAATCCAACATTTAGCAATTCTGGAAGTATTTTGACTTTGTTATCTGATATTTTCACATAGGCAAAAATATCAGTGAAAGAATTTTTATAAAAGTTCTTGGAGCTAAAAAAAAGCTACAACCACAATTTTTGATGTAACGAAATTCAAATGTTCTATTTTCGAAAAAAATTTCAATATTTTTATATAAAATAACATATATATATATAGGTGAAAAATTAAAGCTTCCGCCTTTTGTTGGGTACTTCGACAAAATTTAAGCAAAGAGGACTCTTTATACTTTTTTTAATTCTCTCTAGCTTTCAATGGACTTTGCCATCATCATCAGGAGAGTAGTATGTGAGGATGTTGCTAATTTTTGTTTACGTATAGGATGAGGGAAACGTCCAGTAACATGGTGAGAGCTGGATACATGGTACAATGGTTAAAATTATATAAAATATGACAAGACGAGTTAAAGACAGATTAAAAATTATTTAAAAAAAAGTCCATTGAAAGCTAGAGTGAATTAAAAAAAGTATAAAGAGTCCTCTTTGCTTAAATTTTGTCGAAGTACCCAACAAAAGGCGGAAGCTTTAATTTTTCACCTAACTGGTCTTGACGACAATGACCACGTCTCAAGTTATATATATATATATATATATATGTTACAATGTATTTATATAATTTTTATGCCTTAGGCTATAAAAATCTGATTCTCAGTTAAAAGGAATAAAAATACTAACTTGGTATGGAAAACAAAAGTAGATATCATCTTCAGCTATTGCCACTAATTCTCTTTGACTCAGAGAAAGAAGAGGCAAACTTTTTTGTAATATTGGGATTATATCTTTTGTTACTAGTCCCTCCAAAGCTTCCATATTTCCTTCTGACAAGTTTTTAGATACTACCTGAAAACAAACTTTCACAAACTGCTATGCTCTATAACTATGGAAGCATACATTCATCACATCAATCAACACACAAAATGTTAAGGAGTATCATTTTGTTTTATCACACCCACAGATATGCATGAAAAATATGATATTGTCAAACTTTATAACAATTTGCTCGTTTTGCCAATAATTTGGGCATAATTTTTCAGAATGTTTTGCTCTGACAAATAAGTTTATGATTTGAAATTCTAAAAGTATAACATCTGGAAAATTGTAATTTAGCAGTGTTACCTTTTAAAGATACTGCTTTATATATTACTAAATCCATGATAAAATATTACCTCCACAGCCTTTTTCGACCCAAGCACAAACTCTGACAACGAAAAATCATTATCAAAGTAAGGTCTAATGATAAATGTAGCTAATATAAAATTCCTTATCGACTTCAGCAACGAAGGCCATACAATTTTTGGTACATCCGGCATCAAAGGAGGCAGTTTGTTAGACGGTGGGCTAGAGGATTCCTCGCAATAAAACTTTTTCTGGATGAATGCAATACATCTTCCATTGTACGTGAACCATTTTTTGGAGGTTATGTTGGCGAGTGTTGTACATTTGCAAGTCTGAGGTACTCTTCTGCATCCCGTTACATTTCTTAACAAAGGCGATTTTATCAGAGTATTATAACTGGAAGAATTTCGGAAAAATCTATTTGCTAGGTTAACACTCATCATTTCATCTTTATGGACATTTGGCTGTCAGATTGATTGACAGTCAAAATTTCAAATAATTCAAAATCATAGACTAATAATTGACCTAGATGCAAGTCCCTAGTCATGTGCGCCCGCAGAATATTTTTCCCAGAGGGGTCACTGAGTGAGCACCCTACCGAACGGGGCCGTGGCAAATGCTTGTTTCTGAAGATTTCTTGTACCCAGTATACATCTTTTTCTTGTTTACAAGATTGTACCCGCGTTAAGGAATACCTCAGTACCGATTGTCAGGTGGAAGTACAACTCCGCCAGTATTTCAACATTCTGATAGCTTTCTAACAATGGTTTGGCTGATTGCTGCATGTCTGTACTTACCTGGTAATCTCACAGCTTAGATAACAATCAGCTATGAAACTCTCCTGCCAGTGTCAAAAATCGCCTCCAATATGGGCAGAGGAAATCGAATGTAAATTCCCCCAGTATACAACGATGAAAGAGGATTTAGTGCTCAGCAGCAGGCGATGTTGCCACGTACCCTGCCAGCGGAAGCAGATGTGCTTTGCAATCGTAAAATGATAATATTTCGATATGATCTACTCCAATTTGTGTGAATCAATAATAAAAAGGAGTACTTATGTTTCTCTAAAAAGAAGAGACGGATGACTATTTATTTATGAAAAAGCTCCAAAATAAATGGAAGTATTTCCCAAAAATTTAAAAAATACTTTTGCTATGTATTCTATGCTGCTGCCATATAATGAATCCACTGCATTTTCAATCCTAGCTGAGGAGTTGTCAGGTTTGATTGCGGTGTTTTAACAGTGCTTACATTGAAAATGGAAAGCATTGAGAATATCGCAGCAGCAAAGAATGCATGGTAAACGTAAATATTTTTGTTTCGATTGGAAATACTTCCACCAATATGAATTCATTTTACATAATAAATAGTCATCAATACTTCGTCGTTTCTTCTTTGATAAACATGTTCCTTTTCATTATTGGTTCACACAAACTGCACTAGATAATATCAAAATATTATCATTTTACGATTACAAATAATGTCCTCGCCTGCTGCTGAGCACTAAAACCTCTTTCATCGTCATACTGGGGGAATTTACATTCGACATTCTCCGCCAAAACGGCGGCCGTTTTTAGCAATGACAGGAGAGTTTCATAGCTAAGCTGTGGTAATATTCTCCCCTCTGCATATATTTCCCAGCTCATTTTGATTATTGAATCCGTGAGTGAAAGAACAATACACAAATAAACATTTTGAGAAAAACGAAAAAACAATTTTGAAGCTAAATCATGGGTTACGCAGCCTAATCATGTATTGTGAACTTACAGAACTCATGGTAACCGATAATACCTACATAAATTTAAAAACAAATTACTGCACGAAAGATATTTGAAGAAATATGACTATACAGTTCTTTCACTCAATTGAAGTAAAAATGTTTGAAAATAATTTTCTAACCGTATTGATTTATATTTAACAAACTTATAAAGTCCTGTTATTCAGAATCTTCAGTTTTTACTTTTCAAGAAACAATATGGTAGTAAAACTTAAGGGATTCATCAGAAAAGTAACGTAAAAGTTTCTTCAAATCAGCTATTTTCTTCGAGTCAAGCTATTGAGTATGCATTTCCTATACGTAAATGTGGATTAGCATTGGGTTTGATTAACTTGAAAGTGTATGACAGTTTCTAGTCGGAATATATCCTGGAAACCTATAGCGTCACTAGTGTATGGCTTCGTTCCAACAAAGAAGTGTACCGTACAGTGAACCGTCATGAGCGTGCGCAGTACGTTTTTAGTGTCACTTAAAACGTACTGTACGGTACACGGCTTTGTTGGAACGAAGTCTATGTAAACTGACTGCGTACTGACAAATGGTGAAATTAACTTGTTGTCCATCAGCTTAACTTTTCTTAAAAAATTGCGGCTACCAGTTTTTAAAATTAATGATACCGTTATATCTAATGGTAGTAAGTGAAAATGACAACCGCTTTCAGAAACTTGGTATCATTTGCTCATATTCTTCAGGAATATAACTACAAATATTGGCGATCAGATCTTCTTATCACCCTTTTAACAGTTCCGAAATCCCTATCACAGGGCAAAAGAAATGGCCACGGACTGGAAAGTAATTAACTACTTTCTTGCTGCTGTGAGCGTCATTAGAAACGTACCATTGTGTGGTTGCAATTTTGTCCAGGTCACCCGTCGCAAAATAAGTGATTTCTGTTATTCACTTGGCAACGTTTACGGCATAATATGGCAGTTGAGTGGAAGAACGGTACATGTATTCAAAATCCACGGGAAGCGAGATATTTTTTTTTGAACGAATAGCATAGTCAAAGTGACACGCAGATCATCCGATTTCAAGAACAAAGATGGAGAATAAGGATACTGTTTCTGCTAGAGTTTAGAACATATCTCTTCTCTAGCTCACATATCATCTCTTTGAGATTCTACCATATCCTCCATCTCCCCAGCTGTTTTTGATAATCATTAATCTGTCAAGAAGAGCAATCACCTAATCACAAATATCACAAAAGAAAAATCGGGGTGGTTAGTGGTCCCATTCTGAACGATTATCAAATTATAAACCATAAATATAGTGTGTGAAAGTCGACTAGTATTAAAAAGATAAAAAGTGTGTGGTTATTAGCAGTGTGAATTCTCCTTTGTCTCAATTATAAATACATCTTGGTAGCACGCGAACTTGAAAGCAGAGCTTTCATCTTTTGTCCCGTTTTGATCCTTGACTGTATTTTTAACGTAGCTCAATCCAAATGGCGTCTCGATAATTGAAACTGAACATTTGACAAAGACTGATCACTAAAAGAGTATTTTTGGACAATCTTCGTGATTGTGAAACAATAATGGCGAACACAAAAGCAACTAGTAGTGCGTTACGAGCTTTGGCTGTCGAATACAAGAGTCTGCAAGAGGAGCCCGTGGAAGGTTTTTGTGTGAAACTTGTGAATGAGGACAATCTGTTTGAATGGGAGGTCGCTATTTTTGGACCTCCTGATACCTTGTATATGGGTGGCTGTTTTAAGGTATGTTGCAAAATGTGAAAGTTGTCTTCAATGCACGTTGTTGCTTATTGTTGTAACTAATGTCATGGCTAACAAAGTGTGTTTAGCAATTTGATTTGAAGGCCTACTCTTATACAGAAGATTACATTTTCAATACCTTTGACATGTTTTGCAGCCATGTAATGCTATGCACCTTCCATATACAAATGATAAAAATGTCTTTGATCAGTTGATTTTGTTTATTTCTAAGACTTTTATAAAACTATACTTAGTTAGCCTCTTATCTCAAAGTAACTCTGTAACTTAAATTGGCTGAGCTAACTCATCTTCTTAAGGCCTTGACATTTATTTTAGCTGTTGATCCTCTGTTAAACTTATCATTACCTGTCCTGCGGTCTTAGATGGGGTAAAGTTTCCTTGATAGGCCTATCCTGTCCCTAGGCATAAACTGCATCCTTAGGCAAATTGTTAGGTTTTGTCTTTCAATTTCTCTTCTCTTTTAGGTGAAAAACTAAGACCATTTAAGATATACCAGACTAAAAGTTGATTTTCTTTTTAATCCTATTTTTTATTGGTACTTTTAAATGAAACAGTTTTTTGCTTAACTATCAACAGTTATCACACAATATGATTATCTGTATACTTGGACATTTTACGAACCTAGATTCTGACTGCATAGCTTAGTCATAGAGCAAAAAACTCTAACATACCAACTCAACTGCTAGAAACTTTTTTGTTGATCTTATGAGATGTAGAGCAGTAGGAAAACTGTTTTCATTTATTTGCCTTCAAAAGTTATGAGGAATTTTTGTAGCAATAGTCAGTTTTGTATCTAGAATAACATTTTCTCAGCATTAACTTACTTAAAGGCTGTTTTTGTTTTAATATACAACTTTTTTTATTCTCAAAACTGTCTTGTGGAACTAAAAACATGATGTGACACTGGATTTAGCATATATACATGTCGCTTATTATAATAGAAAACCCCAGAAAATCAATTCTCCTCAAAACCTTGACCCTTTGTGATAATTTACCAATGCAATATCTCTTTTATTCCTGCATTGAGAATACAAAATAGGTGCAAGATGTTTTGTTCACGTTTTGAATTTTAATAGGTTCACATCTTGTATCTATAGACACTTAACTTCTTTTACTCAACCCCTTAAATATCATAGCTCATTTATTTTTGTAGATATCAATAGGACATTTGGCCATATGAAAGATATGGTCTTTAGACTTGCATGTTTCCCAAAGATTCACTGATGAAAATATAACATATTTTGTGGAAAAAATCTTGGGATATATACTATAAAAAAAATGTTTATGCAATCATGTATTATAATTTTTAGTACAAGTTTCACTATAAAATACTAGCAAGTAAATTTAAATTATTTTTGTTGCAGGCTAGAATGAAATTCCCTCCAGATTATCCATACTCACCACCATCAATAAGGTTTTTGACAAAAGTATGGCATCCAAATGTTTATGAGGTAAGTTGAAAGATATTTCCATACATGCCAATGGGATATTTCTAAATTTTACCATGATGTTTTACTCATTTCTATTTGATATTCTTCCAAAGCTGCGTAAAAGTTTATATAATTTTTCAGTGACGATGCAATCACTAACTCTATTCAGTTCTATATGTAAATATTTTCAGAGTTTATTCACCTACCATTATTATAATATTTGTTTAGGTACTACAGCTTTGTGTTGCACTCTCAGTAAACCAAAAATTTTAAAACTGATTTTGTATTCCAGAATGGAGACCTTTGCATCAGTATTCTCCACCCTCCAGTTGATGATCCACAGTCCGGTGAACTACCCTGTGAACGCTGGAACCCCACACAGAATGTTCGTACCATTCTGCTTTCTGTTATTTCTTTGCTCAATGAGCCAAACACATTCAGTCCTGCCAATGTAGATGCTTCAGTTATGTACAGGCGTTGGAGGGAATCTAAGGGCACTGATAAGGAGTATGAAAATATCATCAGGTACTTTATAGTTATACATCCTTATTTTACTATTAATACATTACTTTGCATACTGTCAAACTGATAATCTCTATATGGAGTATTAGATATGTCAAGAAAATTGTACACATTGAAAAAATTATTTGAAGGAATTGAGAACTACAGAATTTCAGCCATTGTAATGAGTGCATAAGATGATCCAATATTTTCAAGGAAGTTTGGAATATTTTGATCATAGTAACATACTTGTCATCCAGCATTACAACAAAAAAGGCATAACTAAGAGTGTAGTTTAGATAAAAATATAAAATTGATCATGAGAATATTCCCAGCATTCTGCGTTCTAGAAGTGCAACATTTTTGCAGGTGTCCCAGTTTAGTCAAGCAGAATGACACCATACAGTATTTTTTTGTTTTGTAAGCTAGCCCACAAACCAGCAAGTGAACAAAACTAATCAAAGTTGAACCACACATTTTTTGAGCAGCAATCAAAATTAGCAATTAATTTTCTAAATCAATTTAGTAATTCCTAATATCCTAATTAACAATGTGAAAGCTCTTCTCTAACTGACACACTTTTACCACTTTTTGTCATCTTACTTTTTTCTTATCTTTCTCTAGGGCATCGATTTCTGATAAACCAACTACAGTATATTCAGATAAGAGATAGACCGGATGTAAACAAAAGGTTCGGGTGATTTTCACGCTAACGCCGCCGTCTCGACATAAACAGGAGCCCTCATTGGTCAATTCGCAATTAAATGCCTATGCCGAGCGGCAGAGCAGTCGTATCAAGGCAGAGTCACATTCAGGTTCAGACGTGTTACGTATGTCGTGTGCATCATTGCAATTTGATATTTCTTTGGACGTTTCCGTTTGTTATCTTATTAAGTTGTTGAGTTTGTCGTTGTTATTGTTATACCTTGTTATTGATTGTTATGGTTATCAACTGCTTACGCAAAATGCCCAGTAGTACAGATACTGCCGATGAAGTTGTAAACTCCTGAAGTCCACCTAGGAAACGCTCTAAAAAAAGACACCTGAGTGCAGAAATGAAAGAGGTCATTTTGAATATATATAAGATCGAGCGCGAGAAGAACGTGGCATCAACCATCAAAGAAATTGTTGTGAAGGTTTCTCACAAAGTTGGGGTGTGTCGCGCATCAGTGTTTAATGTGTTAAGACAATACAAAAAAAATCCCACCTTTTCTGAGCCAGTAAATATCGCAAAAGTATTGTTAAATCATTGGATGAAGCTGATAAGCATGCGATTAGGAGGAAAGTGCATGAATTCTTCTTTAGGAATGAAATACCTACTATAGATAAAGTACTGCAGGAGGTAAATGGAGATACAACGTTGCCAAATTTGAAACGATCAACTTTCCATGCGTTACTGAAGCATTTAAATTTCAAATGGAAAAAACGGGGTCGTAATAGTTTACTACTGGATAGAGAAGAAATTGTGCTATGGAGGAGGGATTATTTAACAAAAATTGGGAAATATAGAAATCAAAACAGGAAGATTTATTACCTTGATGAAACGTGGGTAAACGCAGGACACACTACAAGTAAAGTATGGGTTGATGATTCTGTAACTTCATCCAGGAGGGCCTTTCTAGATGGACTGTCCACCGGATTAAAAAATCCAGCAGGTAAATACGAGTAATAGACAACAATCGGATGTTTTTCAAACCTTGGGAACAAGGTTCTAAACATTAATTCCAGGGGGCAGATAAAACATATTACAAGTAACAAAACTTTTATAACTTTCGATAAAATGCGTGGATGTTTTATTGTCATTTTCATTTGTTAGAACTTTTTTAAGCCATGTTTTTATGTGTTTTCGATATTTCAATAATTTTTTAATATATTCTTAAAATATGTCGAATATTATATACTTAAAAAAAGTTACTAAGTTTTAGATTCTGTACCGTTCCTAATATTTCTAATCATTTTAATTCATACTTTAAGCTTTATAAAGTTATAATTTGTTAATATTAATATTTGCGCGTATTTCAGGTTCCTGATCATTCATTTTTTAAAGGTTTATAACTTTAAATTAAATTGTGAAGCGCTGAGTAATCATACGACGTTCAATATTCTTTCTTTCAATATGACTAAATAATCCCAATTATAGCAATCTGATACTCATGTCTCAATGTTTTTTCGCTGAATGTGATGAAAACATTTGAAAAAGGTTCGCTTATTGAAATAAATCTACACCAGTTAGTACTTCGATTTCCAGGTAAAGGGAAAAGGCTCATTATCTGCCATATTGGCAGTGAGGATGGATTTGTTGTTGACGGTCTGTGGTGCTTTGAGTCTAAGAAAACTGGAGATTACCACGAGGAAATAAATGGCGAATCGTTTGAACAGTGGTTTTCAAAAATTTTACCGAACTTAGAGGAAAACGCAGTAATTGTGTTGGATAATGCGCCTTATCATTCTCGAAGAATGGAGAAGGTCCCAACAACGGCTTCAAGGAAAGTTGATGTTCAAAATTGGCTCCGCTCGAAAAATATCAACTTTGAAGAAGCAATGCTGAAAGTACAATTATTAAGAATTGTCAAGGATCACAAGGCGGAATATCAAAAATACGCCATTGACGGAATGGCAGCAAGTCAAAATAAAACTGTGCTCCGTTTACCTCCATACCATTGCGAGCTCAATCCCATTGAGCTCATATGGGCAGAGGTTAAAAATTATATAGCTAAGCACAATACAACTTTTAAATTTTGTGACCTCAAAGGACTTTTCAAAGAAGCACTAGAATTAATAACAGCGCAAAAATGGGAAAAATGTATTAAGCACGTGAAAGACAAAGTTGAAAAGAGAATGTGGGAACTGGACAATATTTTAGAGGAACAAGTCGAGCCATTCATTATTGACGTTGGTGCTTCAGGCAGTAGCGATGATGAAAGCTCATCTTTCCAATAAAAGATGTCTTTCATCAAATTCGGTAAGTTATAAGTAATTATAAAGCTACTGTATTTTTTAATTAATTATTGACATTTTTGAACCCATTTTGGCAAAACCTATTCAAGAATCTACTTTCTGACAATGTTCAACCATGCACATTTTTTTACGTTTTGAACGTTTTAATTTGGTTACATATTTACCTAGAAATCAAAAAATATACTAATCAATATTCTAAAAGCAATTTTAAGAGATATACGATTATTTTTAATTTAGGCTAATTTAAACGCCATTTTGAGATTATATTCGACTGTATTTCACCAAACATCAGACGGCATCCGAAGCTGGAAATCGAAGCGAAAATTTTGAAACCCTTATGTATATTTACATCATTATATATTTCTTACCCCACCCCCACATGATCCTATATCCATCACCAATCGTATACACATCTATTTGTGCTAATTTACTACAAAGTTACGCAAAGCAGCATCTACTATCTAAAATATGTACTGCGTGACTCTTAATACGTCCCTGCCGAATGTTACAGCGTTCGATGATCACGTGGTCTTGTTTATGTCCGGTCTATCTCTTATCTGAATATACTGTAAGTGACAGCCGTCTCGGACTGTTGCCGCAGAATATAGGATTTCCTTTTACGCCATTGAAAAATTCTGAGGTTACAAAATCTTCGGTATAATTATAATTATTCCAAATTCTAGATCCACCACTGTACCTGACCTTGCCCTTTTAAATACAGAGCCGTCCGTTGCTTCAGCTACATCCGATTTGTTTTCTTGTTCTTCTTTAGGAAACAGGCGTTGGACGCCCGTGCCGAAGCAGAGCGTGACGGTCTGAAGGTCCCTTTGACTCTCGAAGATTACTGCATCAAAACGCAGGTAAAACCGAACGTATCGGAGTCCCAGGTCGAAATGACGGACTTCTATGACGACGACTACGACGAAGAGTACGATGATCCGTCGGACGGCTCCGACTACGCTGAGGAGGAAGATGATAACGATAGCGGTAACGGAGAGTCGTGATGTAAACGTTAAGGTGCTACGTTCATGTCCACTCGGCAAGCGAAGTAAGACAGGCTTGATTCTTACAAAATGTTCACCATATAAAAATTAGGTATGCTAGCATGCATAATGGTGGCTGCACATCGTCACTCATATCGACTAATGTATCTCGTTTTTCGTGAATTTACGAGACTACTTTAGAGGGCTAAGATAGTTCAGGGGATCATTGCTCGAATTTTGTTGTCTCAAATGGATTGACCAACTAATGATTGATGGTTGGTTCATGCTGGTCACGTGCTTTGGAATCTTGCCTCTATTTGTTTGAAAATTTCATAATTGTTATATGAGAATTTGAGATAAGAACTTAGATGAGATGTATGACGATGTGCGGCACAATAGGAATCAGATTTGAGATAAATCGGTGCATATGTTAGGTATGATGTAACTTAGATGTTGGATGTCATCTAAACCATAAGAAAATACAGTTATGGAGACTGGCTAAAGAACATTTCAACGAATTGGAAATTCCACTATCATAATGCAATTATTAACTCAGACGGTATTTTTGACAGTTTTAGGTCCACATCTCATAATACCTATAAACTCATAGTCCAATGATAGAGGAAACATTTAAATATCGACAACATGCGGCAAACATGTTTAGTTACAGTTTGAAGGTGGGGTTTTTGGCATAATTTCTCAGCCAAAGATTGGCTACTAAAAATGTTAGTTAATGGTTACACTGGTGAACAAAATTAAAATAATTTTTTGTGACATGGACAAAACAAGGTGGTTATTATGTAAGACGTACCCAAAAAGCCGGAAATAGCATTCGTTGTTATCACCCACGGTTTTCTTGCAATAAGGCATTTTATTTGCTGCTTATACTCGTAAATATAAGGATATGTGTGTAAGAGTACTAATAAACACTCGAATAAACATTAAACTCAAAATGTTGTTGTCGATGTTTTACGGCGATATCTTGCTCCTGAAGTATCTCTTAACAATGTCCAGCAATAATCAGCAAGCAAATTGACACTCCAAATGGAGTGTCAAGGCAAATGCCTTGATACCATTTTGCCATAGCAGAAATGTCTTGGTGGAACCGTTCACCATGTTCATCAATTACGGCACCTAAATTTTCCGGAAAAAAATCGAGATGAGTATCCAAAAAGTGAATTTTTAGATACATGTTACATCCCATTCATTTATAAGCATTAATTAGTTCACTCACAGTATCTTTATAATTGCCTGCCTTCACATTGCCTGAAAAATTTGCAGTAACTGATTTAAACAAATATGCCCTCTTTAATGTTTGCCTCACTAAGTCTCGGAAGTGTTTGTTTTAAATGCAGAAACCCTCTTCCATTTCGATCCATAGCTTTCACAAAATGTTTCATCAGTCCCAACTTAATATGCTAAGGTGGAAGCAACACGTTTTTGGGATCAACTAGTGGTTCATGAGCAATGTTTTTGACGCCTGGAGTTAATACCTGACGTAGTGGCCACTCCTTCTCTTCATAATGACGATCTCGCACACGACTGTCCCATTCACAAAGAAATCAACAATATTTGGTATATCTCAGTTGCATTCCAAGAAGAAGGGCTATTACCTTTAAATCTGCACATATGGCCCATCCATATTCATTATAACGGATATGTTCTAAGAGAACACGCATATTTTCATATGATTCCTTATATGAACTGCGTGCTATAGGTACAGATGGATATTTATTACCGTTGTGTACCAATACCGCTTTCAAACTAAGCTTAGAGGAATCAATGAACAGGCGCCAATCATTTGGATCATGTTTCTGACCTCACGCGTCAAACAAACTGTTGACATCGGAGCAATATCTCAACTCCCTTTCTTCACGGAAACAGTGTGTGAGGTCTTGTTGCCGTTTTCGGTAACAAGTAATGTTAACATCACCGTGGAGGAGATTCCATCCTTTTAATCTTGACGCTAACAGTTCTGACTGGGATTTTGACAGATTTAATTCTCGAACTAAGTCATTAAGTTCGCCATGTGTGATCAAATGAGGCGCTGTTGAACATCCTGGCAGGTCGAACAAAGGATCAGAAATTTTTACGCTTTCTGTACCATCAGTTTCAGAATCGGTGGATTCGACTTTTTCATCCAAAGACCAAGATTCTGGTGGAACTGGGAAATAAAGTTCATCACTATGCTTAACGGGCCGCAAAGCTGATGGTAAATTAAAATACTTAACAGTATGTTTCGGTTTTGGTCCAAATATTTGTGAGAGAAAAATAGCAATCAGTAGTATGGTATCTCGGTTCTCTCCAAACCATTGGTACCGCAAAGGGCATTTTACGATTGCCACCTCTTAACCAACCTGTTAACAACGTTACACAAGTCTTACAACATATATGAGGGGCTCATATTTGATTTTGGCCGCCAACTTCAATTCCAAAATAAAGTTCGTATGCACTGTTCGCACTATTGACATAATTTCTGGGCATTGTCCATAAAGCTAGTCTCGATCACAATAAACTAAAAACAACACACCGTTTTAACAAAAATTAACAGTACTGAAAACATCTCAGTACTCTTCAACACAGAAAACGTAACTGACTCGGCTGCCATTAGTCTACTAATAAACGCTATTGCGTAGAGCATATTTGCTCTCTAAACATAGAGCTCGAATATAATAAACAGGAATAGACAGGTCGTAACATTATATATGTGCGTCATTTCATAAACACCGAGAAATGCTGCAATATGAGATATTACGTATTGTAATTCATAAAAGTAGATGTTAACGAATATCTGTGGGTGATTCTGTTTTTAGATTTGATTTGAGGGTCTCAAAATACATAAGATACACCCAAGAATTGTCATGTCACAAATCCCGTGTTTATCAGTGTTATTTACATTAAGTTGGTCTCTCGCAAGACGTCTCCGAGTTGCTGAAATTGAATTTTGCATGTTGGATATGTACTAAGTAGCTGCTAAATCGGTATTCTAGGGTAGAGCTGGGTCGTTTCTGAACGAGTCGTTTCAAAGGAACGATATCACAGAGGGAATCGATTCCGATTCCAGAGGAAAACTGTAAGTTGGACCAAACGATAAACTGTTTCGAATTCAAGTCTGAATGCACTGATTCCAATAGAACACTGGAAATATATCAAAGTGTCAAAAAGGCAAGATTTGCCCACAGCACACATGCTCTACAGATAATAGATGGCTCGTCATTGGAAACTATAAAATTAAAAGCAGTATCTGAATCCACGGAAGCATAAGTTTCAAGCATTTGTTAATAATCAACCCAGTAGGTGCAGGTTCTGGAATCGAGACCTCGGAAACGATAAATAAATAATCTGCTCCCACTGTGTCGTTCCTTTGTAGTGCACACCGATGAAATGTTTTAGAATTGCGGGAATCGGAATCGGAAGGAATGATTAAGTCGAAAGGAGTCTCTCTATATTCATATATCGTAGTATCAGTAATGGTGAATTTTTGTTAGAATCAAGCAATTAAGAATTTTATACTTCTGCTACTATGTATTTTTACTGAAACTTTGCTGAAAAGGCCTTTCCAAGAAAATTTAATACACAATACTAGTGCTGTCAATTATGTGTAATTTTTTATCCATTGTTTTGTACTGGCTACATCTTGATATTTTGACTACATTTATTACGTAAAGGATAACTAGTATAGTTGATTTTATTTTTCGTATGCAGGTTATTTTGAATATAAAAATATGTTCAAATCAACCTTCTGAGCAATTCCATTCATAAGAAAAAATATTCCAGACTCAAAAGCAAAAAAATGTGGCGATCCTGGCAAAGGCGTCAAAAAATCAGGCGGTCCATGTTAATCATGTTTTCAGGGAAGGCCTAATATGTAAGCAACTTGTGAATTTTTTTATAGCTGAGTTTGAGTTGCAGTAGTTATAAGATTCTCATGTAAAATATTTTGGCTAACATTCAATTAAATCAGGTGCTTGACATTACGACAACAACTGCTTACTGTGGAAGCATGTCAAACTTAAAATAGGCGCTTCATATTATATTATGTCATTTGAGCAGGCTTTTAAGGTTTTACTGGATTTACATGTAAAACCATAATCCACACTTGGTCTGCATTGCAATCTTTATTTGATCTCATAACTTTTGACAAGAAAACATGTATTGTTCTCCCAATATTTTGAATATGTGGTGTAAATCCAAGCTTTTGTTCTAAATGGCATAGATTCGACTTACAACAGAAATTCAATAAAATTCGAATCAATAGCCTTCATTTCCAAAAGTCTTTATTGTACATTTGCAACTAGTAGTTTTTTGACATTTTCGGCATTTTCCAATAAAATCTCTATCTATGCACAGCTTATGTCAAACAGAGAGCCTTTAGCTTGAAACCACCCCTATTCAGATGTTAAGGTGTGTTCTAATTTAGTTTAGTGATCACCTCTTTGTCAAAACTATAGTATGAAAATATGCAATGTCAGGAAGCACATGATTCTCGAGAAACTGCATTCAGCTTACCCTAAGTTAGGCTGTTCAGCAAAGCTGTTATAGTTGGTCTTCTTGACAAATTAACCTATGGCAATGTGCCCGTATTTTTGGATTCTATTTAATAGTAAATCACCGCCAGTTTGTTGGATGCGATTGTCAAACAAGGAGATCGGGAACCAGTATACTTCCTGATATTGCTAAGTCAAGACCTGTTCACCGTTTTTGTTGCATTAATCAACAATTGTTAGCCGTTACGCGAACTGTGGAAGATTAATAGTGAATTGATATGCTTTTATAAACTCTTTCGAGTTTGTGCGTAAATAAATAACCCAATGTATAAGCGTTTCTGATCGTAGACATTTTGATGTGTCGAATTCTGTAAAATATGTAATTTACATTTTGAAACATATTAGCTGAAATTACATGCCTTTTAACGAACGGAAACCAAATCATTACTAATGTACATACAGATTACAGTTGATGTTACGATGACGTGATTCTTGTCATAAGCAAGTCGAATATAGGGATGGATTTCGATATTATGAGATAGCTGATTTATTCATTATATCCCAGCTTATGGCAGCAGGTCTGTATTTATTGTGAAGTATGTTGGTCCTAACAAAGGGTTCAGAGAGTGGATTTTGTATTGGTCCATCTTCCAACTTCCAAAGACAACACCCCTAATTTGACCAGCCTATAACTTAAGAGCCCGTCACATTAAGCTGGCTACAGACTATGCATGTATTCGCGATTCGTGAAGCGCGATGCATGACTCGTCTAGTTTGTAGTAATTCGCAACAGAGTATACAGACTATGCTTTTGTTCACGATTCGTATGCGCGATGTTGATTCATCCATGTTCGGTCGCATTTTCAAGTTGATTCATGGAAATTGGTATAAACTTATGCTCTGAGAAAATATGGAAGAAGACGATGATCTAGCAATAGCTAGCACTATTTTTATAATCATGGCACAAAAGAAGAAGTTTTAAAAAAAATGAAAAAAACGCTGATGGTGGAGCTTATCACTGTTCAAAAATAGAGAAAGGTAATTATTGTTATTCATTGTTTTTTCAGTTGAGAAGATATTCGTTATTACACCCTTCCTTATTTACAGATATAATGGCAACGATCTGCTAAATGATTTATCGCTAGTAAATTTGAATATTTTTGTCGGATCGCATCTGCGGATTTCGAAATACTCCTACAATTAATAAGCCCATCTATAACTAAACAGACCACTAGCATGAGGCGTACCATTTCTGCTAAAGAACGATTAGCTGTAACTTTACGATTCCTTGCTTCTGGCAACAGTTATCACAGTTTGAGTTATTTATTTAAAATCTCACCGCAGCTCATATCCTCCATCGTGATTGAAGTATGTAAAGCACTAAAAATGGCACTTCGAGACCAAGTAAAGGTAAGGAATATGTTTATTGTTTTTTTATACATTTATGTACTTTTAGATTCTTGAAAATTTATATATTAACGATATTGCAAAAAATGTGCATAGATCAGGGTGCTTTGCGTAGTTCATATAAATATTTTAAAGAAGTAAAGAAGTTGTATTAGAAAAAAATATATTAATTTTCATTTATTTACATCATTAACAAAACTTTTATAAAATTCAACAAGTGTAGGTGTGCTAGTAGATGACTGCAACATTTCTATTTCATCCGAATGTTGCGAGTGTGTTTGTGACTGTGTGCTATCAGATTGGGATGTAATAATCAGTGGTTGTAAACATTGAGGAGGAAGGGGCAATGATGGTGAAGATTGAGGTGATTCTACAAGAAATGTAGGGCAGGGGGATGATGAAGAAGAAGCGAGCGAGAGGGGAAAGTGATTCTGATTGAAGCATAAAATGAGGGCGAATTGATGTTCGAAACAGTATATTATTTCTACTAAGTGACATATAAATCCGAACACCCAGTTTAAATGGATTTATTTTAATAAAATTTTGTATAAGTACTTAATGAAGCATAATAAGTAAATGATAAAAATTTCAAAATGATTGCGCTGCTTTAAAGCCCTTTGACCTTTAATAATGTGTGGATGCACCCTGATGTGCTACGCATTTTCCAACGCGCCTAGGCATGCTTCTGATCAGGTGGTCAATGTCCTCCTGTGGTATCTCATTCCAGGCAACCACCAACTCCTCTCGAAGTGCTTCTAGAGTCTGAGGAGGACGTTGCAAATTGAGCAATCTCCTACCCATCATATCCCACACGTGCTCAATTGGGGATAAGTCGGGAGATCTTGGTGGCCATGGTAACAATGTGACATCATTATGTTGAAAGAAGTCTATTGTGACTCTTGCAATATGTGGTCGGGCATTATCTTGTTGGAAAGTTGGATCTGCCAGGGTGTCAAGATAGGGTAAAAGATGGGGTTCTAGAACTTCGTGGATATAACGCTGCGCGTTCATGTTACCTCTGATGAAGATTAAAGGTGACCTGTAACCATAAGCTATAGCACCCCAAACCATAACTCCAACAGTGTGATGAACATGTCTTTCAACAAAAAACTGTGGATTCCTCCTTTCACCACGTCGCCTTCTAACCCTGGCATGACCATCGTGCATGCCTAAACAAAATCGAGACTCGTCACTAAAGACAATACTGTTCCATTCCTGATCCCAGAGTGACCGTTGTCTGCACCACTCAAGGCGATTACGTCGGTGTAAGGGTTAGAAGGCGACGTGGTGAAAGGAGGAATCCACAGTTTTTTGTTGAAAGACATGTTCATCACACTGTTGGAGTTATGGTTTGGGGTGCTATAGCTTATGGTTCCAGGTCACCTTTAATTTTCATCAGAGGTAACATGAACGCGCAGCGTTATATCCACGAAGTTCTAGAACCCCATCTTTTACCCTATCTTGACACCCTGGCAGATCCAACTTTCCAACAAGATAATGCCCGACCACATGTTGCAAGAGTCACAATAGACTTCTTTCAACATAATGATGTCACATTGTTACCATGGCCACCAAGATCTCCCGACTTATCCCCAATTGAGCACGTGTGGGATATGATGGGTAGGAGATTGCTCAATTTGCAACGTCCTCATCAGACTCTAGAAGCACTTCGAGAGGAGTTGGTGGTTGCCTGGAATGAGATACCACAGGAGGACATTGACCACCTGATCAGAAGCATGCCTAGGCGCGTTGGAGAATGCGTAGCACATCAGGGTGCATCCACACATTATTAAAGGTCAAAGGGCTTTAAAGCTGTGCAATCATTTTGAAATTTTTATCATTTACTTATTATGCTTCATTAAGTACTTATACAAAATTTTATTAAAATAAAACCATTTAAACTGGGTGTTCGGATTTATATGTCACTTAGTATACAGGGTGACTTTGAAGTTGAGTCATTAATTTTCAGATAGTGATTGTAGAAGGAAGATAATCCAAAATATGTGTGTAAAAATAAAAAAATAAATAAAAAAAAATGTTACCTTGTTTAATAAAGTATCGTCCCGACAAGTATTTCAGTGCGGACCTGTATTTGATCGTGCGGTCTTGGAGCAGCATGCCCTGACCTGTGAGGTCTTAAGTCACCTGATTCACGAGCCCTTTGTACTACATTAACAAAGGCACGAGGGGTTGGTTGCACTCGATTGGGAAACCGATTCGCATAAATCCGTGATGCATCCGGGAGCATTTTGTAAAGACTGCCCCCCCGTAAATAAGAATCATGTCCACAAGTTCAGCATTTTCGTAAACATGTGCCATTTTTGATTTCGTTTGAGCCACGCAACAAACACTACTATTCACTAAAGCGTTATCGACTGACGAAAAACATCGTGATAAACGTTTCAAATTCTTTCGCTTTTTTGTTTCCGATGCGATGAACCGGTCAGGCGGATTATATCCGTTGTCGCCAAACACGAACATCTTATTATTGAGACAGGGCGGTACTCAAACTTCCAAAGGGCTATAACTTTGTTACTTTAATTTTACCAGAAAAATGGTAAAGGAAAAAAACATTTCTTTTGATCAGATCTACTCACTGTTAAAATAAATGACTCAACTTCGAAGTCACCCTGTATATCGTTCATCGCATGTTGTCGAGTGATGTGGTCCATCTTTTTGAGCTTAGCAGCAATTAAATTTCCAAAAGCAACGCATTCGTCAATTTCTTTTCTCCCTTCTTGCATTTTCGTCTGAAGATATTGAAATGCGATTTCCGCTCTTTCATCAGAATCATTTGTAAACTTTTTTCTTTTTTAATGGTAATTGCTTTAGTGAAACAAATTTCTTTTTTTAACTGTGCTCGGTTATCACGAGCCACATCTTGTTCTCCGTTGGCTTCAGTTGTCTGTTATGTATCGACCGTATCTGCATTTTCTGGAGACTCGGGAATAATAGAGGCATCATTGTCCCTATCATCATCATTAGATTTCGCTTCATTTGTCTGAAAATAAATAAATAAATTCATTACTTCTGTGTTTAACAATGATTTAATTTGTAACAGTTGTAATTGTTGTAAGGAACGGTATAGTCAAAATCCCTTTCAACTGGTGGGTCAAAATGATATGAAAGTAATTATACAGGGTGATTCATCTGATTGAGTTTTGGAAACGCCACTTAAAAGGGTTTTGACTATATAAATATATTCCTAATAATAAATGTTTGAAATTTTTAACATTATTTTCAGATTCCTGCGACTTCTGCAGAATGGAAAAAATGCAGATTTATTCGAAGACATGGAATTTTCCAAATTGTGTTGGTGCTATAGATGGGAAACATGTAGTGATAATGGCTCTTATAAATAGTGGTAGTGAATATATAAATTACAAGGGAACATTTAGTATAGTACTAATGGCTTTGTGTGATGCGGATTACAATGTAATATACAGTAATATTGGCTCACAAGGACGAATATCAGATGGAGGTGTATTCAATAATTGTTCTTTGTATGAGGCGTTGGAAAATAAGACCTTAAATCTACCTTCGGACAAACCATTGCCAATGAGAGCAAAGCCTGTGCCCTATGTTATTGTTGGCGACAACGCATTCCCTTTAAAAGATTACCTAATGGTTCCAGATGGTGGAAATCATGACAATAACACACCAGAGCGTATATTCAACTATAGACTATCTAGAGCCCGCAGAATAATTGAAAATGTATTTGGAATTATGTCTGCAGTATTTCGAGTTTTACGAAAACCCATTTTATTAAATCAAGATAAAGCTCGATTGATTACGGAATGCTGTGTATTGCTACATAATTTTCTAAGAAGCAGAAACTCGAGAAATATGTACACACCTCCGGGTACATTTGATAGAGAAGAAAATGGAACAATTGTCACTGGTTCTTGGAGGAATGAAACAACCACAAACATCACTTCTGTCACTACAAAGAAGGGGCAGAAGAACATGCTCAGACGTGAAGAAAATTCGCGACGAATTTTCTGAATATTTCGTTACAAACGGCAAATTTCCGTGGCAGGACAAGTACCAATAATGATATAGAAATTATAATTTAGAAAGAAGTAGCAATAATTTTTTTTTTAAATACATGTACTTACCATTGTGTCTGTTACTCCATGCGGTGTATAAACATCTTTCATAAATTTATTGAGCGCTTCAAAAGCAAACCAAACTGGTTTGTAAACATCGCTTGTTCCGGATCCTGACTTTATACTATTCTTTACTTTCCGACAACACTTTGCAACAAATGTTCATACTTCTTTGTAATTTCTTCGGGAGTCACTCCAAACTTTTTTCCCAACGATTTAAAGGCATCACTTTTTTTATTTCTATTTTTTTTGTCTTTGTCTTTCGGGTCCCACAAATGACGTCGGTGTTCGATTTCATAAATTAAATCCAGCACAAGTTCATCAGACCACTGGAATTCTCTGGCCATTGCTTTTAATTATTAAACCACATGTAAACATAACCTATAATACACAATAATAATACAGAAATACACCCTCGTGATCATGGCCTTGGGCACACGAATTAACGCGCATCGTCTGTAGCGGCTCCCTGAACGTCAACGAGTCAGCAGTTCGTGGTGATTCGCAGCCTTTGATTTCGTCGATGTACCGCTCTCAAGAGCGAATCACTGCGAACCCTTGCGAACTCGGTTCAGGAATCGATTTTTAACGAACCAAATCCCTACACACGATGCGCGAATTAACGAATCGCGCATAACGAATCACGAACTGCGCATCATCTGTAGCGAGCATTACTATGCACACGCGAATCATGTTGTTTACGAATCGATTTTTAACGAACAAGTCCCTACACACTATTCGTGAACTACCCGCGAATTACGCATCGTGCATCACGAATCGCGAATACATGCATAGTCTGTAGCCAGCTTTAGAAGTCTGAATTATATAAAATGTTTTTCTTTCACTTTGTGTCGCAGCAAAACAATACAGGTTATCACGGTTCGTTACTGGGCAGGTACTGTAGGTTAAGGGCTCTCCTTGATCGGCACATCATGGAGACGTCGCCAATGATACATCCATGGTGACTTCTGGAACCGAAGTCGCCAGATGGAGTTTCATCCTGCTGCTATACGCTCTCGCAGTGGTCGATTCCGGTAATAGATGGTGCTTTGCGCTTCGATAGAGCGATGGCACAATTGACACTTTGAAATGCATTGCCTATCAACGTACACCATTGGTGATTCTGTTGGTTTCTCAGAGCCGTGTAGATACGTTTTCAAATTAGCGACATAGCCAAGGCGGTTCGGTGAGGGAGGGCTCTGAAGTTAGTATTTTCTTGCATTAGCAAATGTAACTATGTATGTGATGCAAATGATGAGGACAACTGACATATTGATGAGTGATCAGCGATTTTGGTCAAAAGCCACAATTCATCATATCTCTGTGTGGTTAAGCTTGGAAATGTCCGACCCACCCGGCCAAATATTAATTTTATTTTGAAATCATCGCATACTTTGCTTTTGTGTTCGTAGATGATCTATTGTAGTGACTTTTATGGGTGCAATGCATCAGTCACAGTGCTGTTTCTCATTCAGCAAGACTGCCAAAAATACATTTCAAATGTACGTTGTGGTCTTCATGAGTATTTGAATTTACTCCAAAAACTTACTGATTCTTTAGATTTTAAGGGTGTTTCAGAAGTAAAAATCGATCTTGCATGACTGTGTGTCTGTTAACAGTGAATTTGTAGTAATAAGTAAAAACAAAGTTTCATTTGAATGGAAGACACTGCTGAATTGATCGCTTATGTATATAACTACGCAAACCTGCAAACAGGTTTTGATAAATTGATGTAAAAATATACTAAACAAATGTAAATAGTATCTTTCAAAGATCTTGATCTAAAAAGCCTATCCATAAAATTTTCTCTATTAGGTAGTTAAAGAGTAGGTTTTATTGATAAGTTTTAATATATTTTTTTGTAAATATATAATAGGATAGTATTCCAATTTTGTAGGAACAGTTTGATAATTATCTTCTTATAAACGTGGAATAATCTCTGGTCAAGTCTTGAGCTACAAGTTTGTATTGTATTTATTTTAGGATATTTCTTAGTCATCATATGGCGATAGTGTATCCACACCTTGAGCTATATTTACGTGATTATTATTTCTTGGGTCGGTTTTGTGTCCAATTACATATGTTGAATAAATGTATGAAATAAACCCTTGTTTAATTTTAAAATATAAGTTCACAAAAACGAAGCCTTAAAGTAATTACCTCACTCGACTAATTTCGTTTTTACTAGCCGGATTGCCTATTACAAATACAAACGCTCTATATTAGTACAGTTAGATAACTCGAGTATCACCTGGCTGAATACAGGATGTTAAAGTTGGTGCCTTAGCCGCTGAGGGTACGCCTGCCTGCACCATTTTACGAAAACAAACTCGTCTTTAATATGCACAGGGAACTAAACGATATAATAGCCATGTGAACATTTACAATATCTACAGGGTGTCCCATTCCTAGGCCAAAACCTTTTCAATGATTTTCACTCGCATTATATCTTTCTTTCTCAGCGATTCAGTATGGTGTTGACGATCAGCAAAAAACTCTGTAGTTTTTCTTCGTTAGTTGCTTTCCTATAAAACATATCTTCTTCAAGGCCGCTCAAGATACCTTCTTCTAGAACGTTACGTGTTCTGCGTGATTCGCTTTTCTGTTTCCGTGGTGGGGGTCGTTTCGTCATTTTCCGCACTCTGGGATATTAGGCCCCAAGCGCCAATTCATGGACTAGCACCCTTTTTTTGTGTAACTTAAGTCATTTTGGTTTGGGTGTTATGTCTTCCATTTTTTTGTATGGGATTTTGACCCTCAGCGGTAAGTTCTTTTTTATATACCTTCGGGCCACGTGCCTTAATGCGTGTCCTGATGACGTTCTTTCAATATCTGCTTTCTTTTAGTCAATAGAAACAGAAGAGAATCATCATCCTTTCTCCGCCAGTTGGTTGCATCTCGTTGCAGTTTTGCAAATTGGTGGAAGCCATCCCCTTGAAAAAATACCCTGATGTGAACAGGTAAAATATCATTCTAATTAACAATTTCATAGATCTTTATACATTTATTATAGCCTATTGAAATTCTTAGAAACTCCTTGATTTTATTGGACATTCTACGTATTCAAATATGGGGGCAGTGCCTACATGGCACCTTCTATTACATTGATCATGATTTTCATTTTTGAGCTGCCATAACTTTTTAGAACAAGGGTATATTAGTTTAGTACGTTTTTATCTTTTTTTTTGCATTTGCTTTACTTTTTTTGTACAAAAAAAATTTACATTGCTTCAAGTGCGATTGTTTTCAATGAGTAGTTTTATCTCAGAGATTAGAGTAGATTTTTAAACAGTCTTTCTCTCTCTAGGGTTTTTTTTACTACCATAATTTTTGGCAACGAGGCAAGCAGCCCCTGCCCAGTGACGTGCCCACTACTGGCCACTTTTTGACCAGAGTTGAGGACATCTCGGCCGCACCTGACAAAGAAGACCTACAGATAAGTTTAATATTTAGGCGCAAAATATCTGTAAACACTTCGGGCGTATACCATGGTAGACGTCTAGCGGGGTTATCTCGAAAAATAATTTTGTCAGGTTGTATTTAAGATTTATAACATCCTTTCTTTTTTTATTACTCACACTCCAGTAATGGAGCACATGTGCGTTTTTTATTAATCAATATGTTGTGATTCATTTAATATCTTGTTTTATTTGGCTACTTAAATTTCGTCATCTCTGTTAGATTCTCCTTTTGTGTGGTGGTCAAGCAAAACAAGTTTCGACTAATATCTCGGGGAGTTGTGGCTTAATCCGTCCTAAGTCACTGGCGCTCTTAACCCCCCCCCCCCCCCCCCCCCCTACTCACCGCTTTATTGAGCTAGGGCCTAAATTTGCACGCCACTAGACAACTGTTTTGCTTGGACCAACCGTTAGACAGTATTTATCATTGTGATTTATTAATTAACCAAAAAAAGGCGTGGCAAATTTTGTAGCGCCCAACGTGTAGGGCCTATCATTTCGAACAGTACACAGAGCCAAATAATTTGTTGAATTTTTTTTAACAGACTTTTGGAAGTTAGTTGAAACTTTTGAACAGATTTTTAAAAATTTATTGAAACTTTTGGACAGACTTTATTTTATTGTTGATTGATTTGAATTGATATAGGTATTATCGATTATTACATTTCCTTTTCTTCTCTTGTTGGTGTAAGATTAGTTTATTTGTCGGCAAGATGGATTTCAAATTGGAAGTTGGTCACCTTAAGAAAGAGATGTTACTCAATGACATTTTAGTCCGTGGTGTTGCTGTTGACGAAAGTCATACAGTTGACAAATTGAGAGCTACCTTACGCTCCCTATTAAAGTTGGGAAAAGCTGGAACTTTAAAATTTCCACCATATAACCTAAATTTTGACGATGAAAAGGTGCAGATTCGGTCAGTGCTGGATGATGTTAACGATACTATCAGTACACTTTCAGGGGAGAGCCCACAAAACAGATTTCTTACCGCACAATCTAGGTTGGTCCACCTCCTCAACCGCGTTAATCGAATCCCTGATCTTTAGCATAGAAGATGAAACTCAAAGAACTGAACTCTTAATCGATGTTTTGGCAGTATTAGATTCTTTAGAGACGGCGTCTAGGCAAGATTCTCAATTAAGTATACTTTTTCAAAATTCTGATGAAAATTTGGCTTGCCAGAGAACTCCTATCCATAATTCAACTGTACAGAATTTTTCATCTAGACCTCCCATTGTCCAAACTGTTCCACCGAAGCCTCAAAACATAGAGAAATGGAACTTACAATTTTCCGGTGAAGTAAAACAACTTTCTGTCCATAACTTTTTAGAAAGGGTTAATGAACTACGGTCAGCTCGCAACGTAACTGAAAAGCAGTTGTTTGACTCGGCTATAGATCTTTTCACTGGGAAAGCGTTAAACTGGTTCAGAGCAAACCGAAATAGAGTCACTGATTGGGAAAGCTTAGCTGATTTGTTGAAACGTCATTTTGAACCTGCTGATTTTTGTGCTAGACTTTTTAAACAGATCTTAGAGAGAACACATGATACATCGAAGGGTATTATTGATTATCTGTCCTGAATGCAGGGACTATTTAGGCGTTATGGTAATCTAACGGAAGAGCTTCAGTTAGATATTGTATGTAGGAATTTGTCACCATTTTATACTACCCAGCTCCCAGTTGTTCGTACCTTGGAAGAACTTGAGGTCGAATGTCTTAAGCTTGAGGTTAAGAAATATAGAATTGAGAATTATGTACCTCCATCTCGAAAGCGTCAACAGTTTGTTGAGCCCGACTTTGCATTCGTAGAACCGGAAAGTCAACATCCTTCTACCTCTCGCGAACCTGAAAATGCAAATGAAGTTGCTGAGGTCAGTGAGGTATCTAAGGTCTCCTAAAACGATTCATCGCGGAGGGTTACTTGTTGGAATTACCAAAAAGTAGGACATATAAATCGCGATTGTCCCAATCCGAGGGAAACTCACTGTTATCGCTGTGGTGCACCAAATGTAACCATTAGGAATTGTCTCAATTTTAGTAGTTCGGAATCGAGTCCCGGAGGAATCGTTAGGTCGCTATTTCCTCCCAGTCAGCACCTTTAACGGCCAACACCCTTGATTTTCAAAGCAAAGTTCTTCTCGATTTTGTTGTTTCACATGCCCATGGAGATCAACGTCCTTACCTTAAAATAGATATAATGGGTTATACCATGTTGGGCTTACTTGATTCTGGTGCTAGTCGTACAGTGGTTGGACTACCAGGTTATTAAATACTTTTAAGCTTTTGTCTTAAGTTAATCAAACAAAACAGTGCATGTATTGTGGCGAACGGTCAAGTGTGTCATAGTATAGGTTATATCCAAACTCCGATAACCTTAATGAGCCGGACGCATATTATCGATGTAGTTGTGCTCCCTGAGCTATCACATAAAATAATTTTAGGTATAGATTTCTGGATGGTTATGGAAATCGTCCCTGATCTTATGCAGGATGTTTGGCATTTCTTTAAATCTAATGATCTTGCACAAATCTGTAGTGTGCAGAATATGAGTCACTTAACATCTTCTGAGAAAACTCAATTGGACAACTTAGTTAGTGAGAAACTTTCACAGATGGATATACAGGGCTTGGTTGTTGTAGAGTAGCAGAACATGAGATTACTCTAGAACGAGGAACGAAACCGATTAAGCAACGTTATTATCCGGTGTCTCCCTACAAACAAAAATTTATTGATGGTTAAGTTGAAGAAATACTTAAATTGGGTGTGATAGAGAGATCGAATAGTCCTTGGTCCTGAACTGAAGCCTAACGTGATGGTCTATTTAGATGACATCATTATTTTGTCCGCTTCTTTTTCTGAGCATTTAGAACTTTTAGATCTAGTTTCAATCGTCTCCGCGAGGCTGGACTTGTATCACTGGAGAAGTGTCACTTCTGTAAGCCAGAACTGCGGTACCTAGGTTACTTGATCGACGATCAGGGTCTTCTACCAGATCCCGAAAAATTGGAGGCTATCGTGAACATCCTACCTCCTAAGAATGTTACTGAAGTTCGTAGACTAGTGGGCACTGCTTCATTGTACAGACGATTTGTACCAGATTTCTCCTCACTACTTGCCCCTGTACTCCACCTAAGAAAAACGTCAAGATTGTCGGAAATCATTAACTGACCTTAAAGAACGTCTAGTGACCGCCCCTATTTTGTCTGCCCCTGATTTCGGTAGAACATTTTACTTACAAACCGATGCGTCAAACTATGGTTTAGGAGCAGTTTTAACCCAACAATTCGAGGAAGGTGAAAAGGTGATATGTTACCTTTCTAGAAACTGTCAGTTACGGAAAAGGAGTGCATTGACGTTATTTGGTCGGTCGAAAAGCTGAGACATTTAGATTGTGTACATTTCAAGGTACAGCTACAGTAGATTAGTACGGGCGTATTTAGACTCTAAATTTCCAAATCAATGGATTGGCAGAGGCGGGCCCATTGCCTGGCCAGCAAGAAGCCCATCTCACACCGATGGATTACTATGTGTGGGGACATATTAAAAGCCTGGTGTACGATGTTTCGCCCGTACCAACGCGCGATGAATTAATTACAAGGATAATCAGTGCAGCTGACCAAATAAAAAGCCGCTTAACAACTAGAGTTACCAAAAGTGAATTATGTAAGAGAATGCGGGCGTGTATTCGTAACATGGGATTACAATTTGAGCAGAATCTGTGAAATACCAAAGGAAATGTAAATAAATAAAACTGTAATTAAAATAAAAGCCTTTTATTTATCCTACGTAATTATAGTTCGTACAACTTTACTCATCTTTTTTTAATTTTATGTCTTTGTACTTGAGTTAGTTGAAACTTTTATACCTCAAATGAAAGCTTGTTAGATAGAGATATTATTTACATAATTTGCACATTTCATTACTATGAGATTTTTTACAGAAAATTGCATTTTTTATCAAATAAGTTAGTAAAAAAATAAGAAAATCATACATTTCAAAAGCGTAATTTTAAAACTTTTGTAAGTTTTCAACATTTTATTAATTATTATGAACTATTGGAATGTCCGCTATGCGACGATAACAAAAAACTCAAAATCAAACATGTAGTTTTTTTGTATTTCAAATTTAACCGTCTGTAATCGGAATAAAAAATAAAATTCAAATAACTCAAAAACGGTTAACTTCTGGATAGGACATTATAGGACAAACTCGGTTGCTTTTGACCTAATCTATCACCCCTTAACAGGAATACGTGACATTACAAGTCTGAAGTTTAAAAATAAAAAACATTTTTGTTCAGGTTTGGCATTCCTTTTTATTTCCTTATAATTTTCATCCAACAACAAATTCATGGGCATCTAAGGAAATATGTTACCGAATTTAGGACTGCAAAGTCCATTCAAATGTACAAAATTCGATCCAACAAGTTGGTGGCTAGTCGAAAGAAGAAATCTCGTATTGAAAATTTGACTATGCCATCTTGCAGAGGAGAATAAGTAACAATGACAACATGCAATTTATTTTGAAAAGCCATCTCAAATGAAGTCAGCAAAAAAATAAAAATGGGGATATATCTGATATGCGAAACAAATGACTATCTGATAATTTCAGGGCCTACCTAGGAAGTTCTGCTTTTTTTTAAATAAGTAAGGTTTGACAATGTATATGTTTGACATTTTTGGAATCAGATTTAAAGACTATCTGTGCAAAAATCAAATAATAAAAAATAAAGTTGATGCTGGAGGACAAGAAAGAAAACGTCATATTTAAATTCTAATTATGATATCTGGAAGAGGAGAAAAAGTGGCAATATTAATGTGCAATTTATTTTGAAAGCTCACTACAAATAAAGTCAGGGAAAAATAAAATTATTTTGGACAAATTCGTTTTTTTTCTTCTCTCTCTCTGGAAGTACCTTCAATTTTAAAACTTTCTAAGCGGCATTTTGTGATTATCTAAATACACAACTTTGGCTCCATTAACGTGCAATTTATTTTGAAACCTCACTACAAATAAAGTCAGGAAAAAAATTAAAATTATTTTGGACAAATTCTCTTTTCCTTCTCTCTCTCTCTCTGGAAGAACCTTCAATTTTGAAACTTTCTAAGCAGCATTTTGTGATTATCTAAATACACGACTTACGTGAGGGTCGAATTTGGAACACCCGGTGTAAGTAAAAAGATCAAAACAATCGCGTGCTTTATTTTGATCTAATTACCTAATGGTTTTGTTGGTTTACTGGTATTAGCATACACTTCTGCTTGCAACTTGTCTTACCTGTCAAAACTGAAGTTGTTTACCTTCATGACGAAAGCACGAGAGAAACAGACAGATACCACATGCGCAGAAACTGAAATACATTTCTAACGCAATGGCTATAGTAGATAGCCCCGCCTTTCTCGACACTTTTGGCTTCTTCGCCCTCTACGAGTCTATCCTCCTGTTTAATCAGTCTCCTTGGCGCTATCAAAAACCACCTGGTGAGCGTGGAAAATCATATAGCGTCACAAGAGAACTTAACACGTCGCAACTAAGACGAAAAATTAAATAACACATAAATTAATTTCGTATTTATTCATAGAAAATAGACATTACAAAATAACTGCAAAATAATGTGATAACCAAGAAGAAAATAAAAATATATTTTTTAATGTATTTTCTTGACAATACGAAGGATAAGCTAGGACTTTGTCCAGCTATAAATAACTGTAATTAGTGTTATTTTATACAAAATTTAACCAACACCTGCAATAGCAAATTGAAGCTTTTATGCTTCTAATTAATAGTGAAAGTGACTTGATGGAACTAATTAAATTTGAGCATCCCTTGCCCTATATATAACATGCTTACATCAAGCGTGCTGTGTTAAGAAATACAGTGCCTCAAAAAAAGTATCTGACCACTCCTCCAAATTAAAGCTTTTAAAAGGCTATCACAAAAAACTTGTAAGAACTACAAAAACGTAGCTATGAAAAGGAAACGGTAGTTCTTATGGAATGATTTCATTGTTTTCCGCTACATTTTACTGAATTTGTACCATAAATAGATGACTATCTACCTGATTAGGTACTTATTATTATTACCAATGGCTTATTTTAATTTAAATCTACTTAAAACTAATATTCGAGTATGGGTATTTCATAAAAGCTGTTCATTTCCGGAAACTCATGACTAGCTTCGGTATGATTTCCCCTTTTACACGAGGCTTTTGGCATAATACTGGTAGGAAAATCCTAAAAATTGTACACAACATAACGACCCCCCTGAGCTCCCTACCTGCGGACGCACATGACGGTAAAGTAATCTTGAACGACATTCATTGTCGCATGGTCTCGCTTCGCGAGATTTTGTCGAATGGAAAATTCTGATTACTAGATTGGAGAATTCTCCCCAGACACTCCATTTATTGGGTAATGCTTTATAAGTTCATGATCACGGGACCATGAAGCTCATACTTCTGTTTAGAAAGTCAAAGAGAATACTAAAAATTCCCTAGCAACTTAAATATTAATATTTTTTTGTTCAATTTGGTACATTTTCAATGAGCCAAATTTCAAATTTATTTTTAGCTGTAAAATTAACTCGGTTACATAGGATCAATATACTTTTTTGAGATACTGTATTCTTGGTGTTGAATATCCTAGAATTTATAACTTATATAGTAGTACTTGCTGTAAATATCACATAAATTTTGACAAAATTTCACAACAGAATACTGTTCGTACAACAGGCTACTGCTTGGACAAGTATATCAAAGACAAAAAAAGAAGATACGAACATGGCGAAAGTTGAACTGCTTTCTTGCGTACAACCCAGGGACGTAGCTACCGCCGTATCAATGATAAGGAAAAAATGCGGAGCGTTCTAAACAATCTCACGCAAATTTTTAGGCTGTATGCAAAACCATACATTCTCAAGTGCTGACAGAAGCTTTTTGACATTAAAGGTGATTAGGACACTTATGACACTTGGTACTGACTTCAGAGGCAGAGAACTTTTACTTTTATAAGAATCAACATTGCTGAGCCAGAAGAAATGAGAAACAACGAAAGCAAATTTGAAAAATGTTTGGCGTAAAGCCTACAATAGGCAAACTTTGGCATCATTCTGAAGATGCTTTATTTTTGTTCATAATGTCGCTGTCAATTGGACCATTTTCAAAAATCACGTAGCCTACTATGACCCCACTCAAGCTGCTCCCGAAATGGCCGTTTCCGAAAATACGAGATCAAAATATCGCCAACATATAGAGGAACCAACAGACAAACCGGCGTAAATAAGTGATATAGTCTTGTGTGTTGTAAACTTCAACAAAAAAGGAAAAGGCAAGACATCTTGGAGCGTTAATAGTAAAACTCAACACTCGATACTACGATCTCAATATTCACTATTTATTCATATTATTCACTGCAAACTTTTTTGTGAAAAGTCTTTGAGGTTCGACATAATTGGGTAGGTCCCCCTACAAATTTTGATATGGGGCTCCCCAGGAGCAAGCTAAACCACTGGTCCAACCAATCGTACACAGCGCCGATACATACAAATCAGGAATAATGAGTGTAGTACAGGTAGGTCAACGAACGAAAGATGAGTAGCGACCTCTACCAAGGATACAGTAATTATGAAATAGATTGTAAAACATGTCTCAAATATACACCAAGTATCGCCAACTACGTGCGGAAGAGTACCTCAACCCAGCTATTGGCGAAGAGTGAGATCATGGTCCCATCTTCAATTCGCCTGCGCTTCGTTTCTGTGGCTGATACTGGTAGCGCATGGCACTTGTATGAGATATTTCATTATCACAATATGAATGATACAGGTTACTGCTCTGCTTTTGATCATAGTTCCACCCTCATGGGGTCAACTGAGGCCCGGCAAGGTGCAACAATGGAAAACTGGAAACGTTGTCATCATTTACCGTGTCGTCTGCCACCATCGCCAGCGTCGCCTGTCATTTTGTCAATCGCGTGTACCGTTTATTTTTCTGAGGATTTTCAAAAAAATATGCGAAAATGGAAGAATTGGACGAAGAACGGCTAGGGTTTGAATTCGCTATATGGTTGGTTGAACAGACGAAAGCTTTTCGACTTTTAAGTCATTGGCAAAATAAAGCCAGTGTTGAAATAATAGAAGTTCTTCCTGGCGCTCTTTCAGATTAGATTGATTCAGCTTTGAATTAACGATCTCACAACATACAAAATCAAGTAGCATTACCGCTTATGACCCCAGCGCCGTTGCATACAAATTAGGAATAATCAGTGTAGTACAGGTAGGTCAACGAACGAAAGATGAGTAGCGACCTCTACCAAGGATATAGCGATTATGAATTAGATTGTAAAAAATGTCTCAAATATACAAAGGCACCAAGTATCGCCAACTACGTGTGGAAGAGTACATCAACCCAGCTATTGGCGTAGAGTGGGATCATGGTCCCATCTTCAATTCGCCTGCGCTTCGTTTCTGTGGCTGATACTGGCAGCGCATGGCACTTGTATGAGATATTTCATTATCACAATATGCTTAATAGAGGTTACTGCTCTGCTTTTGATCATAGATCCACCCTCATGGGGTCAACTGAGGCCTGGCAAGGTGCAACAAAGGAAAACTGGAAACGTTGATTCCACGGTTGTCATTATTGACCGCGTCGTCTGCCACCATCGCCAGCGTCGCCTGTCATTTTGTCAATCGCGTGTACCATTTATTTTTTTGAGAATCTTAAAAAAATATATGCGAAAATGGAAGAATTGGACAAAGAACGGCTAGGATTTGAATTCCCTATACGGTTGGTTGAACAGACGAAAGCTCTTCGACTTTTGAGTCATTGGCAAAATAAAGCCAAAGTGTTGAAATAATATAAGTTCTTCCTGGCGCTCTTTCAGATTAGATTGATTCAGCTTTGAATTAACGATCTCACAACATACAAAATCAAGTAGCATTACGGCCTATGACCCCACCGCCGTTGCATACAAATTAGGAATAATCAGTGTAGTACAGGTAGGTCAACGAACGAAATATGGGTAGCGACCTCTACCAAGGATATAGTGATTATAAAATAGATTATTAATAATGTCTCAAATATACAAAGGCACCAAGTATCGCCAACTACGTGCGGAAGAGTACCTCAACCCAGCTGTTGGCGAAGAGTGAGATCATGGTCCCATCTTGAATTCGCCTGCGCTTCGTTTCTGTGGCTGATACTGGTAGCGCATGGCACTTGTCTGAGATATTTCATTATCACAATATGCCTGATAGAGGTTACTGCTCTGCATTTGATCATAGATCCAACCTCATGGGGTCAACTGAGGCCTGGCAAGGTGCAACAAAGGAAAACTGGAAATGTTGATTCCACGGTTGTCATCATTGACCGTGTCGTCTGCCACCATCGCCAGCGTCGCCTGACATTTTGTCAATCGCGTGTACCGTTTATTTTTCTGAGGATTTTCAAAAAAATATGCAAAAATGGAAGAATTGGACGAAGAACGGCTAGGGTTTGAATTCGTTATATGGTTGGTTGAACAGACGAAAGCTTTTCGACTTTTGAGTCATTGGCAAAATAAAGCCAAAGTGTTGAAACAATAGAAGTTCTTCCTGGCGCTCTTTCAGATTAGATTGAATCAGCTTTGAATTAACCATCTCACAACATACAAAATCAAGTAGCATTACCGCCTATGACCCCAGCGCCGTTGCATACAAATTAGGAATAATCAGTGTAATACAGGTAGGTCAACGAATGAAAGATGAGTAGCGACCTCTACCAAGGATATAGTGATTATGAATTAGATTGTAAAAAATGTCTCAAATATACAAAGGCACCAAGTATCGCCAACTACGTGCGCAAGGGTACCTCAACCCAGCTGTTGGCGAAGAGTGAGATCATGGTCCCATCTTGAATTCGCCTGCGCTTCGTTTCTGTGGCTGATACTGGTAGCGCATGGCACTTGTATGAGATATTTCATTATCACAATATGCCTGATACAGGTTACTGCTCTGCTTTCGATCATAGTTCCACCCTCATGGGGTCAACTGAGGCCTGGCAAGGTGCAACAAAGGAAAACTGGAAATGTTGATTCCACGGTTGTCATCATTGACCGTGTCGTCTGCCACCATCGCCAGCGTCGCCTGACATTTTGTCAATCGCGTGTACCGTTTATTTTTCTGAGGATTTTCAAAAAAATATGCAAAAATGGAAGAATTGGACGAAGAACGGCTAGGGTTTGAATTCGTTATATGGTTGGTTGAACAGACGAAAGCTTTTCGACTTTTGAGTCATTGGCAAAATAAAGCCAAAGTGTTGAAACAATAGAAGTTCTTCCTGGCGCTCTTTCAGATTAGATTGAATCAGCTTTGAATTAACCATCTCACAACATACAAAATCAAGTAGCATTACCGCCTATGACCCCAGCGCCGTTGCATACAAATTAGGAATAATCAGTGTAATACAGGTAGGTCAACGAACGAAAGATGAGTAGCGACCTCTACCAAGGATATAGTGATTATGAATTAGATTGTAAAAAATGTCTCAAATTTTCAAAGGCACCAAGTATCGCCAACTACGTGCGCAAGGGTACCTCAACCCAGCTGTTGGCGAAGAGTGAGATCATGGTCCCATCTTGAATTCGCCTGCGCTTCGTTTCTGTGGCTGATACTGGTAGCGCATGGCACTTGTATGAGATATTTCATTATCACAATATGCCTGATACAGGTTACTGCTCTGCTTTTGATCATAGTTCCACCCTCATGGGGTCAACTGAGGCCTGGCAAGGTACAACAAAGGAAAACTGGAAATGTTGATTCCACAGTTGTCATCATTGACCGTGTCGTCTGCCACCATCGCCAGCGTCGCCTGACATTTTGTCAATCGCGTGTACCGTTTATTTTTCTGAGGATTTTCAAAAAAATATGCAAAAATGGAAGAATTGGACGAAGAACGGCTAGGGTTTGAATTCGTTATATGGTTGGTTGAACAGACGAAAGCTTTTCGACTTTTGAGTCATTGGCAAAATAAAGCCAAAGTGTTGAAACAATAGAAGTTCTTCCTGGCGCTCTTTCAGATTAGATTGAATCAGCTTTGAATTAACCATCTCACAACATACAAAATCAAGTAGCATTACCGCCTATGACCCCAGCGCCGTTGCATACAAATTAGGAATAATCAGTGTAATACAGGTAGGTCAACGAATGAAAGATGAGTAGCGACCTCTACCAAGGATATAGTGATTATGAATTAGATTGTAAAAAATGTCTCAAATATACAAAGGCACCAAGTATCGCCAACTACGTGCGCAAGGGTACCTCAACCCAGCTGTTGGCGAAGAGTGAGATCATGGTCCCATCTTGAATTCGCCTGCGCTTCGTTTCTGTGGCTGATACTGGTAGCGCATGGCACTTGTATGAGATATTTCATTATCACAATATGCCTGATACAGGTTACTGCTCTGCTTTCGATCATAGTTCCACCCTCATGGGGTCAACTGAGGCCTGGCAAGGTGCAACAAAGGAAAACTGGAAATGTTGATTCCACGGTTGTCATCATTGACCGTGTCGTCTGCCACCATCGCCAGCGTCGCCTGACATTTTGTCAATCGCGTGTACCGTTTATTTTTCTGAGGATTTTCAAAAAAATATGCAAAAATGGAAGAATTGGACGAAGAACGGCTAGGGTTTGAATTCGTTATATGGTTGGTTGAACAGACGAAAGCTTTTCGACTTTTGAGTCATTGGCAAAATAAAGCCAAAGTGTTGAAACAATAGAAGTTCTTCCTGGCGCTCTTTCAGATTAGATTGATTCAGCTTTGAATTAACCATCTCACAACATACAAAATCAAGTAGCATTACCGCCTATGACCCCAGCGCCGTTGCATACAAATTAGGAATAATCAGTGTAGTACAGGTAGGTCAACGAACGAAAGATGAGTAGCGACCTCTACCAAGGATATAGTGATTATGAATTAGATTGTAAAAAATGTCTCAAATTTTCAAAGGCACCAAGTATCGCCAACTACGTGCGCAAGGGTACCTCAACCCAGCTGTTGGCGAAGAGTGAGATCATGGTCCCATCTTGAATTCGCCTGCGCTTCGTTTCTGTGGCTGATACTGGTAGTGCATGGCACTTGTATGAGATATTTCATTATCACAATATGCCTGATAGAGGTTACTGCTCTGCTTTTGATCATAGTTCCACCCTCACGGGGTCAACTGGGGTCTGGCAAGATGCAACAAAGGAAAACTGACAACGTTTATTTTTCTGAGAATTTCAAATAAAATATGCGAAAATGGAAGAATTGGACGAAGTACGGCTAGGGTTTGAATTTCGTGTACGGTTGGTTGAACAGACGAAAGCTTTTCGACTTTTGAGTCTTTGGCAAAGTAAAGCCAAAGTGATGAAATAATTTCATGATATTATTTGAACTAGCAGCAGCAGGACTACCCGTAAAGTTCTTCCAGGAGCTCTTTGAGATTGAATGAGCTTTGAATTAACCATCTCACAACATACAAATCTGCGCCCGCTGGGCAATTACCGCGTCTGCGTCCCAATATTCACTCTTCTTGAAGTGAACTATTAAATAATGTTTCTACAATCACCTCGCCTTTCATTGCAACATGCAACGGTTCGATCTAGTAATTTCTATTCTTCTCCGGTACTCAACCTTTTCATCCTTAGTTGGTATATTTCGCGCTTTAAGTTGGCTTGTCGAATAGAACAACACATTGTTGGCAAGTTTACGATCTCAGTACCACTTAAATCCGAGCAGTAGCCCCTCGAACTAGTTATAAACACTGTTATATAAAAATAATTACAATCACGTTCCTTGCATACTATCAGACCGTGCAACCGACAAAAACACGTCCTCAAGAGAAGCTTCGCTTATTGAAAAATCTTCTATCAAATGCCGATTTTCCGAACTGATTTTTTCAACTTCTTCGAAAATCTCGCTCCATCTCTTATTTTTATCTTTAATGTATAAATGCAAAAGACCAGAATGCTCATCTTTCACCTCTGCTTTACATTTTTCCACGAAATACCTTTTTAGTTCTTCCACATTGGTGAAATGTACGTTGCCGTCCCTGTCCTTGGCAAAATCGACTTCATCTACGCCCATATCTCTGTTGATCAGTTTGATTTTCAAACTGAACCCACCTACTTCATTCTTCAACGTGCTTATGGTACCTTCTTTGTGGAACTCGCCATTTTTCATAATCTTCAGTCTGAAATACGACAAAACGGCGCAAAATAACTAGCTGATCGAATTAATATTCAATTAAATTTTAACATAAAGAAAATTCTTTCCGCAAGCGGTCCCGGTTGTGGTTGACAAAAATGACAAAAAACTTGTTACAGTGGTCGAGACTAGCTTTTGTATTACGTAACTTAAAAAGTGACATTATATCGATTTTTTATGACCTTATAGTTATATATATATATACGATTCACATTTATTGTCGATAATAAGTAGTTAAATGAAAGACTTGTCTTTGTGGATACCAACAAATTAAGCAAAGTGTACCCTTCTGACTAACAAATACGCTTTCGACAGGCTTTGCTGTCCTCTTCAGGAGTTCGTCAGTGAGATTGATGCTAGTGTTAGATGTATAAAATTGTGTTTAGGAACACATGGCTAGGTGACAAAAAACTGGATTCACCAGGAACACACCAACAATTCTAGGTTAGCCCAAGATGTTGTGAATCAGTGAAGTTTCAAGAGATTTCATTTAATCAAGAATGTTCGTCCCAATCGATACATATTTCATTATTAAAACAATTATGTTCTCCACCGTTGCTAAAAAAGGTTCCGCGTGAATCCAGTTTTTTGTCATCTATCCATGTATTCCCAACCACAATTTTATATATACAGGGTGACTTCGAAGTTGAGTCATTTATTTTAACAGTGAGTAGATCTGATCAAAAGAAATGTTTTTTTCCTTTACCATTTTTCTGGTAAAATTAAAGTAACAAAGTTATAGCCCTTTGGAAGTTTGAGTACCGCCCTGTCTCAATAATAATATTATGTGCTCGTGTTTGGCGACAACGGATATAATCCGCCGTATCGGTTCATCGCATCGGAAACAAAAAAGCGAAAGAATTTGGAACGATGTTTTTACAATTATTTTATTCATTTGTATACAGTCAGTGTCAGTGAATAGTGGTGTCTGTTGCGTAGCTCAAACGAAATAAAAAATGGCACATGTTTATGCGGATCGGTTTCCCAATCGAGTGCAACCAACCCCTCGTGCCTTTGTTAATGTAGTACAACGGGCTCGTGAATCAGGTGACGGCATGCCGGTGCTCCAAGACCTCACGATCAAATACAGGTCCGCACTGAAATACTTGTCGGGAGGATATTTTATAAAACAAGGTAAACATTTTTTTATAATTTTTTTTTATTTTTACACACATATTTTGGTTTATCTTCCTTCTACAATCATTATCTGAAAATTAATGACTCAACTTCAAAGTCAACCCTGTATATATATATATATACATATATATAATATATAACTTGAGACGTGGTCATTGTCGTTTAAACCAGTTAGGTGAACAATAAAGCTTCCACCTTTTGTTGGGTACTTCGACAAAATTCAAGCAAAGGGGACTCTTTATACATTATTAATCTCTAGCTTTCAATGGACTTTGCCATCTGCATCAGGAGCTGCAATAACATTGAGAAGAAATAGCAACTATAGTGCAAAATGATTTTAAATTAACTTTCAGTCATATGTGAGATTGTTGCTAAATGTTATTAACGTTTAGGTTGAGGGTTGCAGCACGTACATATCTCTCTAAATTTCGACTTTTCACAACCATAAATGGCATCTGTGTTTTGGTGTATTCGACCCTTTCCCTCCAAAATTTCCATTCCATTCAAATTTGAATAATTGTTTTTTTCTCATCAACAATACAGTTTGTTCAACTGCCTCTGGTCTGCTGACAAGTTCTTATTTAACATATCTTGATAATTAACACCATCTAAAGTGATTTGGCAACATAGTACACACTTTACAAATTTTCGTTCCATCCATCGACACTGACACCACCAACTTTGTTGTTTCCCTCAACCTAAACGTTAATAACATTTAGCAACAATCTCACATACGACTGTAAGTTAATTTAGAATCATTTTGCACTATAGTTGCTATTATTTCTCAATGTTATTGCAGCTCCTGATGAAGATGGCAAAGTCCATTGAAAGCTAGAGATTAATAAAGTATAAAGAGCCCTCTTTGCTTGAATTTTGTCGAAATATATATATATATATATATATACGAGAAATTCTAAATCATATAAAATATTGGGGCACATTTTCAGATCCACTCAGCATCTTTCAAAGTTTTTCGAATTTTATACTGCTCTTTGGTGAGTATTTTGGAGTACAACACATCAATATGGTCGCCAAATTTAATTGGTCACATTAACTTCATTGAAGTAGTGCAAGGTAAACTTTTAAAATGGGTTGGGAGTCAAAATGCTTCAGAATTAATGAGCACGTTAAACATAGGCTCCTTGAAACACAGCAGGACAATTTTTTATTTATGTTTTATGTTTAAAGTAGTTAATGGTGTCATATATATTGCCCAGAGGTGCTTGCACAAATAAATCTTAATGCTATTGAATGACGAACTCTCAATACAGAACTGATTATATTGCCACATAATTCTACCAATTATTCTTAGATCTGACAACGTCTCTGTAAGCAACAATATAGATATTTTCAGTAACAATATTAAGCACATCAAAAAGAAAGATATTTGGATCCCTGCGGCACACCGCTAGTCGCAGCGAATACTTCGGATCTCACATTATTTACACATACATACTGTTGTCTATTAGATAAATATGATTTTAATAGCAACAAATAATTATTTTGTAAACATAGATAGCAAAGTTATATAAAGCGATGGTCATCTGCTTTTAAAGGGTAATGATAGGTAACAAGTTGGAAATTAGAAAAATGTACAACTATTGCGGAAAGTCATGAAATGTACGCAACTGGGACAATGCGGTATTCGTAAATACAAGCATGGGCCAACTGTTGAGAACGCTGCAAAAATCTAGAGGAAACGAAAACGTCACGTGAAAGCTGATAGCGCTTGTGGGAGGGAAATAAGATATGTTGCTTATGGTTTTTACAAAGAGAGTAAGAGATAAAAAAATATTAATTTTAATTTTTCAACTATCAAAAAATTTCGGATAGCCAAATGCATCCAGATTGCTGTAACATGGAAGATCAATTTTTTTACATAAGTGGTTTTTAAACGACCTGTATTCATTATAAATTATTGTGAGAGGTTCTGCACATATTTAACCTGTATTTGAATTACATTACACTGATGATGGACAAGTAACCAGAAGCACGTGTCTTTATTATTTTTACAGGTAAAATTACAGCTACTGGAAAGGACATTGCAGTCTGTTCCACTGACTCACCGCGTCATCTAATATAATACAGACTAATACAAAGATGTCACTTGCTGATCCGCTGTTCACCTCAGTAGACGTCAAATGATATCACAACCATCTTCCATATGTCAAACGTTTTTACTACTTTACAAGTTCCTTCTAACTATACCTTCCGAGTTACGAGTATATCGCTTATCCATAAAATTGCAAGATACAATTAAACAAAACCTATTTCACTTACTTGTTGCAAAGAGCTTCACATTCCACCATACTATGCGAGGTTAAGATGAACGACAAGTTCTGCTTATCCTGCATCTTCTTGATGAGGTCCCAGCACTTCCTTCTTCCCGATGGATCAACGCCGTTGGTCGGTTCGTCCAGTAGTACGAATTTGTGATGACCAATCAAGGAGACGGCAAGACTCAGCTTGCGCTTGTTACCTCCGCTGTAATGACCGCAAGGAATGTCCGCGTATTTCTCAAGATCTGAAAGGTCAATTATTATAAGGTTTATATAGATTTGAAAATGTTATGTCAGCTTAAAATCTTATTGATATAATTTTAGGCGGGACCAGATTTGGTTAGTGACTTGGTAGGATTTGAATTACTATCTCCTTATAACGATATGAGAAGCACATAGTCCAATCCACGATCATTTTAAGGTAAAAAAGAATCGGTAAGAGACTGCTTGGATTTTAGCATTCATTATGAAAAATTGTAAATAAGACTGGAAGTATAGTAAAATATTTAACAAGTGTTCCTGAAAGTCTGAATTCAAACAGTGTAGCAAAATAATTTGCTATGTTATGATCATGCACAACTTTCTTATACTGTTTAACGGTTCCATATCAGATCACATATTTTCTTAATTATTTTATCACTAGTCCTCAATACTTACCAAAAACTTTGAGGAAATTATCAATATATTCTGGATCATCGATTCCCCGCAGACTTGCGATCGTGGTCAGAATCTCACGACCAGTCAAAACGTAATTCAAGGCATCGGATTGTGGACAATATCCTAACTGCTCCAAGTACTGAAAAATGATACGTTTAAATTTATGTTACCTAATAACTTAATAACAATGTAAATCGTATAGCTGTGGAGTTTTGGCAGTTCTAAATGTATTCTATTGCAAACTTTGTTTCATGTAATCAAACTTTTAGTCGTAACACTCTAAGGCCCGTATCGTCAGTCGTCCCTACAATTGTAGGGCGCGTTTATGGCCTCCTTGATTGTCATCCTCTTTTCTCTCCTTCAAAAATTTCTAGATTACACTTGTCCCGTGTCAGCGTCAGCGCTCTCTTATTGTGAAGATATGTTTTCTTTTCAAATTGTAGGAAATTTCAGGCTCATAAAACATGATATAACTCAAAAGCAAGCACAATTTGATGCAAATAGATGTTTGTAACATAACCTCAAAATAGAGTTCTGACACGGAGAAGCAGAAAACTATGACAATCAAGGAGGCCATAAACGCGCCCTACAATTATTGTAGGGACGACTGACGATACGGGCCTGAATGCTCCGATGTTTCCCTGATTCATTTATACAAGGGGTACTATAAAAGTTTTGCAATACATCTTCATGTATTGACTTCGTTGAAACTAATTTACACCACAGTCAATACACTTCTCCATCCGCCAAAACCAGACCTTAAACCAGCTCTGCCAAGTTTCACCCGGAAGTGCGGCACACTCGTCCCAATCCGTCAGAAGGTCCTCATCGCTAGGAAACCGCTTTTCTTTTAGCATGTGGAAACAGTGACAAGTCGCAGGGAGCAAGATCTGGACTGTAACGAGGGTGCTCAATAAGTTTCAGTCCAGTAGTGCTCAAATACTCGATACAAGCTTTGGCACGGTGAGCTGTAGCGTTGTCATTGTGGAGGTACCAAGTGTCCATTTTTGACTTTGGCCGCATGTTTTTCATAGACTCTATGACTTTAGGCAGGCACTGTTCCAAGTACCACTTAGCTATGACTGTGTTCTGTGTGTCCAAAACGACACGCTCCACAATCCTGCTCGATTTGAAATATACAGCTATCATTGTTTTCTTAACAGATCGGGATTTTCTGACATCTACGGGTGTGTCCTCATTATCAAAGGCCCAAACTTTGTTTTGAGTCTTGGTCGGCACATCGTAATAATAGAGCCAACCCTCGTCACCTGTCACGATGCCGTTCGCATACCGAGATTGCCACTTATTAAACATTTTCAGCATCTTTCGGTACGATGAGTCTTCTGCTCTTCCGCAGACTATGCGGTACCCAGAGAAAACAAAGTCTCCTTACGTGTTTTGCTCTGTTACTAACGTTGGCGGCCTTCCTTCCCTCTCAGCGTCCTCCAGAGTGAAATTGCCTCTTTGAGATTATCTGTACCACCGGAATATAGTAGTACGATGAGGACAGTATGCAAGCATCATTTCTTCTAAGCACTGGTCTATGTGTAAACTACGCTTAAAGTTATACCGTAAAACAGAAATTATCTCACTACGTGACCACGATGCCATGCCATGCCATGCCACTTTACACTGTCAATACGAATGAACAACTATATCAACAGCTGGCAGCTTTGTACTCATGGACATATCCCAACATGCTGCGTCCGTTTGTTGGGTCATATTGCAAAACTTTCATAGTACCCTTGTATAATCTATTTTGATTAATATTTAAACTCACTATGCTATTGGGGTTCTGAATAATATTTAGTAAGCATGCTAACTTTTCTTATCTTCTAGAAAGTGAACTAACTACTGGCCTTGTACTACTAGTGCTACTACAACTACTAGTTACTTTTTATTATCCCATAACATGCATTTAGCAAGTTGAATGTAAACATTAGAATTCCAAATGGATCAACAATCAAAACCTTATACAAAATACCTTAGCTACTGTACATTAAGTGATGTGATGATGACATGATGATGACCTCAAAAACACTGCTTCGGACTTCTATGTGTTGTAAAATTACGCTTCGATGGATGTTATATCTTCAAAGTTGTTATTGTTGTTGTCTTCTTACGGTATTTAGATGGTCAAAGAATCAATCAGATCTATGGTTCCAAGTAACAGGGTTGCCATAGTTTCGGTTTGATACCCGAACGATCGGTGTTGATTTACAACAGATTTATTGGCTTAAATTAGCCGAATTATTTTGCGATACCTTAGTGTATCATGCGTGATGGAATATATTTTATACAGTATACGAAAGGTGCAACTAGAAATCGGAAAGGGCAGAAGGAAGACTATTCTACCGGCACAGTACATGAGCAGAAGCAAAGAATAGAAAGAATAGAGGAATGAGCTGTGGTAATAGTTCTACACTTCCAATATAGATATATCATACCGAAATAGTTCTTTTTTTGTGGATGTGAGCTCCGTTTGCAATAACAGGTGTATAGGAGCAAACAGAAAATAATATCGTATTGTATTGTACTCAGCTGGTTATTGAGGTGGAATGCTTGTTTATATTGATGACAAGATAAGACGAGATTTCTTCTCTGTCAGTCTCCAATACTAGTTTTTTCATCACCGTATAGGTACTATACACCTTAGTTACCTTTTCCAACGCTTGGTCAAGTTTTTTTTCATATTTATGTAGTTGAGTCTGTGACGGCCGTGACTTTTCTCAGTCTGTCAGAACGATAGTAGTGTGGATTCTGGTTTGACAAGTACCATGAAAATAGAGATTGAGATTACTACTTCCTGGTTATAAATCGAAGCACTTGATAATCACTTCATTTATGTTTATGTTATGCTGTATTGTATTGTGTTAGGGACAGATCAGCCCAGGATAACTGCATAGACCGAGAGCAGTATTTTGGTTTGTTGTATATGTTTTAAAAATTACTATCGCGAATTTTATATTTTCACAATCGCGAAGAGTCATGAAACATTCACAACGTTCAACTTAAGGTCTATCCAGAAACCATTCATACAACAATACTAATAAACAAACGTTTCCGGCAGTCACTGCGATAATCTCATTGTTTAACGTCGTATCAACGTCTCCATCGACGACTTCTGATCTAGTTAACAACCGAAAAATACTGGTTTTCCAGCACCGTTGACACCCAGAATGCTCAACATTTTCTTTGCCTTGAGACAGAGGTAGCTGTACGCCTTTCTCATGTCGCCACCCATGTCTCTTCTCAAGTATACCGGTACACAGCACCAAGCATATCTCACACCGATTTAGGTATTTGATGTGGCGTTAATGATGTGTTCTCTCTAACAGTCAGATATTGGCCCTGCAGCTTTGATCAAAAATATTACGTCTAGTTTACTATTATTTTGTTGTTTCTTATTATTATAATTATTATTATTATTACCGAACAAACCAACGACAGTATCACGTTTCTCTACATTTTCGTGATTACAATACCGGTTCATACACTTCGACTGTGATGATGCATGCACATACGTTCTACCAAGGCTCTACCCAGAATCATGCATTATTATAACACTCCGCCTAATCAACTAACTTTTCCATCATTGATTTTGATAGTCTCATTGTTCAAGGTCATATCTACTTCTCCTCCATCAACGACTTCCTCCCTTGTTAACAACCGGAAAGTTGTAGTCTTCCCAGCTCCATTGACCCCCAGAATGCCCAGGCATTCGCCGTTGCCCAACGTGAAATTGATATTTTTCACAATCTGCTTTCCCGAATACGACTTTTTGAGCTTCTTTGCCTTGAGGCTGAGGTCGCTGTACTGGCTGTCGCCATCGACGTCTCTTCTAGAGTTGATCTGCTCATAATTGCCGTACATCAGTTTGCTGAACTTGTACGTGATCTTTGAGATGATACGTTTGAAGCAGTACGTGTCAAGGACTATGGTTATCAATGAGAAGATGACGAAGCATATTGTGAACCATACGACGTTTGATTCGATAAGTTTGTTGTAATCGACACATTGTCCGCCACCTGAAACAAAACGCAGAATTATACGTTTTATATGCAAGGTGATTTAGAAAACAATGGCAATATATCTTGAGGAGAAGGTAAATCTAGAAATAGGAACTAGTTCCTATTAACATAAGGTCTATAAATTCATATATGAGACTGGCAACGTAGCTTTCGATCTAACTATACTGGAAACGCTGGGCTTGGAGGGGAGACGGGGAACATGTGATCTGCCTTCAGTACAAGTTTGAACTCGCTCGAGTCGTTTAGGTGTGCGTAGCGATTTCTTTGATTGTGAAACAGTCTTTTCTATTGTGTTCTAAAAATGAGTGACATCAATTTCGAGCAATGGTGTGCTATCAAGTTTTGCTTCAGACTTAAGCACAGTGCAACGGAAACTCTTGCTAAACTTTAGAGGCGTACGGAAACAGTGTTTTGTCAAAAGCCTAGGTTTTCCGTGGCTTAAGGCATTCTCAGATTGAAGATGAACCACGAAACGGAAGGCCTTCATAGTCAAGAAACGATGAAAATATCGACAGAATCTGGAATCTTGTACGATCAGATCGTCTGTTGATAGAACGATCGGGAAAGAGTTAAATTTGACTCACATCACCGTTCATCAGATCAAGGACAACTGGTTGTTGCATCCCGTCAATGCTCCTCGTCACATAGGGATGTCGATAAACGAGTTTTTGACCAGTACAAACATTCCTGTCGCTCCTAAGACTCCTTATTCGCCTGACTTGAGCCCTTGTGGATTTTTTCTCTTCCCGGAGTTGAAAAATCACCACATTTTGGGACAGTCCAAAACGTTCAAACGGCTGTAACCGACCAGCTGAAGGCTATTCCAGTATTGGAGTTCCATCATTGCTATGAGGAGTGGTAGAACCGTCTCTAGCGCTATATGGCTTGAGAGGGAAGTTACTTTAAGGGTGACAAGATAAAATTGTAGTTATATTTGAATCAAAAAATTAAGAAAAAAAATCACTCATCACTTAATTTACAGACCTCGCATGTCCTAAAATGCCCCATACATCACCAAGATTCCGGTGTTGCAAGTTTATACCGTCTGATGGAATAAAACATGAATATTCTTCAAATAAAGATACATACTATTTTAAATATCAAATGTCACTAACCATAACATATTTTTACAGTAGAATGAATTGAAGATTTTTATATTTTTCCTTAGATATTCAAACCTTTTTTTTTCTGCTGAGCTTGATACAACCTTAAGCGAACACATAAAAAATGCTTCAATATTTAAAGGAACTTCGAAAGAAATACAAAACGATCTACTGAATTGTATTCTTGAAGTTTGTCATGAAGAAATAATAAAACCGATTAACAGAGCCTCGTATTTGGCGATAATAGCAGATGAAACAACGGACATTTCGGGGAAAACCCAACTGGTAACAATTTTCAGATACGTATTTAACGGCGAACCAGTAGAACGTTTTTAGAATTATATGAATCCCGAAAAATGTGACGCTGATACTCTCACAAGACATATTTTGAGCGTCGTAGATCCATTAATAGGAAATTTCCCTAACAAAGTGATTTACAAAAAGCTATGATAGAGCCGCGGTAATGAGCGGACATAATGCTGGAGTACAGGTAAAAATTAAACAAAGATATTCATTTGCTCACTATGTGCATTGCTATGCGCATCAGTCCGATTATGTCCCAAGCTGCTTCCGCAAATGCTCAAGTTCGGGTGTTCTTTGGGGATTTGAAAGATATTCCGGGATTTTTTAATAATTCTCCTCAATGCGTAGAGGTACTGAACAGAATTGTGGGGAAAAATTCTCCAAGGAGCAACAACTCGTTGGAATTTTAATATTCGAATAATAAATGTAGTGTTTGAGAACAGAGAATCACTCATTGAATGCATGGAAGAAATATAAGAAAATTTCACTAATGAAACTGTTTGCAAGGCAGCTTGCGGTATTCGCCGTATGTTAAACGATTCTGTTTTCGTGTTTTGGTTGACACTTTTTCATCATGTCATGCCTCAATTTTAATAGCTCTATCCATTCCGAAGATATTTTTTTGTATTTGAAATTATCCTGTGTCTCGGTCAGGGGAGATGTTTCGTGTTATATTAGGATCTACTTTCTTGTTTTCTGAATCGCCTTGTACTTATGCAGCTGCGAAAGAGAAGCTTAAATACCGAAGTATCGTGACTAATATGAAAAAATTAAACGTCTCTTACGTATGAGAACTTTGAGCTTGTTAAGGTTTAATAGACCTTGAAACAGTTTTTTTCAAATCCGACATTCTCAATGATCTGTGCTCAAGTAGCTGGCATACTGGTCAGTTCTCTAGGTTGGTCGAGTTAAAATCAGAACCACAACCAGGACAAATCCATCTAGCAAGCCTAAAACGTGGAGGCATCGTGCAGAGGAGCAAATTTCGTTGACATTTTGTTAGAATTTCGGACTATCACCGAAATGCATTATGTATCGACAATCTAGTTGGGACGCGAGCAGTTCTTTTGGAACAGCCCGGCTGTTTATCGAAACCGAATGTGCATTTGGGCACCACTTGTTAGGTGAAGTACAGTACTCTGTCATTCACCCAAAGTCAAGCTACCTATTGATTCTTAGAGTTTATAATGATTGATATTTATGAAACGGATATCTGCTAAGCAAATAAAAAAGTGAATCTCATTTAGGCACTTTTTATAAGCAAAATTATTAAAAATCGTAAACAACACAGGTCTATCTTTCAATCAACTTGACGGACCTTAATTTCTATTTATCAGCGTCGCATGTGCCTTTTTTCAAAAGCCCGTCTGGAGGAGTGTTCTAAATACTTTTCAAGGTGTGAGATGAGTGAAAAAATGCATTTTTTCTTCTATCGTAACTTTTTAACAAATAATAGAAAGCTCTAAAATTGTATATAAGTATTCCACTTTCATGAGTGAATTGAACTTTTTTTTATCACTTTCTGTATTCAAAAAAGCTTTGCTTTTCTTGAAACTCAATTTTCTGCAAAATGAGGTTTCTGAAAAATCAAAGATTTTTCGACGAGAAAAAGTGATAAGAATTAACCGGCCCAATTCTATTATAAACATAAAGCAGGCACTTGAAAAATAGGGACATGCGACATTAAACTGCCAGTCAAACTGATTTTCGACTTCCGATTTAAAAAACCGCACCCAAATCAGTGCATACGTTAACGAGCTATTATGCTACCTACAGAGAGGCAGACATATACATACACACATTAAACTTATAACACCCTCCGTTTTTGAGTCGGAGGTTAATAAAATATCGGATCAATATGAATTCAAATCGATTAACATAGACAAATTCTTACTCACCCCTACAGCACGGCATATCCGGCTCATGAGTGCAATACGCGGCGACCCTTTGCGGGGTGACCTTGAAGTTGTAATTATCGACAGCATCTTGCGCGAAGAACGTCAACAGATAAGTGAGAGTAAACTGTGGACACAAGCACATGAGGACGTCCTTCAACGTCCTGCCTATATTCGCATAGTACTCATCGGCTTCCGTCATGCCCCATACGACCAGGGTAGGGATTACGCCCATGAACAGTCCGCATATGATGAACAGGGCGAACGCGCTAGATGATGATTTGCAACGACTGTACAGGTACGTGTATGGTAGGCCAACTATGCCGTAGATCAGGAAGATGGCGTACAGAATTCCTGTAAAAAATGGATTAAATAAAGCAAAGTGTGATATAGCTACGTTGGACACATAGTTCATACTATTTTGCCATTACTTATAAACCTCTATATACGGAGTGTTTCAAATTCGACCATCATCATTGGGATCTCGGAAACTGTAAGAGATACGAAGTGGCTTAAATGGGGGCAAAGTTGCGTATTTACGTAATCAACAAAATGCCACTTAGAAAATTCATAGTATTTCCGGAATGAACAAAATTTTCCCAAAATCGTTTTGATTTTTTCCCGACTTTATTTGTAGTGAGATTTCGAAATAAATTGCAGATTAATACCGCCTCTTTTTGTCCTCTACAAGACGGCATAATTAGAATTTCAAAATGACGTTTCGCCTCTTGTTCTCCAGCATCAACTTCATTTTTTCTAATGAACGCCGTATTGGATTTTTGCGCAGTTGAATATAGTATTTAAGTCTGATTTCAAAAATGTGTATTATGTCATCTTCATTTTCATGTTGTGTAGGTTTCCCCATACAACAAATTCATGACCAATTTAGGAAATGCATCACTGAATTTAGGACTGAAAAGTCCATTTAAATGTACAAAATTCTAATATCCATATCCATATGACAAAACAAAGTTGGTGATGGAAGTTGAAATAAAAAATATCAAATTGAAAATTTGACTGCACATATTGTAGGGGAAAATAAATAACAATTACAACATGCAATTAGTTTTGAAATCCCATCTCAAATAAAGTCAGGAAAAAATAAAAGCGATTTTGGGATAAATCTAGTATGCAAAACAAATGACTATCTGATAATTTCAAGGCCGACCTATGAAATTGTTTTTTTAATAACCAAGGTTTGACATTGCATTCAGATTTAAAACGTCTATTTATCTGTATAAAAATCCAAGATGGATTCCTTAAGAAAAAATAAACTTGATGCTGGAGGACAAGAGACGAAACGCCATATTTAAATTCTAATTATGCCATCTTGTAAAGGAGAACAAGTGGCAATGTTAATGTGCAAGTTATCTTGGCATTACACTATAAATAAAGTCAGGAAAAAATTAAAACAATTTTAAGACAGTTCGGTTTTATCCGTCTATCTCCGGAGGTACTTTGAAACTTTCTAAGCATGATTTTGTTGATTACCTAAATACGTGTTTGGGTATAGATGTAAATTAAATAATGCAACTTTGATATGTAGCTCAATTGTGGAACATCTTGTATAATTATGAATGCTTTAGGAACGCATTTCCAAGTACTCAACACAATTAATGATCCATAATCAGTTTATTTAAAAAAAATTGATCTAGCGAAAATATGTTGTGTATGCAAGTGCAAGGTCAGGACACCCTGTATAACAATGCCAGTGAATTTGTTTTTTTGTAAAAAAATATCAGGATTTTGGTAGCAGATGGTTTAAAACAGCAAACTGCAAGATACCGAGAAGTTGATAGAAAATATACTTTTTTAAAATTATCAGCAGGATCTTATAGTAGTTTTGATTTGTTATTGCAATACAAGAAGATGGTCAAATCAGCTCCAATGGTTAAGATGCAAAAAAATTATCTTGGATTTACGATACCAATTTATTAAAACATTATAAAAAAGTATGAGCTATGTGTGTCAAAAAAGTAAAAAGTCGCTTTCAAGATATGACTAAGAACGTGAGAAAAACTAGTAAATTCGATTTTTTCAAATTCTATTATTTCAACCAATTTCCACTCTTGCTAGAGTGGCGCATGTTGAAATTCTTGCTACATACCCTGCACTCAAATTAAATACTTCCAAGAAAAAAACTCAGATGCTTCAATTTAAGGCATAATACGCCTGGCCTATAATCTTTTCATAGGAAGTCTTGTTCCCTTACTGCAACACCTACAGCAGGTAGCCTCAGTACATACAATCAAGGCAAAATAAGTGATGTTACCATATCCGGCTTTTTTGTTGCGTCTCATCAAACAAAATCAAATGACACTGTAAAAGTTTTGAATATTGACTTACCAAATTCCGTGCCACCATGGAAAGGCGCAGAAAATATGGAAACAATCCCAGCCATCACGAACATTATTAAAGCGTAAATAGCTAAATCCGAAATATAATTGATGAACCAATAATAGAACGGCGTAGTACTGCACATGTACTGCAGCTGGTCGAACTTTGTAGATTTCTCCACCCAGGGGTACAAAATGAAACTTCCTAAAACGAAGAGACATCCGATGGGGATCAGTATCAGCCACAAGAGCGTTACTTTAACTTTGATGTATTCCTGTGTATCCATAAACGCCAGTTTTGCGGAAAGCGGCCAATTCGATACAGATATAGAGTAGTCAGGGCCTAAAAACGAAAGAATTTGTGATGTATCGGGTTTTCCAATAGGGACTTGACAACTTTGAACTTTCACTGTGAACGCATCTTTAAATCAATTACCGAGCTGCCAACGTCAAAACATTCAGTAAAGAAAACATTTTCATCATGGTGAAGTACACGAACGAACAACGGTTACAAATAATTAAAATTTACTACCGAAATTCCGAGTCGGTGACTGCAATATTAAGAGCAAACATTAAACGAGAGATAGCGCCCGTTTCTGTCGAAATGTGTGACCGAGTCATCGAAAATTGGGTTCAAAGAATCGATCGCTGCGAACGTGCCCGTGAATTCCATACATAAATGTTTTGAGTATCCTTCAATCCAATAATAAAATTTTCGATGTCTCAAATGGTTTGCGTTTTATTTAAAAAGAAAGTTGTCAAGTCCTTAATGGAAAATCCTTTGTATGACATAATGGTTAGAATTACAGTGCAATAGAATTGAAGCAACGTCCAAATGTACAATTTCTTGAGAGCGTCAACCGTCAAATATGATCACGCGATTGAATTTGGAGCTATACATTTGCTATGAACGGACAGCAATAGCTATTACAAGTACTCAGGGCCGACAGTCGTTCATAAGAAACACCCAAGCGGATGCTGAGGTAAGGACAGAGCGAATACAGTGGTCTCAATGTATAAGTGTTTAGCACATAGTGAGTTGTGTTTCAGATTTGTTATTGCCATGGTATTCCAAAAATATTTACGTAATTTTGCATAATGGTACATTTTAGAAGCAAAAACGATCTCATTCTATTTACTTAAAATCACTAGTTTTAAGCTGTAACCTACAGTCGAGTCGACCACAGTCAAATAGCATCAATGTTGGGCTGTGGTTAACTCTGATGCTCGACGCTCCCATGAAAATGCCACATATCAAATAAAATTGGTAGTTGTACAAAATTATATACCTAGTAAGCTTTTGACGAGAGAGTTTGTGATCAAATTGAATGAAATTGGTTCACTGTGAATCGCCTCAATGTTGAAAAGAGCAGTTGCCTTGATATATTCTGGAGTGATATCGAATTCAGCACCGGCGATGACGTGTTCCTTGTAATATATAATATTCTCCAATCCTTTTCTTATAATTGCTGAAAAAGAAATATTCATATAGCATACAAGAAAGGCCGTCGTTCTCATTATATGATGTATGGCCACTAATACAGGGTGGACCAGAATGACGTATGAATTTGAAAACCACATTGCTCGTGAAAGGCACGCTGGAGCGGGAAACGGGTAGTGGGGATAAGTAGCTTGGTGCTCGGAAATTTAGTCGCCATGCAGCGTTTCACCGCTGTGCAGCGAGCGTACTGTGATAAGGCTAATTATAAAAATCTAAATCAATGTCATAGTGAAAGTGTGATCGGTCTTGGGTCAGAAAGTTCATGTCCACCGGTTCGACACTGATTCAGAAACCTGCGGGGCGTCCAAGGTCAATACGAACGGAGGAAACTGTAAGCGAAGTTGCGACATTCGTACGGCGCGATCCACAGTTATCATCCCGAAAGAGATCCGCTGAGCTCGCCATATCAAGAACATCTGTAAGGCGTATTTTGGTAAAAGACCTCAAATTGCACCTATATAAACTTCTACTAGTGCAGGAATTAAAACCGCAGGATCACCATCTACGCCGTGCGTTTGTCAAAAGAATGTTAGAGCGCTTTCCAAGTTTGAACAATATTTTCTTTTTTTTTTATACTCCAACTACCACGAAGGCCTAAGGCCTAACACCCATGGGGTACCGAGGGGCTATAGGGGGATACATCCTGGCCCCGCCTAAGAGATTCGCCGGGTGGTACATCCGCGTTCGACAGTCAGAGACCGTCTCCCACCTACGAAAGAAGAAGAAATGAGATGAAAACGGAAGTTGAATTTGACTGGTTCTACACCACGGGATGTACGCGTACAAATTCAATTAGTTTTTCATCATTCATGTTTTTGACCAAATATATTAAAATAATCACGAAATTACCTAAAAACACGGCCATGAAAATCGAAAAATATCGTTCCAAAACCATGCGATGATTACGGTACGGCGTCGTCGAGGGCAATGAGAACACGGCCACTTCTACGTGCCGGTCTAGTGTGAATCAGCTCCGCCCACCCTGCACCCCACTCTCCGCCTAAGATGCGACTGGCAGAGAGAAACGGGCATGCGACTGTGACGTAATCGAGAGCGTTCCGGTACGGTCGGCCGGCGCGCAACGCTGCTGATCAGTCGATCTTTGGATGTCGCGGAGGCATCACGTCGCGCGCGTCGTGTACAAACAAAGAAACATCTGCGGTTTCGAATGTGATGTTAGATTGTTTCATCGTGTAGTGTGCCGTTTTGCAGTGATTTTATGGTGTCATGTTACATATTGGATACATTTGGAGACACGACAAGGCTTGCCTTAGGGTTTGGTAAGTTCTGAATTCATTTGTTTACACTTTATTGAGGGTGTACAAAATAATTGGAACAACTTTCTTGTAGATATTAGAGGCTTACGTAAACGTTAGCCCTGTTTGATGCTTAAATCAATGAACAACAAATAAAGCTAACAGTTATGTATGCTATATTTGTGATTGACCTAACTCACTACTTCAACTCATCCTGACGTTTATTATGTGCTCCTTTGGAAACAAATCTTTATTCAATAGCCAATTTTTCCAATCTGTGTGTAAACACTAGCCTCGACAACAATATTTAGAGTGCGAATTTTAGATACGATAAATTCCACTGACTTTTGTGTGTCTTTAATTTCTGAATACATGTACATTTTTTACGTTATTTGGTAGGTTATTACAATTTTTACTGCATCAGTGACAGGGTTATTTAATCCTATATTGGTCCTAGTATTAATCTGGTACAAATTATTATGTGATCTTGTTTCATGCTCGTGCACATCATGTGTGAACAGAGTGTTTGATTAAACTTTTGTTATTATTTTAAATTTTGAAAATCATTTTACATTGTTCTAATTCCAACAGCTTATCTAATTTACAAACGTTCAATACTGTATACATATTATCCGTGTTGGCAAGTCGGTCATACTTGAAAAAAATGTTTAATATCCTATTTCTATATTATATATTCTATTTAAACCTGTGTTTACCCACACATTCCCGAAATAGGTGATATACAGGGTGTTCCATAATTATTGCGACAAAATGATAGGGGTTGTAGAGGGCATCAAAATGAACAATTTTTCCTTATAAACCCCTGTTCGGAAATATGCCGTTTGGGCTGCAGCAAAAAAAAGATCAGTTTCTTGAAACAGCTTACCTACAGTAATTGCTCAAAGTGTCCTCCACCTTGCTCAATACACAGCTGTGCACGATTGTTCAATGATCGGCGAACTCTGTGGCATACCCCCGGTATGTCCTGAACATGTGCGGACGCGGCCATCACTCTTCCCAGTAGCTCTTGTTGGTTGGGAACAGGAGTTTCGTACACTAAAGCTTTCAGATAGCTCCAGATAAAATAATCCAGTGGGGTCAGGTCAAGTGACCGCGCAGGCCAAGGCACAGGGCCACCTCGGCCTATCCACCTATTTGGAAATTTGTCGTCCAAATACTGCCGCACTTGTAAAGAAAAGTGGGCTGGACCGCCATGGTGTTGAAACCACATGTTGGCTCTTATATTCAGTGGCACATTTTGTAATAGTTCCGGTAGTACATGCTGTAAGGATCGACCATAAGCATGCCCATCCAAACGTGGTGGAAGCAGATATGGCCCGATGATATGCTCGTCCACAATGCCGCACCAGATGTTAATTGAAAACTGATGTTGGTCTCTATGGATGGCTATGGCATGAGGGTTTTCTTCATCCCAAATGTGACTGTTATGGCTATTAAAATAACCGTCCTTTGTAAAACAAGACTCGTCAGTGAAAAAAACGTAGCGACTAAAGTTTGGTTGCCTCAACTCCTGCTGCAGCCACCAACGGCAAAAACGTCGACGCGGCAGATAGTCTGCTGGACCCATGGCTTGGACTTTTAAAAGGTGGTACGGGTGTACGATAACAAAAATGTAAACACAGCAGGCTTTTTTTACAAACCGGTGAGACCATGAAATGTGCTAGACGAACATTTTGCAGCTGGTGAATTTTTTGTTTCTCCTATGAGCTCTTAAGGTAAAATTAACTGTAGTGCTCAAACGGCATATTTACGAACAGGGGTTTATAAGGCAAAATTGCATATTTTTATGCCCTCTACAACCCCTATCATTTTGTCGCAATAATTATGGAACACCCTGTATATCTAAAGTGTACCAATACAAATGCATTATAAATGTTCATTTTACTTTTTGTAGTTAGGTAGTCTCTGCTTCTCTACAAAGCAGCTATCATCGACGTTGTTTTATACAAAATTTAATGTGACTAGTAAAACAATTCAAATTCTCATTGATAATTAAACCCAGGTATTTGATGCTTGATACTTTTCCTACTATAAAATCATTTATTCTTATACAGTAGCAGACAAAAGTTTGTAAACATTCTTAGTGATTTTTAAAAGTGTGCTCGATTTTATTATTTATTATTAAGGACTATTTTTTTCTCATATAGTTTGCTTAGTCTTGAGAATACAAATGACAATTTATGTGTTGCTGTGGTACTACAGACTAGCATTAAAATACCTTCATATATTTTATGACCGAAAATGAGATGACATAAGTATGGAAACATATTTTTCATTACAAAATTAAATACAATATCTCAACAAAAAGGTTTAAAAAATACTGTTCAGCTACTATTTGGTTGCATAGCCTTTAGCATTAACACTGCCTGCAGTTCCTAGAAGACACCAATTTTTTACGGACGTTTGTTGGGATATTTTGCCAGATATTTTTTACATAATCAAATAAATCGCTCCTATTTTTCTTGTCAGTTGTCTTTTAACATGCTCCCAGAGATGTTCTATAGGGTTTAGGTCCGGGGATTGCGAAGGCCATGTAAGAACATTAACATTTTTTAGTCTTAACCAGTCCTATATGAATTTTGCTGGCATGTCCATCGTAAAGGAATTTCTTTTTCAGCAAAAGGGAGCATGAATTCACTAAGAATATCTTTGTAAAGTTTTTGATCTTTATTCTCTCCAATTTTATCAATTAAACCCGTTCCAGATCTAGAAAAACACCCACAAACCACGATGTTTCCTCTACCGTGCTTAACTGTTGGCAACTGATACTTTTTGTTGAATCTTTTTCGTATTGGACGTCTCGAATATGCCGTACCGTCAGATCCGAACAAGTTAAATTTCCTTTCATCGCTCCATAAAACTGTATTCCAATGTTGTTCTGTCCAAGTTAGATGAGTTTTAGCAAATTCAAGCCGAGGAATAAGATTTTTTTTAAAATGAGAGGCTTTGGCACTAGACGCCTACCGAAAAGCCCAAAATCCACCAAGCGTTTCTGCACTGTTCTGACAGAAGGATTCTCGGCACCCTCTTCTACGATTCTTTTGAAAATCTGTGTGACTGGCATTCAAGGATCTTCATGGGACATGTAATGTAATGTATCGATCCAAAACATAATCGGTTTTTTCGGTCTTCCGCACCTGGGCCGCGTTGCTGTTAATCGGTATTCATATTTACAAATAATTTTAGAAATCGTCCCTTTGTTCATTTTTAATCTTTGAGAAATGTCAACATTCATGACAGCACTCCTAAATAATTCAATTACTTTGTCTCTTAAATCTTTTGAAAATTCTCACTGATGTTAATATGTTTACCGCATGCAATATCACGAGTATCGCAGAACTAATAAATACGGCAAAACTGAAATGTTTACATACTTTTGTGGTTACAAAAACTGTGGTATTTAACTGTTGTATTAGTACGGGAGCCAAAGATAGACTTTAATATCTATATTATCCGTTCCTTCACAATTTTAATTAGGGTATATGAAATAGTTCATAATAATGTTAATATTTGTTTCCACGCTTTTGTCCGCTACTGTATGTATACAATAATCAAAAAGTAGCAATTAGCTTATACATACAATCATCAACATTTGGAACGTTGAATGCTGTGCTGCCGTCTGCTTCCACAAGATTTTTATAGTAAGATTTTATCAATCCACTCCTGTCGTTGCTGTGACTGACATTGTAGTAGACTGAACTAGGGCCGTAACTGCTCAACCTCAATTTCAAAACTGGACCGCCACTTTCATCAAAGTCATCCGAATTTTCGCTCAGGTAAACCGTTAGGATGAAGAATATAGAGGCGATTGCAATCTAAAATAAAATAGATTAATTGAAGACAGTATACCAGGACCTTTCGAATAAATCCAATGCTTCTATCAAAAATAATTATTTTTAAAAACTAACAGATTTAGCTATGGAATAGTGTACTAAAAAACTTACTGGAATCGCATATGATACTAGTTTTCGTCTTAAGAACCAATACTTCTTCCGGAACAGAGTGATGAAACGCTTCTTGTAAAGACAGTTTTTGGTTAGTTTATCTGCAAATGGAAGATAGATTTATAGAGTATGCGACTATGTTATGATAAAGATACATCTATTCTCCAAATAGTGCTTCAACAACAGAAATATTGTGCGTAAAATAATCAGCAGGCAAGGTTATTCTGTTTGAAAATATTATCTAGATCACGCTCTTGTCTGGAATTTGAAATAGTCTGTCATCTAGGTAAACTATGTTACGTCACACGTTTTCAAAGAAGATCGTATAGGAAGTCCTTTGCATGCTTTGGCTTGAAAGGGTAGCAGCTAATAAAAATTAATTTGTCAGCCCCAAACATTACATATGTGACTGTACCTAAGACGCTGTTATACTCGTACATGCTTGTTACTAGCACATCAGCATGCTAGATGTTGGATATTACCATGTGTAAGAATCTAACTAGCCGCGAGACAGAAAAAATTACACTAATTTTAATTTTTATGACTTCAATCTGCTCCGTACAAAATGAATCAATCAATAGCCCTTACAATCTTTGTATGCAAAATCAGTATGACATAAGAATGTAAAAAAATATCAGTGGAGTAGATAGACAGTTTGCAATCACCTTATGGCCAGAGTTTTTATGTGTCCTTTCAACATGTTTTACGATTTTATTATACTAGCAACAAATTGATACTGCAAAATAGATGAAAATAGTTGTATGACTAAGATATGAATATGTACAAATGTGTGTATGAGTCATTTGTGTGTACCCTTAAAAATATTTTGGATGTAAGACCTTTTTACCAATAAACCTGATATTAATTGTCTGACACATAACCCCAGAAGGCCTCAACCGTTGATCATGATATGTCTTTATTAATGCGTCAAAAATCAGGCTCAAAAAATAACATTGTTTGTTGGATCCAGTAGTCATCCTCGTACCGATTGCAGATTTCACGAAGTTTTTGATGATTCGATCCATGAAAACTTTTTGTTATTTCGAATTTCAGAGATACTACAGCATTTATATCACAAATAAAATGGTTTACATCCGCCATTACTTATCATAAGGTAATTGGTGTGAAAGTTAACAGGTGTGTGTGTCAAAGTGCACTGTGAAGAGTGGAACTTTTTGTGTTATCCTGAACATCATATATGACAGGTAATGGCGCTCGAAAGCTAATGTCAACAATATCATTTAAATATGACATGGACAAAAAGTAATTTCATCAAGAAGAAACATTTTTTTATGTGCGGAATCAGAATCTACTTTGCTTTGCTCCAGTCAATAACGACTTGTATTTACTTCAACTTAAAGCAAAAACTGTGTATATAGAGTTATCACTGTTCTCCGTAAACTTTGTGAATTTGGATGATAAAAAAACATGCTATAAATTATAATATTGGTGCTATGAGACAGTTGAACGTGTTAGCACTACACATATGGTGTTGTTTTTACCTGTGTATCGTAAATCTGAATCCAATAGCGCTAGATAAAACAGAAAAAATGAATAGTTAAAACATTATTTTGACTACATAAATACCACGCGAATGATTTGATATCAATAACGTGAGAATCTTGCTTTATTGATGTTTGAATTTTTTCTTCGTCGGTTATATCTCAAACAGAAAAGTGTACTTTCTGGAACAATTCGGTATTCGGTATACAAAAAGTCATCTTGCAATTGTTTGTGTGATATCAAGATCAGTATACAAAAAACATTGTATCGTACATAAATTAGTGTTCTTTTACTCTTTTCCCATTTTTATGAATCTTGAAATACCGAAACTATACAAAAATATCCCTGCATACCTGCAATATCAACTTGGTCCTGACTGCCCTCTGTTTCAGTATCGACTTTAACCCTGCAAAAAAATGATAATTTTATGCTACGCTAATCTTGGTAGTGATGTCGCAAAAAATCACAAACTCTCAAAAATCATTAACTCAGCAAGTAGTATACAACATTATGAACAAAAAATGAACATTATATCAGCACAAAATAAGGAAATCATAAAAATTATTTTTCTAATAAAACGAAAGACAACTAAGTGAAAACAGATATATCATATACTTACTTCAAAAATACGTCTTCTAAAGTCGTATGCATAATAGAAATATTCTCAATATTCAGTTCGTGTTCTTTGGTTTCAAGGTTCTTCATAAGATTTTTGATTTTACCCTGTACTTCGTTAGGTATAACATACACAATGTTATTTCCGTTGCGTGTTTTAAATTGAGCCTCTTCGACGTATTCTGTGATAGCGTTTCGGATATTTTTCTCATCTTCTGCAGTTACACTACCTTTCACCATAATTGATAGATGGTATCCGGTATCTAAACAGATGTTTTACTTTATTGTGTTTTAAAAGTACTAACATGTTTCTCCTTGGGACCATTCTCACCGAGAGCAACTACAAACCCTTACATGTGTTAAGTGAACATTGTGCCAAAATCGGAGTCGAAAAGCATTAAAACATCCAACTTGAGGATACAGAATAACAACCACGCCGAACCGAAAATAAAGCATAAACATAACCTATGAAAGCACCTCACCATTATTAATTTCACAAAGACGCAAAAAATATCCGCAGATAAAAATAAGGAAAATCCAAATCACACGAAAATCCACATTACATAGTCGAATTATGAATGATGTGTTGTCAATTGTTGGGGCTAAAAATAATCTAATAATATATCATTTTTCTCATAGAAGATATATTCTAAGTACATGTGAACACTTTTGCATGTTAACTTATTAATAGGTACTGAATACCAAATATAGATAGCATTTTCGGAGATTTACTAGTCTCCATTGACGGATACGCAACATGGAAAATTTCTGAGATGTCTGCAAAAATCCGGATGTAAAAAGATAGGTCTATATTTTTTAGCAGTCGGTGGTTTATGCAAGGAATGTGATAAGCAAGTTTATAGTGTAGAAGTGATCGTCAGGCTCAAGAAATATAATACGCTTACAAGGTGTTGCGAGTTTCCTTCATTATACATATATTTGTTACATTTTGGCGATAAAAAATACCGTATATATTGACTGATTGATTTTGCTAAATTTTAAAGTAAAATACTTTTGGGATTTTTCTTTCAATCAGAGTTCTCAAGAAGCAAAATAGTCTATTTATATTCCGCCTTCTCATGAGTAAGTACGCATGGATGGGAACGCAAAAGCAACACAAGTAAAAGTCAAAATCGAGTTGAGGTCAGGTTGCCGTCGGGTGAGAACAGTACCTTAGAGTACTTTACAATTTTTAAATGTTTCGTTGCTACCCAAATTCATACCGTATTTCTTCTTCAAGTACATGGGCGTGCCATAACACTGCAAAGTGCCGTTCGCCATTATAGCGATCCAGTCACCCAGTGCGTCCGCTTCCTCCATGAAATGTGTTGTAATAAGAATAGTCTTTTCTCCGCGCCATTTAAGTAGCAAGTCCCACAGCTCCCTACGAGATTCAGGATCCATGCCGGATGACGGCTCATCCAATATGAGAATCTGTAAAAGAATGATTATTTTAATATAGTGGTAGTGAATAGTTGCACTATTTGGTCGGCATGCTTAAAAAATCGTAATATGACAGTTACGATTGCGAAATTCGCACTAGGCACTACGCTATCTACACGCCGTGAGCGTCACCTACGGATAAATGACACAATAACCGTTTTGCTGATGTTTGCCTAAACCGCTGCAACCCACATTTCTCTAACATGGTTTATGGGTTGCAGGCTCGCAGGATACTATATGGAGTATATCTCTGGAACAAGATGTGATAAAGGAAATATATTGGAGTATAATGACCGCATTTAGCCGATTGTGTACACAACGACGAATATGCCTCAGGTTCAGTGTAATGGTATATGTTGTACATGAGCATCGCAATATGAGTCAGAAAAACGCAATTTAACATAAGGAAATGCAATCTGACAGTTGTAGGTGTAACTATGTAATAAGAGTGCAGGGCAAGAATATTTCATCCATCAAAACTGACATAAAAAAATATCGCTACAAAAAATTTCTTAATCTAGTGTTTTATGTGATATTTCAATTTCAAAGGCATTCTGGTTTTGCTTACCTTTGATCCACCTATGATCGCCATACCCAGGCATAATTTACGTTTCATACCGCCAGATAGCGTAGCCGCCATGGAGTCTTCTTTCTCCGACATGTTCAGCTTCTTCAATAGGTCTTTCATTTCTCTCCTTGCTTCCTCCGACGATTTTCCTTTCAACTGAATTTCGAAAATTGATAATACATATCGTAGCAATAGAATTCAGTTAACACAAACATATAAATAAAAAAATGAATGTGTATACATCCTGTAAAATAATGTTATGAGTTATTCAGGAGCGAAGTCGCCTCTAACCAAAATATACTGTAATACATATTCTGGGGATCCGATCTCAATGTCAAAAATAGTCAAATTTTCCTGAATACCTGTATTTTTTTTAAAACATGATCACGTAAACTGCTTTTTTTTATTAAAAAACTATGTGTACTTGCTGTTGAAACCAGTGGCAAAATAAATAAAGAACGTCATAAATATTAATAACGATCAGTGGACTTGTATATGAGCTAATATTTTATTCTATGTGGTCCAGGCAATCACAATTTGCAACAACTAAATTACCTTGGCAAAGAATATAAGATGTTCTGCAACTGTCAAATCGGTAAAAAGAAGGTTATGTTGTGGACACAGCCCCAATGTCTTTCTTATTTCATCCATGTTACCCTTGATGTTCATTCCGTTCACTTTTATCACCCCTGAAGTGGCCTCGATCATTCCTGTAATAAATCAACTATGAAATAATACCCTGAGCAAATAAATATCGAGCCCAAGCAGTGATGTGATTTCATTAATATCCATGCACGAGGGGGTACCAAAAAAAAACGGAACTATTTTTTAAAAGCTATTTATTTTCAACGTTTTCACAAAGTAACCTTAACTCCTTCAAAATACTGTCCACTACAACTAATACACTTGTCCCACCGGTGCTTCCACTGCTCGAAACATTTTTTGAAGTCTTCCTTAGAAATGTCTAACAGCACCTCCCTCGTTTTTTTCTTGACCTCTTTATTGTCGCCAAAGCGGCATCCTTTCATGCGTGGATGCAAGAAAAAGTCGCACGGTGCCAGAACATGGCGAATAAGGTACGTGAGGAAGCGGAACCACGCCATTTTTAGCCAGAAACTGTCGAACAGAGAATTTCTTTCTCGAATTTTTTCAACATTTTCGTCGATTCGGGCAGTTGATGGGCGTCCAGACCGAGGTTTGTCATCAATTGACATGTCGCTATTTTTAAATTGAGCAAACCACTCGTACACCTGAGTTTTTCTCATAGCATCATCTTTGTACGCTATTTTTCAACATTAAAACAGTTTCAGCAGCATTTTTACCAATTAGAAAGCAAAATTTCACAGCTGCACGTTGCTCACTGAAGCTTGCCATCGTAAAAAACGAAACAAGCACGGAACAGCTCTAGCAAAGATAATGACTACAAAGGAACGAAACAAGCCAGACCGACAACTCAGGTGGCATTGAACTGGTAATGAGTTGCGCTGTACGCCTCTAAGGACAGAAATGTGTACTACACAAGCTCCGCCCACTGCAATGCTATTACGGTTATTTTTTGGTACCTCCTCGTATATTGTAAATCGTACCACCGAACTAGAGATCAATTGGACGACAGAAAGGAACCCAGTATATATTAAAAACTCTTGATTTTAGGAAAATAATCTATTACGAGCGTATAACTTTTAAATTGTTCGGTTTATATTATATATACATATTTGAAGCCATGCCATTAATTAAAATCGTTTTTGGTCTAAAATCATTTTTTTATCATTGTCAAAACTTTAAAGCCTAATTGCTAAATAATTGTTTTTCTGGGTTGGTCCCTTTCTACAAAAAGCCGTCCAATTGTCACACAGCTTTTAATAAACTCAAATATGTAATGTTGAAGTCAATGCTTGAAGAAAACTTAAACCATGTTATATATGCAAAAATAATTGCAGTTACATGAAAGTGAACAGTAACCGTTTGTCGAAGTCTTCTATGAAACGCCACTCGATGGTCCATCAGATGGATTGTAAATTTTTGGTTGAAATCAAGTGGAAAATATTTCCATTGTTTCTACAATTTGGAAACATGGGGGAAAGCTATTGTATTTCATATGTTGAATCTATAGCTATCACATCCATGCCTGAGACTGATCATTACAATTTAATGAGTCAGATGAAAAAATAAATAATTATCCGAGATATGTATTTCTTCTAAAAGTTATCCTACCCTCATACCCTGTAAAGTTAGTCTATAAAGAGCGATGAAACATGAGTAAATAAAAAATTTCGCACACTTCAAATGCGCGGCGGCCAGGCTCAGGTGATGAAGTACACCAACATCAAGCTTCAACTGGTGGTACTTCCTCAACACTTCATTTGTCAGTGGAGGGTATTCAAAAACTTCTCTTCACAATCGCTCACGAAAGAACAATTCACAAACACTTTGTCAAGCATGGAAGCCTTAAGAGTTTTTGGAAAATGTACCTATCAAAATAGCACCCTTTATTGGATTGATTTATTTATCCATTCATAGTTTAAAATACTCTTCTGTAAAGATCGCCACCGTGAAAAGAAACTTTGACACCAAACCAGGAGCGAGCGGACCTCATACCTACCAATGGAGGATTTAGGTACAACAGGATCCACATAGGCTATGGATCGATTCCATCTAGCCATATTGAAAGACCTTGGTACCGCTATCACAATAATGCGGACCTGGAGCGAGTTGGTTTCAACCACCTCATAATCCCCCATACAGAGACACCTGTCCATTCTGTTGAACTGAACCAAGCTGAATTAATACATTCATCCTATCCAGGAATGCATCTGATGATTTCTGCTTATCCAAAAAACGCCTTGCCAGCAGTGTATCTCGTAAGGTTCATCCTATAATATCAAAACGCCTTCAAACAGTATTTCGTCGAAGATTGAACGATCTGCAAACATTCAGAATGCCACAACAGCGTTTCCCTGTCTTGGTCAATTTTGTCAACTCAGAAGCGAATACCGTAAAGTTCAGTTGCCAGAACGGTAGAACTAGTAAAAAATCAGCGATATGAGCTATCCTCAATGCTGGCTAAAATGATCCAGTTCAACTGATGGACCGGTATCTGAAAGTTTGTATTAGCTTCCGTGTGTGCCGAATTGTAGAAGCAAAGACGGCACATTAAATCGTGTCCAGAGTGATAGAATAGGCAGAACTGCGTCTTTTGTATTTTATATTTAGATTTGATGCCCGAATATTAAAACTGAACAACCAATAATTTTACTGTGTCGTCTTACAAACGAATTAGTACATTAATTTAGCGTATTATCCAGGAAGATTTACAAGTAGGACCACAGTAATTCCCTGGGAAGTAATGAAAACCGACTCGCATTTCATTTGGAAGGAGGATATTCAACTTTTTAGGGAAACCTCACTCGCAACTATTCCTTTGATTTCGTATTCCCATAATTTCTTAATGGCAGAAAAAATCTTAAAACCTGCGGTAATGTTCCGATGTGGCAACGCTGACACCGAAAGACGGTGGTTGGCAAGCATCCAGCACTTAATGATAAGCCTTAATTACAAGTCCGTATTCCTGAACCAAATTCAAGTAGAACGGCATGGGTAACATGTAAAAACCTATAAAACGTCAAAAAAAAAAGCTATATGTCAGCTTGCAAACTAGGGAGTTTTTGGGGCGCAAACAGTCATTCCACGTTTGCTCGCTAGGATCGTTGTGAACGTCCATCTTAGGAGGAATCACTCAACTAAACTAAACGCATTATTGGTGCATATGTTTTGTGAGACCAAATGGTTCTTGTCTGTAGTTTTTATCTCTGAGAAGAAAGTTGGTTGAATAGCAAGATCGCATCTGGATAATTATGTGTATTGGTCTGCATATGTATAAAATCAGTGATATTTGCTGTGTGAGAAAATCATTACTGAATATGCTGCCAATGAAATAAATCTATTGGCTGTGCCCGACGGGTTATTTTTATGATGTGCTTTCTGAAGAGAGGTTATGTTCAAAGTTATACATTACGAAAAATTGAGGAGAATTACGGGAAATCTGCGCCCGCGTTGTGTGTAATTAATGTATGTATATGGCTTGTAATTCGACAGTATACGGTGAATATACTTATTTATCTCTCTCATTTTTGAAATCCAGCAAATTTGTATATGTAATTTCCAGAATGGATAAGAAAAAGTGGATGCGCAACTAGCTTTGAATCTCAGTTCAGTGTATTTGAGACAAGAAACCAATGTAACTATCATCAACACATACAACTTACAGCTTAGACCTCCAGTAATGCCATTTCAGAAGCAGATTTTACATCACATCAGAGCCAAAGATTGATAAAAACACGTACAACTAAGTGCAAAGTTAATATCTTGTAGAAAAACCTACATGTCAAAAAAAACAGCATAATGTCAAAAAAAATCGGCATAATGTCACTTTTCAAGTTACGTGATACCCGTGCGGTTCAAATAAGCGTATGTCCAAAGGTCACGTTTCCAAGATACAGGATATCTAAATTAACAATAAAAAAGGGTTTTTTCACCTGACTGCCACAGAAGGATGGAACTACTTTTGTGTAGGTATGTATGAATGTAGATACAAATATTCTATTTTATGGGCTGCAGTCCAAACGGCTTGATAGATTGACATATGAGATGTTGTTGGATTCGTCTTAATCAAAATAGAGGATTTTAATCGAAAATTTCAACTATAAAATTTCTCAACTGATAAAAAAGTGATTTGCTCGACAAAAAATACAAGAATATTGAGGCAGCTCAAAATTTGTGAGACAAACAATACAATAAATGTATATTCACAAAATCAAATGATGATTGGGAGGTATATAAAACTCTTAGGAATAAATGTGTATATGTAATTAGAGAAGAAAAAAGGAAATTCTACGATAAACAAATCGATAATAACAAGTGCGACAGTGTAAAGATGTGGAAGACTTTAAAAAGACTGATCAATTCGAAGCCGCATGATTGTGTAAATCAAGTTCAATTCGAAAACGGTACCGAAACAAATTCTTTGGTGATTGCAAACAAACTAAATGAATATTTTGTGGAAAGTATTGTTGATATTGTAGGTACTGCCAATGCTGCACCTGACTATATGAAAATCAGTTTCCAGGGGGAAATGTTGCATACACTTTCAAAATTTCACAGCGTATCATTGAATTATCTAAGAAAAAAAGTAAACAGTTTAAAATCAAATAACAACTGTGCCGAAATGACTACTAAAAACGTGCTGAAAAACTGTTTCGAAATTTTGGGATATCCTGTATTAAATTGGATCAATTGTTCACTGAGAAGCAGTTCTTTCCCTGAAAATTTGAAATGCTCTACAATAACACCAGTTCCCAAAATAAAAAATTCTAAAAGATGCAGCGATATGAGACCAGTAAATGTGTTACCAGACATTGAAAAATTATTAGAGTCCATAGTGCATGACCAATTAATGCAGTTTATAGAAGAAAACAAAATTTTAGTGGAGGCGCCAGCAGGCTTTCGAAAAAAATATTCCACAGAAACAGCTTTCCAGTTGGTAACTGAGAATTGGAGAAGAGCCATAGACTCAGAAGAAGTTGTCATAGCAGTATTTTTGGATTTGAAGAGGGCATTTGAAACGATTGATAGAGATATTTTGTTAGGTAAATTGAAGGCATATGGTATAACAGGAAGTGTTTTAGATTGATTTAGAAATTATTTGTCTAAAAGGATGCAAGTTACAAAAGTTAATGACACTATTTCATCAAAAATTGAAAATAAGTTGGGTGTTCCACAGGGCAGTATCCTGGGACCACTTCTTTTTATTTTATACATAAATGATTTACCTGCCATAGTCAAAAAATGCAAAATTCAAATTTTCGCCGATGACACTATGATTTATATAAGTACTAAAAATATTCAGTCTGGTATCTCTTATATAAATGAAGACTTGAAGCTCGTCTCAAAATGGTTAGCATCTAACAGATTAAAATTAAATGCAAGTAAAACGAAAGCCTTGTTAATCGGAAAAAAACAATGTACAAATGTTCAACTGAATATTGATGGTGAAGATATTGAATTCGTAGAAAATTTTAAATACCTGGGAGTTTTTGTTGACTCTCGATTAATTTTTGATATTCATTATGAAAAAGTTATAAATAAGATTAGTAGTAAAGTGGGATATTTATCGAGAGTTTCTGGATGTCTGAGTTCATATAGCAGAAAAATTATCTATAATACCATCATTCTTCCAAATTTCTTGTACTGTTCGACTATTCTATATTTAGCAAATAATTCCATTTTTGAAAGACTGCAAATTTTACAAAATAAGTGCATGAGAATAATACTAAATAAAGATAAATATACTCCAATTAGGCAAATGCTTAGCAAATTAAAATGGCTCAATGTAAAAAATTTTATCAAATATCTTGTAATGATATTCATTTATAAAGTAAAAAATAATATATTTCCATCAAGTCTAACTAATTTAACATCATCAAATGTCGACCATCATTTACATAATACCAGAAATAAAGATGACTTCCATTTAATGACCAAAAAGTATAACATATGCTACAAATCTGTATTCCATCAAGGGTTGATTGAATATAATAAATTTTACTCGGAGATAAAAGACCAGAAAACTTTGACAAAATTTAAAGTAAAATTGAGAAATCACTTGTTAAATCTACAATTATAGGTTGCCCAGCATTTACATCATACACCATTTGGCTTGAATTTACTAGTTCTAAGTTGTTTACAATTGTTCTGTTTATGTAGCCAAATGTGCTAAATAAATCTTTCTACTACTACTACTACTACTATCTCTTAGATTCGTCTTGAAATGTAACACTGCATATATTAAAATTTTATGTAATCAAAATAAAGATTTTTTACGCAATTTTCACGTACTTCAGGTCTGACGACTTGATATATTTTTATATTTGATAGCACAACTAAAGCTTCATTCTTTTCAGTTACTACAGTTGGGTTATTTGCATTACATAAAAATGAATTTGTTTAAGTTTTGTTTAGCAAAAACTACAACTACATACAAATATTCAGAAGATCAAGACTTGCATCTCTAAGAATGTTCACTGTCTAAAATGTTTATCTAATTTTCGTTCAAAGGTCTTTAAATTACAAGTAGACCTATAACATTATTTAGTCTATTAAATTCAAGTAATCCCTTCTGGAATATTGATGTGCTATTTTTATTACTATTCCAATGTTGTAAATGGAAATCTATATTTCCTCTAATTGTGGTAATGATCATTATACAAAGGCAAAATAATAGCAAACTATCACGAAAAGTAAAAAACCACAAACATAGCATTCCGTAACAACAAAGTTAATTTTATTTTAACAATTTTTTGACATGCAATGTAGTTTTTATTTTTTCCTGAAAAACGAAGTAGGATACAGAGAATTTTATTCAGTGTATGGAGTTTACAGTACATCACCAATAAGCAACTCATTTATTGTACAAAACAATTATGACACAAAAATAGTAAATGACAAAACAAAGGAGAGTAAACAAAATTTATATGAGGGGATACTAAGAGACCAAAAAGATGCTTATTTTGCTTTTCAATAAGTCAAAGCCGTAGATTTTTTGTCAATATTATTGAAACTGCCCCCATGACACCACTGGTATTCATAATTATCTTCTCGTTAGTGCTAGTTTAGCATCTGATTGCAATAACCATTGTCAAAATTCACAAATCGGCAATAGAATCTTTGGGATATGAATGAAAAAACATTTTCCTAACTTCGACATGTATCTTGAAAACAGGACTTTTTAGAACACGCTTTTATACGAACTTTTCTAATTGAGTTTGGTTCAGAATTGCGATTTTGTAATTATGGCCCATCATTAGGCAACACCCTGTATAGTTGTAAGCATAAGTAGTTGACGCCGCCACATCGACGGTTTCCAATTGGAATATGTTCATCAATGGTTATAGACATTAGATTATATTGCATCAATTTACCTGTGATGGCAGACATCGTAGTTGATTTGCCAGCTCCATTATGTCCAAGCAATACAGTTATCTGGTTCTGGTAAATGTCCAAGGTCAAATTGTCCACTGCCACTTTAGTACTATACCTTTTACACAAATTGATGATTTCTATACCCTTTTTGTATCCATGGCCCTCTTCTACGTTCTGCAGATGGACTGTAGCTGCACCGACCTCGATATTGTTGTCGCGCCTCAAAAACTATAAAATGATGAAAAAATAAAATACCTGAATATTATGAATAGTTGGGTGCTGAATTGAACACCAATGCTGCTACTACTCCTAAGCCTAGCTGACGCCGGATGACTGATCAGAGTGTCATGCTCGACATTCTACAGTTACTGTCATCTGAGGTTACACGCATTACGAGTATATATCGTACAGTATTTACCACGATACCGATATATTCACACAAATTCTGACGCCTATTCAAGTGCCCCCTAGTGTTAATTAAGAACTGTTGATACAGGGTGTTTCACAAGTCAAGAGCAATAATGGAACATCATATACAGGACCGCATTTCAAGGGGGGTCTTCTATGTAACATGTTTTCCTCGAGGGCTTCATTAAAAAGATACGGGGTGTTGAAGTTTAAAAATATTTTTTTTTAATATCTTCAAAACCGTCAACTGGAATGAACTAAAATATGGTATGTAGATTTACCTAAGTATTGTCCATATTCAAAAGTCTTTACTTTAAATTATTGTGCACCAGTGGCGGAGATACTGGTGATTAGTGGCATTATTTTTCCAAGTAAAAATAGTACGCCACTGTTTATTTTAAACGCGCAATTTTTCGGATTTAACCTTCAATTTGCTACAAACAAAAGTTTATTTTTCAATTTTTGAATTTTGTGGAATGGAACTGAGCAATGACGAGTACGCCGATATTATTTTTGTGTACGGGTAGTCAAAATTTCCAAAGGAAACCTCTTATTTTTATAAGGGAAATGGTGGAAAATAAGGAAATTTTACGTCCGAATGTAATCTTGACCTTGATGTCAAGGTCTTGTTAAGCTTAAATATTGGAGGTCAAGGACACAGTTGGACGTAAAATTTCCTCATTTTTCCATTTAGAGTGCAAAAATCCCTACGAACCTCGAACTGTGCTGTCGAACATTTTTGCTAGAGCAACTTGTCTTTGAGGTCTTGATTTGACCATGTAGTCAATGGTCAAGATCATGTCCAATGTGAGGTTTGGACGTAAAATTTGCTCCACTTTTTTATTCCAATGTGAAAAATGGGGGGGGGGGGTGTCATTTTAAGATACTTGACCTTGAAAGATCCTTGAAGGTCATAATCAAGCTCACCGTTGTCATTTTTCCCCATCAAAACCCTACCAATTTTGTTTGAATTTTTTTCTAGAATGCTCAGTTTTCGAAATATTCAGGTGGAGAGATTAAAATTGAAAATCATTAGCACAACTGAACGATTATGACCAAATCTTGAAATTTAATTTTAGCCGAATTGCAATGTGCTCATAAATATTAGTTATAATCCCCCATGTTTGTCTGTCCAATCAAACCACATGCATATGTTTCGATCACAATGGTGTCATTCGTCAGTACATTACACTTTTTTGACGACGTGTACTGAAGATGTCACAATTGTAACCGAATCGTATACAAGAAGAAGAATTTTAACGACATGCGATTTGACTGGTCAGAGATGGGCGATTATCGACATGAAAACCACAGAATAAGCTTCAGATGTTACATCAGCAGTTGCATATGTCGAATGACCCGTTACAATTGTATAATAAAACTTTCATAATTATTTTATGCAAAAAAAAACACACTTAAGAGAGTCGAGCATCTCTAGAAAGTACACAGCAGTACGAGTTGGGACTCTGCCAAGCGCTATAGGGTATTTTGAATGTCGCTAAATGATCAGCTGTTACTTGTCACCTTCTGACGTATCGAAATATCCTACAAAATAGTATTTTGTGGTGTAGTTTAAATTCTACTATAGGTTAATGGCTTTTTAGCCTGTATACACGATCCAACATAAGCCAAAATATTCTATCATGCTTTCCTCTACAGTGCCTCAATTTCGACCCTTATGAAGGGACTTAGTATACAGGGTTATCCAAATTAAGTGTCCACCATTAGTAACTTTGTTATTAGTGAAAATACAAAGTTGTTTGAATTAGCAAACTAGTAGCATTTTTAACGCTGGTAAAAATGAGAAATAAAAAAAACAATTGAGAGTCGTTATTTTGATTTTTTTCAGTAAAATAACATTTTTTTAAATGGAAACCCCTGTATATTATATTTTTTTCTGTTAAAGCATCAAATTTTAAACAAAAAAGCTTACAATAACTTTTCTCCTAGGTTACAAATTGTTGAAGTTATGGCCTCCAATCTGAAACAATTAAATTGTATCGACAAACTTTATTTTCAACATCAACTTATAATCTTACAAAATACAATAACAATTTTTTTTAAAGAAGATGCTCGAAAACACCACCTTGTTCTTCAATACATTTTTGGGCACGTTTTTCAACTGCTCGAACTGTCTTAAGTATGGTCCTACCATCTATCTGGGTTATCTTTTCCCTAACTGCAGTCTTTAACGCGTCAAGGTTATCGTACCTTCGCTTGTAAATTTGGTTCTTTAAGTAACCCCACAAGAAGTAATCAAGTGGGTTTAGATCTGGTGATCTGGGAGGCCACTGTATTGGGCCATTTGTTCCTATCCACTGATCATTAAAAGTAGTACTTAGAAAATGATAAGTACCTCTGGAGTTGTGGGCAGGTGCGCCATCTTGCTGAAAATGCAGATGATGTCTACTTATAAGATCCAATTCGTCTAAGAAATTAGTCAGAATTTCTGACATAAATTCCACATATCTTTCACCAGTTAGGGTTCCCTCATAAAAGAACGGGCCAACAATTTTTGAACCAATTATACCGCACCAAACGTTGAAACTGAAACGGACTTGTGGGCCTCTTGGATGTACTAACAAAAGATTTTCTCTTGACCAATAATGGTGGTTTTTTCTATTAAACATTCCAGAATTTGAAAAATTTGATTCATCTGTCCATAAAAGGTAACGAAAGTTATTTACATTTTGGCGACAGAAGCTAAGATACCAATGGCAAAAAACAAGTCTTCTCTCTGGATCCCCTGCCAAAAGCGTTTGAACTGGTCGGTACTTATACGGAATAAATTTGTATTTTTTTAAAATCCTTTGAACAGTACCATAACTGAAATTAGAGTCCTTGAGAATATCTGCTATTGAATTCTCACGATAAGCTTCAAAATATCCAATAACTGCAATTTCTGTGGCCACGCTTATTATGAATTCTTTTTTTGCCCTTGTTTTAGCAAAAACATTTTCGTTGCCCCTAAATTTTCGATAAAGTCTCAGAAAATATCGTTCATACGGTTGAATGCGAGCGGGATATAATTCACTGTAGTATTCTCTTGCTCTCAAGGAGGATTTTCTGCACACTAAATAGCATTCTAACATATCACACTTTTCTTCATGGGAGAACATTTTTCTTTAAATTAATGACACAATAAAGCTTATAAACAAGTATTTACACTAATGTTTGACATTATTTGATTTTATCATTGTTTTCCAAAGCCTTCTAGTTGCGAGTATGTCCAGTTTAACAATTTGTCGCTTATCTTAATGCTGTCAAATCGCGAACGCCATGCTGTTTTCATAGCCGTCTTAATATTATAATACTGCAAATAATTAAAAATATTTATCGTTATTTTGACTTTATTTTTGACTTTAGCGGAAAAGTCATTATGAACTTTTTTGTTTAAAATTTGATGCTTTAACAGAAAAACATATAATATACAGGGGTTTCCATTTAAAAAAATGTTATTTTACTGAAAAAAATCAAAATAACGACTCTCAATTGTTTTTTTTTTATTTCTCATTTTTACCAGCGTTAAAAATGCTACTAGTTTGCTAATTTAAACAACTTTGTATTTTTACTAATAACAAAGTTACCAATGGTGGACACTTAATTTGGATAACCCTGTGTATATATATATATATATATGAATCATATTCACAAAAAATAATACCTTGAAAAGAGACTTCAATGGAAATAAGAAAGATTTTCTGACACCATACTTTCCGGGATTGACATTATCCATGTAACAGGTGAAGAGCATGTAGAATACAATATCGACAATCAGCATGATAAAAACATTGTTCATTGTAATGTCATCCTTACTGCCACTACTCGGTTTGTAGAAGTTGTTCCACTGAACCCCCAATTCTAAAAGATTTCACAGATAATTATGAAGTGTTGATAAAATGTAAAAATAGATTATTACCTCTTTCTTCATATGATGCAATGATACTGTAACCAAAATGAAGTGCCATATTTGGCAACAGGTTCAGAATAATGCTCATGGACCAGGGTATTTGTTTTCCTGTATCCAGATTCAGTGCGTATTTTGGTATGAAATATGATAAAATCCAAACCAACATGCCCGTAACCATAGCAACCATCGCTAAAAATGATGAATTCAATTAATGATACAATTCGATGAAATAAGAAAGCTCATAATAAATAACGTCCACTTGATGAAATTTAAAAATATGCAACATTTGCTTATACAGGGTGGCCGATATGTAACTGACTGGTTTGTATCTTAAAAATTTGTGGAATGAAATAAAATACGTCCATTTTTTATCTTAATCTTTTACTGAAACTTAGAACTTATGTATGAAAAATAATATCAGACAAATGTTCGGCTCTAGAAGCCGCGCAAACCTGAGCACTCTTGATTACATTTTCCATCACTTTTTGGTAGGTTTCGGGAGGAATATTTTCAATCGCTTCCGCCATATTGTTCTTCAGCTGCTCTACAGTATCTGGTTTGTTAGCATAAACCCTATTTTTCAAAAATCCACATAAAAAAGCCAGGAGCCATTAAATCGGGTGACCTTGGTGGCCAGTTGACATCACCAAATCGAGCAATTAAACGTCCCTCAAATATTGTTCGCAAAAGATTCGTTGTTTCCCTAGCTCTGTGACAAGTTGCTCCGTCCTGCTGGAACCACATGTTTTGCAGGTTAAATTGTTGGATTTGAGGAGCCAGAAAGTTTTTCACCATATCACGGTAGCGCTCGCCACTGGCAGTAAGAGATTCTCTATAATTCTACCTGCAGCGTCTACAAAGAATTAAGGTCCAATGGCACCTCCATACCAAATACCGCACCAAAGTGTGACTCGACGAGGATGTAGTGGTCGTTGATGGATGACACGAGGGTTCTCTAATGCCCACATTCGACAATTCTACTCATTAATAAATCCGTTCATATCGATGTGGGCTTCATCGCTCATTATCAGTTGTCGGTAAAAATCGTTATTTTGGGTATTAAGCTGCAATACTGCATGACTGTTTTGTCGGCGACTTTCATGGTAACTAGGCTGTAGTCCTTGGGTTAACTGAATTTTGTATGTCCGCTAATGCAAGTCTCTTTTTAAATAGTGCATAATGACGTGCGAAGAATACCCAGTTCTTGAGGACGATGTCTGGTAGAGGTCTCGGGAGCTCCACTACACTTTCACGAACTTTCCATATTTTCCGGAGTACGAACAGTTCGAACACGGCAAGTCTTTAACTTCACCAGTTTGTTCATATTCCGCACCAACTGGCGAATGGTATTGGAATGGGCACCTTATTTCGACCGAAATCGTAGCTTCCGAATCGTTGCAACAATCGACTCATCATTTAAGTAAAACGATTTAACAATACGGACGCGTTGTGTGATCTTGTAGTGATCCATGATGAATTGGACAGATGTGCTTTCAACAACTACTACGGCGCCACCTACTGAAATGCGTGTATCAAAATTGGCGCGCAATTTAGATCATTCAGCTATATATTGGCCACCATGTATAATTTACTAAAACAATGAAAAGTGCAGAAAACGCGATGGCAAATTTTGATTTTACACTTACGTTTACTGAAGAAAGAGCTGATCGCAAAACAGAATACAATGGCCGCCATGCAGTACAGTATCAAGAAACAGAACAACAGAGTACCATCCATAAATTCTATAGGGGGATATTCAGTGTCAAACATTCGAACTTTCATCAAAATAACAATAACTATAACGGCAAACATCATGGGAATTAGTCCATAAATGAACCAGCCTAACCATAACATCCAAGATTTCATTCCCACCATCTTCATGAGTTCCTAAAAACAGCAAAATGAAAAGATTCACTCTTTCAGCCAAAGCTCGGGAGAACCAGTCTTGCCCAGTTCTGGGCATGTACTGGGTTTTGTCAGTTGATCTGTGGGTAAAGTAACAAACTACCAATATTTCAGATATCCTGAGAAAATGCCAAAATTATTTTATAAAAATTCTATATCTTTGGACTATCAATATTATGTCTCCACAAAACGTGTTCAGGATTTTCAGTTTTTATATGAAAGAGAACAGGCAAGGTAATGGGTTATGGCACCCTCTGCCTTTAATATGTTATCTTACTTCTTCCATGTACTTTAGGCATATACCGGGTGTTTTAAATTCGACCCTCACCACGGGGATCTTGGAAATGGTAAGAGATACGAAGTCGCTTAACGGGGGCAAAGTTGTGTATTTAGGTAATTAAGAAAATGCCGCATAAAAAGTTTGGAAATTCAAGGTACTGCCGGTGAGACGCGAAAAAAACAGAATTTTTCAAAAATCGTTTAGGTTTTTTCCGTTTCCGAGATAACAAAAGTGAGGGTCGAATATGAAACACCCTGTATATGACCGCGTTCTAACGTTCTCCAGAAAATTTTACACAACTGGTATGAAAGCGAACCCTCGTCAATATTTCTGAACGTTTTGTGTATATTCACGTACCTTGGTTCCCGAATATTTCTCCTCAACAACCCTCTTCAAAACGGCGGGGCACAAGAAGATGAAGCTGAAAAGTGTGATCAAGGGTAGCATTTCCTTGAAGATAGCATCGACTCCATTGTCTACGATATGCGGTGGATATGGCATCACTTTCGTGAACAAAACGGAGGGATTGTTCCTTTTGAGAACATTCTCCATGAAGGATACATCTATCGCCGCCTGCAGTGATAGGAATCCCTTCCAATTGTAATCAGATGCTGAGTAAAAAACATTGAATTAATATAAATAAAAATAATATCCACAGAGTACTAACAGGGGCGTTAGGCTATCAAAAATGAGGTACTTTGCATTTGGTAAGATTTCCGTCACTGTCGCTGCGATACATTCAAACAATTTGCATGCAATAAAAACGTGTGTGGTGTATTTTGGCGCTGTTCTGGAGAAATCATCCAAAGGAAGTATTTAATGTTTCATGTAATTAATATGGGAAAGTATACCCTATATCACGAGTATCCATCACCGAACAATGATAGCTAGTTATCTAGTAATATTTCAAAAGTCCCCATATCGGCACAGGACACATACAGTAATGGACAAAAGTATATAGACAAATATGGATATTTATCTAAATACCTTTAGAAAACAAATTCATAAACAAATGCGTTATTGGTAGAAAATCTAAATTGGCCAGTGTGTTAGAACAGCAATTCTGGGTGGTACCGTCTTAAATTTTGGAATAATCGCTACGCGCAATCTCAGCATGTCATGGGACCCGGCTGTAGGAGATATTTCTAAGTTTTAAGGGTAAATGTATGGGGACATCTTAAATGAGTGGAATATGATTAATATGTACATAGAATTACAGTGGCTGGAGGCGTATACATATACTACGGTCATAAAATTGAGATATACCCAACCCCAGCCCTGCAACCCATAACCCCTACAAAAATGTTCCAGAAAATGATCAAGATTGTCTGAAACGTCAAAAAACAAAGTTTGAGCATTTTTTTTTGTTTTTAGCCGCAACTGATTGATGCGCCAGTAGGCGAGGGAAGTAAAACAAACGAAGTGTCATTTGAAAGAAAGATAAACACAAACGTTTACAATAAAGAAGATTTTTTTAAATACACGTAGCTTCGTTTTGCCAAAAAAAAATCTTCGGTATGATAGATATTAAATAGCTGATGACACCTGGATCAAAGGGACCGACAGTAGCTGTCGCGTCTGTATGTGATCCTTGCTTAACTCGATACAAGGTGTTGAAGTTATGTTCATAAAAACCAGAGATGCTAAAGATATTAACTTGAATGTAGTACAGGCAGTGGATCAAATCACCCCAATGCAATGGCATATAAAATAAAAATATTTTCAACACCACTAAATTTTTTGAATAAAATATTCAGGTGGATTGTCCCTCCGAAAAACTCAGACGCATCCTTTTTGGAGAAAAAATTATATGACTATTGGAAATATATTCATAAAATATCTCGAATACTTTTTATTTTGAAAATAGCTGAAGTTTCACATTGAAAATTGTATATTAGCGAGGTAATGGATGATGTATTTTTTTCCTTAATTTTGGTGTGTTGTTCTATTAAAAGCTTAATAACTCAAAATCTAGTGATTTTATCTGAATCAAACCTTGTACCAAAAATAGCTTATAAAAAATTAAATCCAAACCTGCAAAAATATACAGGGTGACGCATTTGCAATTTTTGAGAAAAAGTACATTTCGCGTTTTTGACCACCCTGTACGAGCAAAAATTAAAATTCGAAAAAGTAACAAATAAGATAAAAGCTGAGGTATGTAAGTTTTTTGTTACAAAATTCAGCACTCCAAATTTCAAAATGGCGGACAGGGGTTGCCGAAGTGGGGGGTTTTTCTAGACAAAACACCTTACATCTCAGTAGCTAATTACCAAAACCCCACAGTATGTTGTATCAATTTTCTTCTCTTGAATTGGTTTATCCAAATAAGCAATAAAATTTGATGCATTTCATTTGAAAAATCACAACTTCGATATGTAGGTCGAAATTGGGACACCCTGTATAATGGCCAATATTTTGGAAATGTGCGCTCAAATGTCATGTATAACTCCCATGAATAGATTTTCCCAAAATGTATTTGTTTATGAATACCATGGATGGGCCACCCTGTATAGTAAACTTTTGTGCAACATACATTTTTTTGTTCTAGATATCTGCTACTTAACAACTTTAGTTTTTATTTCATGGGCGGTTAAGTGTAAGAGTTGCGTGTTGCTTTTTTTCTATGTATTGAATTGTGCAGTGTCAATAAAGACGATTATTATTATTATTATTTAAAACATTCGTCAGCGAAGTTCGACCAAGATAACATTGTTTTTACTACCCACCGTTTAAAGTCTAAAACAACGTTTTCCTTTTTTCCAGTTGGGGATATAATGAAATGAACGTCCTGTGTTGTTGCAGCAAGTACTCGATTCTTTCCGAGTGATAAGAATTTTTAATTAGTACGCAATACTAATAATAACTTCAAAGCAGTATATAGACAATAGGAGTCATAGCATACTTATGGATGATTAACCGATAAATCCATAACTTGCGATGGGTGATGAGTATTGCGGAATTGTTTCATGGGATGTCAACACTCATGATAAACGAATTTTCCTGTGAAATACTTTGAGTGGTTTTGTACATAAGAAATGATAAGAGAATTTAGAAGGGCGGCTTATTCGATCTTATATTGACATTTGTAACAATCACTTCTGCAGAATTCCAAATGATTTTGTTGTCATTTTACCGATTCTTTTTAGATGATATAGGTTTTTTACCGATTATTTTGACATGATATAGGTTTTTTACGTAATAACCCTGCCAAACACGAAAAGGTCATGTCTGAATGTTTTGATTCTTAATTCAAATATTAGTATTTGAATACAAGTGTCATATATTAAGAAGTCTGGTACAGCATTTTTGACTAATCGAAATGAAATATTACTGAGCAAGATAATTTGATTTATACCTGTCAAATAGCAGCCATTCTTTATGGCTTCGTAGTGATTAAATCCCGCACTCAGTATTTGACAATGACTTTGGAATGCTAAGTAACTGTAAAATTATTAGTTATGGCCACGTGAGGGCTGCGAAGCAGCTCGAGTCATTAACACATGATAAACTACATTTTACACCTGCACCAAACCACATAAAATACGATGACTCGCTGTTTTATTCTCAAACTAAGTACGGAAAACATACCAAGAGAAAGAAACATTCACAAATATAATTGACGACACAAGTGGGTAACAAAATCATTGGAGAAAATTGACTTCAAACATTTTTTATTGCAACTTTTTACTTTATCGACATTTTGAATATTTAGTTCAATTAGTTTATTATCTTGTTTTTGCAACAAAGTAATCACAGAATGAAATAATCGCTCCTTGAAGTTAGTTTAATACAAAAAAGCAATGTTTAATAAAATGTTACATGACACCTTTATCCACTTGGTCATACTCCCGTAAAAAAGGCATTCATTTCTGTCGAATGTATGAGATTCGGGAGACTAGCATTCCCAAAAAACAATTAGCTTGTTTTTTTGAAAATGCAAAATTAATTTTTTTTTACTTTTAATGGCATACGTATCTTTGCGAAAGATAAATGGGATGGGTTATAGGCATACATCTCATTCAAATGCAATTTATATCTAATGAGTTAATAGAAAAAACAAACGATAAACTACGTTTGCCAGTCACCAGCTTTCTGCAAATGCATTTAATTCCAATTAGCAGGCTTTCTTGAAATAATTTTAACTGACAACCTAGTATAACGTTAACGAACTTCGATATAAACTGCATTTGAACCATCAGTTTATTAGCAAAGAGTTACATGGTCTATGCCTATTGAATAGAGTTCAACAACCAAACTATTAGAGTTGAACTTATTCTAGAGTGTTCCTTTTTATACAAATATGTTTCTTCTCTGAACAAGAGTTGTTTCATAGTGTCCATGGTCAGGTTAGGAAATCATTTAGTTTGAGAATATAACAACGACCTCTTGCAACAATTCATGAAGTTACACATACTCGTATCCGCCTCATTGATCCCCGCCAATTTTCCTCTGTATCTTTTCGAAGTCTGAGCGACATTCGATTGGAAGTTTCCTCTGCTGAAAAATCTGATAGTGTAATCGAGATTTTTGTCATCTCCCTTGAACAGCACGACAACAACCGTGTCATTATGGTTGGTTTCGAAGTATCGCATCAGTAATTCTTCTGTGTCGAATCCCCGGACATCTAAAATTGTAACATGGTTATATATAATTATTATGTAATTCAGATAATAATGCTTGATGGTGTACAATCCGTTTAAATCGTTGGGAGAAAAGGCTAAGCTTTAAAAATGGAAGTTTACGACTGCAAAGTATGAAAATATTTTTTAGACTTTCTCATTGCTGAAAATAACAGACATTTTTGGACGGAAAAATAATTAAATGAATCGAGGCATGAATATAGTTGTTAGGGTACTGATATAAAGGATGTCCCAAAAGTCGTAGATCAAACGAAAGGAGCTGACAGGGGGGCTCACTTCCATTCATAAAAATCAAATCATATAGATGTCTTTATTCGATTCTGCACGGATTTTGAGTTATCTTCATTTTGAAGAGTTTGTAGAAAATTGCTATTTTGGAGACTAATCCTCATTAATGCATTTATTTTTTAATCCTTATTCAGCTGTACAGGATATGTTGCCAAATAATATATAATAATAAATGGTTTTTATTGTCAGAATTCGGATCTTACTACAGTACAGAAAGATCCGCTCTTCCATTCAATCGAAATATCGTTGAGAGAAAGCTATAACAGGAAAATTAGTCCAGTTAATGTAGGATTAGCAATTGGCTTTTGAGCGTAATTTTGTCTGGTGTCAAAAACATTAGGTAAGCTTGTAGAAAAAATTAGGGGACAGATAAACTGTCCATAGTTATGAAAAAGATATTATGACCTTCTGAAATACATTTGAAGTAATCAACCTTGAAAATACCCGTGTTGTGAATTTAATCCTATACCTGCCGTTGTCAATCTTCCGAATAGAATCGGGAAAGGAGTCATAAGACTGGATCGATTTGGAGTCGGCGTATGGGTTGGACTACAGAGCTCACTGAGAAATATGGACAAAAAAAGCGCAAAAAGTGAGAGCAAACAGGTACGATTACATTACAAGGTCAATAATGTTATTAAGAACCCTTTGTAGTGGTACAATTTTTACAGTTACTCTCATTTTTGCAACTTTTCTGCGGCATATTTTCGTCATTCACGACTTTTCTCAGAGCACATAGTTAAAAAATATTTTTTTTTATTTTTTTGTTAATTTTCTTGATTTGCAGGATACAAACGAACAAAATATCCAAATATTCATTCAGACAAATGGTAAAATATCTGCTAGAATTTGACTTTGCTACAAAAAAGAGAAAGTTTTTAATTACTTCTATATTTAATTTCAGTTATAATTATGAAATTGGTATATCTATAATTAACCCTAAGTGAAAGTAAAAAGGTGTTTACAGCAAATGAAAACATATTTTCAAAATTACAAAATTTGAGATGTATATTAAATGTTACAAAATTCTACTTGAAACTCATATCTTGCTATAAACTACAGAGCTCACTGAGAAATATGGGCATAAAAACACCAAAGGTGAGAGCAAACAGGTAAAAAATCAACAAGCTGAGCTGAAATTATTTTTCGCGGCTCGCCTCGAACTTCTAATACTGAATCCATTATCCATCTAATAGCAATACCCAAAATTGAAATTCAATTGAAACTATCACACTAGCTTTTATTTGCAATTGTAAAATATTATGGTGTTGTGATATTTAAAGGACCACGCACCATTCTTGGAAAAAGTGAGTTCAGTGGATCTGCTCCAAACTTTGAGGTTGTATTCTCCAAGTGATGCAGATCAAATGTTCTGATTGGACCAAATTGATTTATTGCGATCAAAAGGGTCCAGAAGGAGTGTTGAGTGTTAACGCCTTATATAGCGAAACCGAAATGTTCGTCCCATCTAGAAGAACCCCCTTTGTAGCGGTACAATTATTACAGTTACTCTCATTTTTGAAACTCTTCTGCTGCATATTTTCGTCATTCACGACTGTTTTCAGAGCACGTGGTTAAAAAATGAATTTTCTTGATTTTTTGGTAAATTTTCTTAATTTGCAGGATACAAACGAACAAAATATCCGAATATTTATTCAGACAAATAGTAAAATATCTGCTAGAATTTGACTTTGCTAAAATAAAGAGACAGTTTTTAATTACATCTATATCCAATTTCTGTTACAATTATGAAATAGATATATCTAGAATTAACCCCAAGTGCAAATAAAAAGGTGTTTGCAGCAAATGAAAACATATTTTCAAAATTACAAATTTTGAGATGTATATTAGATATTTCAAAATTCTATTTGAAACTCATATCTTGCTATAAATATAAACTACAGAGCTCACTGAGAAATATGGGCATAAAACGCAAAAAGTGAGAGCAAACAGTTAGGCACAATGGTCACAAATGGAAATAATTTTTGGAAGCTACCGTAAAAAACAACAAGCTGAGCTGAAATCATTTGTCACGCCTCGCCTCGAACTTCTAATACTGAATCCATTATCCATCTAATAGCAACACCCAAAATTGAAATTCAATTGAAACTATCAGCCTTTATTTGTATTTTTAAAATATTATGGTGATGTGATACTTAAAGGACCACCATTCTGATGGAAAAAAATGGTCGGTGGATTTGCTCAAAACTTAGAGGTTGTGTTTTCCAAGAGATGCAGATCAAATGTTTTGATTGCACCAAAATAAATTTATTGCGATCAAAAGGGTCCAGAAGGATTAGATGTTGAGTATTGATGCCTTATGTAGTGAAACCGAAACCATCTAGCTAAACACATAGCTTATGATTTCATTACATTACAAGGTCAATAATGTTATTAAGAACCCCCTTTGTAGCGGTACAATTATTACAGTTACTCTCATTTTTTGCAACTTTTCTGCTGCATATTTTCGTCATTCACGACTTTTCTCAGAGCACATAGTTAAAAAATATATTTTGATTTTTTTTTGTTAATTTTCTCAATTTGCAGTATACAAACGAACAAAATATCCAAATATTCATTCAGACAAATAGTAAAATACCTGCTAGAATATGACTTGTGGAATTTTCAACCTAACTTTCGTTATACTAACATGCAATTTAAATAATAATGCATGAACATTCGTTATCAAAATCATATTGCACAGTGGATAACATGTAATCATTTATGTGGTCACTCAACCATATATAAACTGCTTACCAGCAATGTCGCCTATCTGCATAATAATAAATTTTTCAGTACACAAATCTTTTGTTGATATTTAATCAAGTTGAAGTCGCATTGTATACATTCCGTATAAAAGTATTCTACAGAAGAAAATTAATTGAAGAAGAATAACTGAGAGATGAATGACAATTTAAAAAATAGTTATTACCGAATCATTTTAACTACCAGTTAACTACCCGTGAATTCTACCTTTGCTACAATGAAGAGGCAGTTTTTAATTATTTCTATATTTAATTTCTGTTACAACTATGAAATAGATATATCTAGAAGTAACCCTAAGTAAAAATAAAAAGGTGACAATTGTGACAAAGAACACTAATACAAAATAATTCTTTTTTATGACAGCCATGAATATAATTCAATCAAGATCCTAATCTAAGGCAAAGTAAATGCAGAAGCATAATATGGCGGTGGCACGTCTCGGCAACTGTTGGGAAGAAGAAATACCAGTTTGGAACCAAGATACGTAGACTCAAAGAAAGTAAGATCATTGAAGCTAACCATTACCAATTATTTCTTCAGTGACAGGGAATCTCTGTACGGCAGTGGCTCCAGCCGAAAGAATCTTGTACTTTTTAGTGCTGCCAATATGCCTATTCAAGGCGGTCATAGTTACTTGCTTGCCTGCCATGGCTTGCCTTGTGGGCGAGAGGACGAACACAGAACGAAACTGGTTTGACCGCAACAGAGTGATTTTACTTACTCGCGTCGGATAGTCTGTTGTTGAGAAATACCTCTCTGCCCGGCATCTTCTTAATGTTGAAATCACTTGAGAGGAGTAGTTCTCCTGATCTCAAATCCGCTTGCATCACTTTGGCAGTTGGCGAAGCTTCCATGTCCAGAGCCTTGCCTTTTGATTTCCTGCTGCTTTCTGTTTCATTCCCAGTATCCAATGGCGTCAAAAAGATACATTTTCTCCAAGGAATACATTTGCTGGCCCTTCAAGAGTAGGCAGATTTCGACATCATATTTCCACAGATAGATATCATCACAATAAAATTTACAGTAAAAAGAAAACCTATTTATTTTTATTTATTCTTAACCTACTCAGAAGATCAAAAACCGTCTTCAGGGTGTCCCATACGTCATGACCAAACGAAAGGAGGCCATTTCCAATAAGAAAAACCATATACGTACTTATCCGATTAAGCACGGTTTTTATCCCAATTTTCAAGAATTTGTATAAACTCCTACTTTTGAGAATTTATTATTTTTTGTGAAATTATTTTCTGTTATTTCTCAATCATATTTAGAGGACATGATGTCAGATAATGTATTGTTAAAAGGCGCTATCAGTGAAAAATAAGTCCAGTTAATGTAGATATAGCAATTGGATGAACCGCAATTTTTTTTAATACACTAACATAACTATAAAAGAGTTGCGAGACAATGTTGTAATTATTCCACTTTTTCGTCTCGTATTCAAAAAGGTTCTTCATTTGTGCATTGTGCAATGGAAAGGGAAATTTTCTGCTAAAGAGTATCGAAACTGATGTCCCAATTGAGCAAAACCTTCAGACTATGGTGCAGAGAAGTGCTTGGGAGATTAGAAAGAATAGATAGAGCGAGAACCGCCGTAGATGCTGAATACGGTGTTAAGGCTCATGCCTTCTCTTACTGTCTGCCGTATTTCACAGAATGTTGGCGAAGCGAATGGTTGTGGTGTTAGTTGTGTACCGACCTCCGAGTGGTAATTTTTCAAAGTTTATTGATAAGTTAGAACGTATATTAAATGAGATTTTTGTTTCAAACAGATATTTGTGTGTATCAGGAGACTTCAACACTGAAATGTCAATAGAGAATGAAAACAAAAATAGCTTATCGACGCTTATGAGCTCATTTAATTTGGAACCAAAAATAAAAGAAAATACAAGAATAACGTATAGTACTGCTAGTTGCATAGATAATATGTTCACAAATTTTGAAATTGAAAGTGCATCTGTTCTTTGCACTCATATTTCCGATCACACTACTCAGAAAATCAATTTCTTTGCAGTCCCAGTTACAACGTCAAATTACACGTATAAAAGAATTTTTTCAGAAGCTAACAAACAATACTTTCTTGAATGTATAAAAAATGAGGATTGGATTGAGCTGGTGCAGGATATTGGAAATGTAAATGAGCAATGGATTGTTTTCATGAATAATTTTATAGGTATATTTAATCAGTGTTTTCCTTTGAAACGATTTAGTGAGAAGAGTCATGTGAGGAAACATGAGTGTAATGAAGTGATTACAGAGTGCAAAAATAGACTGGATATTCTGTTAACCCTATGTAGAGTAGATGGTGATTATAAGGAAATGTACAAGAACACAAAAAAAGAATATGACTATTTGTTCCAGAAGGCCAAATCAGAAACGATCAGAAAATCAGAAATTCGAATAATAAAAGAAAATCTATGTGGGCCATATGTCATAAAATCACAGGTCAAAACAATCATATCAAAGGAGATCCAAATATGATATCACAGCAGTATAATGAATATATGTTATCAGCAATTCCGCTTTAACTGAAAGATATGACACAGGTACCTTTTGACTGCAATTTACAAGAAAACGACCAATCATTAAACTTAAGACCAATGACTGTTGATGAAGTGTGTGAACTGTCGAGGAGGATAAAAAATAAATTCAGCTGTGGTATAGATGAAGTTCCAACAACAATAGTAAAACTTTCCATTCCAGTTTTAAAACATGTTTTGTGCTTACTTATTAATAATGCTTTTAGACAAGGATCGTTCCCAGAGAATTTGAAAATAGCTGTTATAAAACCAATTTTTAAAAAAGGTAGTCCAGAGCTATTAGAAAATTATAGGCGAATCAATATTTTAACAGGTTTTTCAAAATTATTTGAGTTAGGCATCAGTAAGAGATTTTTAAAATTTATGAATGACTGTAGTTTATTTAATACACATCAGCATGGTTACCTATATGGGAGATCAACAGATACTGCAATCTTTCAATTTGTTCAAACAGTACTTAAGCAATTAGAGGAGGGAAACTTAGCAGTTGGTTTCTGCCTGGACTTGTCCAAAGCTTATGATTGCATCAACAGAGACATCTTGTTATTAAAGCTACAAAGATATGGTGTAAGAGGACCTGCGCTAGAATTGTTCAAGTCATACCTCTATAATAGACAACAGAGGGTTGAAATTGTTAAAGGAGGTCAAACTTACAAGTCAAACATTGAGTTGACTTCAACCGGCATAGCACAGGGTAGTATACTTGGGCCCATTTTGTTTGTAGTTTTTTTAAACGATCTCTGTTTTATTACTAGTGGTGATCAGAGCAAGCATATAATTATCTGCTATGCTGATGACACAAATTTAGTGTTGGGTGGGACAAGTGTAGAGAACCTAACTGCTAATGAGAATCTCTTATTCAGAAGTGTGAATACATGGTTTTCTGAGAACAAACTAGTGCTGAATAAATCCAAAACTGATGCAACATTATTTAGAACTAAGCAGAGTAAAGTCGTTAAGCCACAATGTATCGATATAGATGATCATCAACTGCAGTTGAGTGAAAGTGTAAAATTCTTAGGCATCTAATTGAATTTTTAGATTGGACAACACATGTATTTGAACTGCTGAAGAGGCTCAATTCCATTTGCTATGGTTTTAGGGTACTATCAAGATATCTAAATAATACGAGTATGAAAATATTGTACCATACTAATTTTAATTTCTCTATAATAAACAACAATAAAATAGCTAGAAAAACAATTTTTAACAAAAAATAATTTTCATGTTATGCCACCTAAATCAGATCTGATAAATCATTCTCCTGTTTTTAGATTATCTAAACTATGTAATGAACACAGTAGTTGGCTTGATTTGTATAATTCGAGTAATTATATTGTTAGAAATTTATCAAAGTCTATGTTTACATTTGAGTAGTCTTTATATTTTGTAATATTCGAATTTATGATTACTAGATTATTGCATTTCCTCATTTGAACATCTGTATTAAATTTCGCAGATGATTATGTTAATCTCAGTTGATTGCCTTATATACTATTATATGTTACTGTTACCACATATGTAGCGCCACTTACGCGACGTTTGCGATGCATTTTTCTATTTATAATACACATGTATAATGGGTTCGCCCGTAAGTTAAATAAATAAATAAATGAATAATATTAGCAAAACTAACATTTTTTATACTATAGTTAAAATCCACATTTTGTGATCCACAGTATCGACACTATCCAATACAAAAGATCGGATACATTCATTTTAATCATCGGATACTATTGGATACTTGAAAATATCCAAGTTGCACATCACTACTACCTACTTGAACATGAGTAATTTTCCACTGATAACTTCTTTTAGCAATACTTCATTTGGGAACGTATCCTGTAAAGTTGACTGAGAAATAACAAAATATAAGTTCAGAAAAAAATAGTACAGTCTCAAAAGAAACATTTTTTTTCAAATTCTGAAACAAGGTGATAACTCAAGGGCTGTACACAAAGGGAAAATGACATAATATGATTTCTCTCCCGTTTGACCCATGAGTTTTGGTATACCATGTATATTCCAAAATTCACCTATAATGAAGATAATCTAAATAATCTAAGCTAAAATATATTATAGTATATTAAACAACTTCACAAAATTTCGTAAAATACCTCTATCAATAAATGAAAACAAGTCAAATAATACAAGGAATTTAAATGACTATGTAGTACTTTATTTACAATAAACAATTTTCTGACTTAAGAATACTCATGCTTACCTGTTTTCTATTTGTTTCTGTGGATGCAGCTGTGAATAAAAATGACAATAGAACTGTTGGACTTAAAAAGTTGTTTGTGAGGTTGTTTATGGTAGTACTCGAAGTTAGTATTCAAACAGTTGTAGAAAATAACTAATTGGGAAAGAAAATGAGGTTTAATCCAGTAGGGAATGAGATGAGAAATATGCGATGTTTATGAGTATTCACAAACATGAGAGTTTATGAAAACAAGCTAAAGAAGCTGAGCATGCATGGCATATAGATTTTCAGGTACATATGGTTATCCTTATTATATTTGAGGGTTTCTGAGTTCAATGTTTTTAGAAAATGAGGAAAATATGAAGAATCTAATACTTACATAATTCATCCATATCTAAGCAATCCCTCTTAACACAAAGGAAACTAAACTGATAGATATTAACACTTGTAAATCACAAACACATGGTAGACCAAAATAATTTTGATTTTGTGTACAATTTTGAGGAGTTTTTGAATTTGCAACCCTCCCTCGGAAAATAAGCTACCCACTGCTCTTTAAGAAGTTTTGGGGGCAGATACATTTTCACAAAAAGTTGTTCTCTTGCTGATAATCATACCCCTTGAGAAAAATTCCTGTGCGCGCCCATGAAGGGGTACTTGAATTAAGTGTTCTTTCATCTCATCAAGTAGTAGTAGTAGTGGTGGTGGGGAGGCGAAGCCTGGCAACTAGGCCAACTTTGACCCTTTTTGCCCACCCCATAGTACGAGGGATGTCTTTTAAGTTTTGCATATGGAAATAAAACAACACCATAGGTAGTTTTAAATGACTTTATTGTTTTTCGAAGTATTCTCCAAGAAGATTAATACACATCCGCATGCGCTCGAACCAATTTTCGAAGCACTTATTCCACTCGTTTGCTGTCCGATCCAAAACGGCATTTTTGAATGCGTCAACTGCTTCTTCTGGTGACTGGAACCTTTGACCACGCAGTCTGTTTTTAATTTTCGAGAAAGTAAAGAAATCGTTAGGACTTAGATCGGGCCTATATGGAGGATGGTCCAATAATTCCACGTTTTCTTCTGTTAAATACTGCCTTGTTTTTTGAGATGTGTGCGAGCTTGCATTGTCTTGGTGGAGGATGATTTTTCGAAGCTCGGTGACGACTTTTGGCAAACAAATGGTGGTATACCAATCTGCAGTAACAGTTCTTTGCTCATTAAGATGAATTGTTGCAATATGACACAAATGTCGAGACCATCTTTTTCGAGACACTTCTAGAATGGATGACTTTTGTTGGCTTTTCTTCACCTTGGAACACACAAACAGCCGACTGTCGTTTATTTTCTGGTTCATAACAGTAAACCCACGATTCATCACCACTAAAAATGCTGTACACATTTTTTGAGTTTCCGGAATTGAAACGGCCAAGCGTTTTTTGACACCAATAACCCATGTTCTCGGTTGAGTTACATTTTTCTAATGACTTGGTGACACTTAAAAATTCACTGTAGTCAGAACACTGGATGTAGTGTTGTGAAACTTTGAATTTGAGTTTACTAAAGAGTGAGGTTAAGATTCAGTACTGAGGTTCGATCCAGGCGGCCTACTATGTTTCTATATGCAAAACTTAAAAGACATCCCTCGTACCAACACTGTACCACTAAATGAGCCCTCTTCTGGTAACTGATATAATAAACCAGTACAGTAATGAGAGGTGCCTGTTGATATGGCACCTTGTGTGTGATACAGACAACAAAATATCCATGGCATGGAATTAACTTCTGAGGTGGAGATTTGAAACTGTGAGCCCCGGGTTACTAACATGCTGATCACCATGCTACAGAGGCTCCTTACTATCATCAAACTGAATATTTTCCCTTAAATGATGTGCTGCAATATATTATCAATCAGCAAAAGGTTCAAAATAGCCTTTTAATGAAATTGAAGTAATATGATCTGCATGTCTCATAAGGTTATCATCATTCCTCATAATCACTCTAAATAGGATAATAAAAGATTAAAAGATTTTAATCTAGTTAAACCTGCTAATAAGATAATATAATCTCAATTGCTTTGTAACTTTTTTCAAGGAATTTTTTTTTAATTTAATTTAAGAATATCTTATCTCTTACTCAAGTTGTATTTTTAGGCAAATGAATACTGATAAATTGATAAGGATTTGTAGTAATCACAAATATTTACTGTACTACTCAGAGGATCTCACAGAATGAGAAGCAATATCAAAAGATTTAAGGGCTTAAAGCGACTGAACAAACTCCACACAAAAGAAAAATGTAGATTGACCTGTATTTATTTTTTAAAAATGATATATGTAGAATAAATTCTAGGGAAGAATTAAACAACAAATTTTGGAGATATAATCAATTTGCCATGTAATGCAAGCCAGTAACAGCTATTTTAGCCTTTTTTGTTTCACAAGAGGCAACTTTTGAGAATGAATGTAGTTGATAAGATTCAATTCTATCTTTACCCTTTGGGCATAAGGGGCATGAGCCCAGTGCTTAAGCTTTATGGGGGCCCTCAAATTCTTCTTTAGATCCTTGAAGAACAAAATAGCTGCAACTTGTACATATACAATGCTTTAGAAATTATAACCAAACATCTTTGGAGAAAAAATTCAGAATAATGTATTAGATCATAAAATAGTACTTACGATCTCCCTGAAACTGGAATTTTTCAACTACACTCCACTCGCTGCCTTCTATTATGTTTTTGTAAAAAGGAGTTGCAGGTGCAAACAGCAAGTGTGTCTGACCAACATCGAAATGATTATATTGGACAGACCGTTCATCATAGTAGGTCGGCTCTGTAACATTTTCTTTCTTCAGTCCTGGTAGAAGACTTCTGCCATAGGCAATGATGAAAAACAGGGCAATAGGTAGAAATGCTTCTACAGTTGTTAAAAGCCAGTGCCTTTTTCTTATTATCAAATTCTTCCAAACTATAACATTCAACTGACGGAGGTTCATGGTGAAACTTTCTTTTTTCTTCCTTAAAGTATAAAAATGGTTAAACATATTTGTATCTTAACCAATGCAGTTAATATCTTACAATGTGCTGACAAAATCCGTAAAAATACTGTATAGTAAACCGAAGCGATTAATTTCGTTATCAACCAATGATAACCCACATCTCTTGTTAATTTACATTATTGTTGAAGGTAACAATCATATACAACGAACCTTTCTCAACTGTTTAACACCTCTAATATATCACTTTTGGGCACACATGAATTACACAAAATGGTGGATAAATGGGTACAAAAACGTAGAAAGTAGAAAATCCGCTATTTTCTAGCGTAACATAGACTTTAAACGAGCATTGAGTCACATCACATACTAGTCTCCATTTTGCGACTGCTTTCTTTTTTCAACAAACGTCACCGTCGTCAACCGTCAACGTCAACACTAAGGCCCCATCCCAACGAGTGTAACCCCACCTTTGAAAATTGACCTTTGTATCCAAAAGAAGTCATTTAATCGCTTACTTACTTTAATATTTTAACTCTGCATTTATTGCATTTTCGATATTCTTTGAGCTTTGTACATTATAATCCCCAAAACGTATCAGAAGACTATTTAAAAAATGGAATTTCTAATAGACAGGGGCGTAGCATGCACTACCTATTTGAGAGGTATCACGTGGCCTAGTTTTCCCGCTTCCAACCTATTTGATGAATAAAAACAAAAAATATGTATTTAGATACATCGTAGGTAGTATAAACATGTGTGCATGTGATATTATTCTTTTTTTAATATGCCCACTCTCCTCGAGATAATCTGTTTCCTTTCCTTCTCAGGCTTATTGTAAGGATCTGTGTCTGCTTTCCGTGTATACAACATAACATGCCTCTTAGCAACCATCATTCAGTACAGTAGTATCTGCGCGAGTAGGCGATACTGCTACCAAAGAGTAAGATCACCAAAGCGGTACCCATGTATGTAATGCGGGTCCCTCACGATTGCTACCTGGCCATTGAACTCTGTCGTGTAGCGTAAGAGAAATGAAAGAAGGAAGATTTTTTTTATACTCCAACTACCACGAAGGCCTGAGGCCTAAACGCCCATTGGGTGCCGTGGGGCTAAGGATAAGCTTAATTAAAAAAAGTGCCACGAAAAGATTGAGGTATGGATGAATATGGCAGATCAGAGAGCGAGAATACATGGAGCATTGCATGGGGATATAGTAAAAGAAGGGCAAAGAAGAAAATGGAAAAGAATGTGATGAAAGTATGGCAGAATGGATGGGAGAGCAGGGAGGGAAAGACTACCCCTCAGCTTGAGTGCAACCCAGCTAATAACAGTTGATGGAAGATTCCCCTGACGTTCGACGCATGGTGACGCCAACGTCTATTATTGGTGTGAGTGTTGCGCTTGAACCTTTACAACTGAGAAAAATATATATACAAAATGAACGATGAAACAATTTTTCGAGCGCCGAAAAATAATTTCAGATCTGTCTTCAGCGACCAGGACTTAAAGTCTGCCAGAAGCGTCAGAAATGTCGAAAAACGAAGTTTGACCGTTTTTTTGTTTGTTTTTCGACGATAGCTCCTCCGTATCCACTGTACCGATTTTCAAAAACTGCAGAGCTTTTTCGTCATTTCCATAGTAGTACCCTAGGGTCAAAATTTCATCAAAATCCTATACTATCCTTTCAGAGTTATCATTTATTTAATCGTTTTCGTTAGTTATGAAATGCATGTCAATATATTTCTCAACTAGTCTTGCATTGCAACAGGACACTATAATGAAACAACTGTAAGCACTTGATAATTTATAATTTACTAAAATACATATCCTTAGGCCAGCCATAACTCACCTGCGAAACGTACAAAATATTAGCAATATGAAAAAGGTGTTGTCATGACAGCTTATGCTTTGTATGTATACTAATTTAATTCATTCTCCTCAAAAGTTAGTTACGGAATATACAACCTTATGAATAGGTAGGTATTAAAATCAAAATACTACAATCACGGCAAACAAGTAAATAATGTTTTTCGCCGCTACTGGTTCTAATCTAAAACCATGAAACACATGACATCTCGTGTGGGAGCGTATCGAAGCATGCTTCCAACGTTGTAACGTCCTTTGACGCGGGTCAAATTTACCGACAAGAGCCCGAACGTGCCATGTGGCGAACTTGGACAGCGCTCTCCCAGACGATGTGGCGAATGGCTATGTGTCCAACGTTGTAAGGCATTCGCCACATCGTGTGAGACCGGTTTAAGACAGCGACACTGATAGGACTATTTGTGTTGACCTGTTGACTATGCTACCAGCTGTAGCATATTATGCAGAAATTGCACAAACTAAACAGGCTCCTTCTGTGTATCATCAATTGTATGCAAAAGACAAAACTGAGATCATAGGCATTCTTTTTACTGGCTGAGCTGTTTTAATATTGTTAAAACTGATGGGAGAACATATTTAATAATAGTTCCAGTGGGTAAAATTCCTGTAGACGCCTCTGCTCCATCCATAGACAGTCAATTTCTAACATTAACCCTTAACTGATTATTAATTATCCCTGAACCCTTCTTGTATTCGTCAACGGTGGAGAATTCATCCAATGATTGATTAAATTCAGGTCAGGTTTATGTGCCCCAAAGTCTATTGATAGCCCCGAAACTACGCCTCTTCTGTCCCTTATCCTATTATCTGTCATGAGTCATACTGAACAACAGCTGTCAAAACGAAAAAACAGTGATTTTTAGAAATCATCCCAAATCTATCTATTGTCGACGTTGTTCTGTATTAGTTTAATAAAAAATCCCTCAGTCGTTCCTTACTTGTAATTCAGGCTCAAGTTTTAACAATAATTAATTAATAGTTAACTGCACAATAAATTAGAATGTTACCTAGGCAACACGTTATACACAGTGATGAAGCTTATAGGCCAGTCAAGTTGATGCCATTCGTTAAACGATGACAGTGTAGGCTTCTTTTATGATTACATAGCAAAACCAAGCACCGACTTAACGTCTAGGTGCTACAGAACCAAAAGTGCAAAAACAACTGAAATTTATAATCTAATATTGAAGCAAAGTTCAATTATGAACGCAGATACATATGTACATGTACAGAGTGATTCATAAAATAGTAGCAATATTTTTAAGGCAGAAAGAGGATCCAAAAATAACAGCAAAAATCATATAAATATGGGTACTAAAAAGCCAAGCCCGCTTAGGAGAGATGCTGTTGTTGAAGTTTCAATTTTGCAATCGAAAATAATGCATCATACATACCATATAATTATTGGGCCAGATATAATGTGCCAGACCAATAAAATAGCATTCTTAAACCAGATATGTGTGGATTTTTTTCACTAATAAAACTATATAGCAATCAATAATGGGTTATTAGTGGAAAAAAGAAATGTATCTTCCGAATAGACTATATAGGTATTGACTTAGAATATATTATACATTTAGTAGTTACAGTAGGACCAATACATACAACCATTTTCGTAGTCCAGGGTATGACATAGCGTAGATATTGGGGAATTTGTAGCCCTGCAGAAGAAAAAAATTATTTTCTACGCCACTGACTTTTTTGAAATATTTTCTGCCCTTAAGAGTAAAATACTCAATGTTGTATGAGGAATTCTGTTTTGATAAATGGAGTAATTATAGTAAATGTCCGGAAATTGGAAAAACAGGAACTAGGTTATAAGTACTGATTGTAAAATTTGCTTAGTCAAAGGCCTTATGGTTTTTGAGATATATCTAGCAGTCACATATAGCAAATATCAACTCTACTCCAAAATCAATTTTTGTTATCTGAGTCTGTTTCAAAATATTCACAATTGATTGCTTCATCGAAATTAGTGGTGTTTTACTCTTATGTTATAGCTGCAACATTGCAATGAAAACTAATGAATACGTCCAACTTTGGCACCCCGTAGTAACAGAAAATGGGCTGCGATCACCATGCCGAATACTTTGAAAAGCTATAGCTATTTAATGCTGTGCTTGCAACTGTACTATTGGCCAATCTTGAGTTTGCTATTTCCTTTTTTATAGCAACTCGTCGAGTCTCCGAAATATTGAAAAACCGCATGTGTGACGCGAATCAGAAGTAATTAGGCCACTAGCCGTTAGGTGTGTCCTATATCTCTTAATAGCAGAGGAATCCCTTAGTTTGGATGAGTTCTTGGCGGTTACGTCATCAACGCCATATGAAATAAGTAAACAGATCGAGTCTCCATACATGGGCGGAACACTGCGCAGACAAATCTTCAGCGCATCTGCTACTCTCTCCAGTACGTATGAAGTGGGTAGCAGAGGACCGCTGTTGTCATTCTCTTCCTGGAAATACTCTAACAAATTTAGCACGAGCTGTCGGCCTTCTCCATTGATCAAATTTCCGGGCGTTGTAGAATTTTATATTGAAGATTGATAACAGGAAAACTCAAATTGCACGCTGATGTCAAGTAAGTTGTCACTCTGCAAATATGATTGAAGGGCACTCATACGTAACGGAAGTTTTCGAGACGGAGACACACAACTATAAAAAACACGAGATCTGGCCGGTCCGACTGCAAAGTTGTGACCGCCTTTTCTACATTGTCGCTCTAGAGCGGCAAAGCTGCCTTTTGCGATTTACTGAAAACTATATAGGTAGCGATAGGTGACACTGTTGCCTACGTAGATCCTGGCTTGAAAACAGCAAACATATCAAATCTAAAATGACTGAGTTATGATATTCCTATCGAGGAGGCCATGTGGTTCAAGGTTAGACTGTTTTGTTTTGGGGAGAAATAATATAAAAAATGTTGAATGTGTGGCTATCATGTGGAACAACGAACTCCGGGAAAAAGTTTAGATGAAGTGTAGCGACTTTATTTTAAGCGTTTCAAAAAGCATGCCATCTATACAAAAGTGTTAAAATATTGACTGTGTGGCGTCGTTCCCTGTATTGGATTCGCAGATTCCAAATTTCCTAAACTCGCGCGTCTTGTCATCTTGTCAACGCGCAGTGCAGTGAGGTGAGTGTGTAGCAATCATGGCGAATCCAAGGAAGTTTAGTGAAAAAATAGCTCTCCACAATCATCGACAGGCCGAAGAAACGGCCGCTTTTGAACAAATCATGAAAGAAGTTATAGAGGTGACGACGAAGGTACGTAAGCTATACCCCCTGCAGTATAACCTATCAGAGCTTCGATCTCGGTCACAAACGACGTAAACAAAAAAGTACTGTTCTGCAGACGGCCTAATATCGTGTTTAGTATTTGCAGATAAACATTTCTTGATTCGTCATACAATCGTACGATTATTGTGAAAATCCATCCTAATCGAAGTACACTATGCACGCTGGGTATTCAAATGTCTTTCATACCAAATACTTTTTATGACAATCAATAAATTTTTGAATTGAATTTAACAACTAACAATAAAAATAGTTTGTAACTCGTTGGATAATAGGAACATCGGAACCTCAATTTTGCGTATGATATTTTGTTTTCCATGAGATTTGGATGTTCAAGTTTCATAACAGATAATGCAAAGCATGGATGTAAACAAGTTGAAAATTATAAGCTAATTAGTTGTAGATATAATTCCAATTGATTTCGGTTGCACCTGTGCCTTGAATATATGAAATTAATATTTTGTAAACATATAAACAGTGTCAAATGCAGGTTAGCTGCCTTATCCTAGATTTTGACAGCTGTGTCACTTTTGACAGCACTGTAAAATGAAAAAAAATAATTTTCAAAATATGAGCATCTGAGAAATAGTGATGCTTATGATTTTCAAAAGTGGGCACAGAGCTGTTTTTTCAAAATCATAACTGCTTTTAGAAAAAAACATTTTTTAAGTTCAATAAAATATTGATGAATCTTATAAGAATCTGGTATGACAAGTCATAATCCAACAATTTTTGGTATTTTACCTTTTTTCAAAGATCCCTCTCATTTTTAAGTTGATAATTCATCATTTTTATACATATGGATATATGTATGTTTGGATTCCTCAATGAATTCAAAGAAACTACATTAGTTTCCATGAGAAATTGAAGCTGAATCGAAACCATATAAATAAATGCAAGGTTCTTGTTTTGGCTACTTTACCAGCATAAGAAAAAATTTCAATAATAAAAGTCTGAATGTAATAGATAATACTTTACATGAGGAATTTGTTTGCAAATTTAATTATAGATTAATTTGTTAAGGTAGCAGGTAAATCTTCTTTCTCAGTGGCCATTACTAAGCCATTTTACTATCTAAGAACCATTATTTATTTCTGAGAAGCATATTAGTGGCAGATTTTGTGAAAGGACAAGATACTTATAAGCAGTATCAAAAAATAATTATAGGTTGATTTTGTAGTAACCTAAAATGACTTTCATTTAATAACTATAGATTTTATGATTTTCACATTAGATATTGTTAATATGCAAGAAATATACATCATGATAAAGGTAATTTGTATTGAAGATATATTAGAATGATAATATTTTCATTAGAGATTGGAGTCTAAGCATCTCTCAGTAAGTTGCCTCATTCACAAATAAGAATGAGTTGCAAGAACATAGCCTAAAATGCTATTTAAAAATCCAGAAATCTGTGCTGCTAAAGTCAAAAGCCAAAAATAGGAGTTTTGTATGGTATAACCACTTAATATCAGAGAACACCCCACAACAAAAATCTTCAAAAAAGTAATATAAAAGTAGTTAATGTTGATTTTTCAAAGTTGACTCTGGCTTGGATTCTTAAATTTTAAAGCTATGATACAAAACATGTTTAGCTTTAAAGTTCTCATATTCGAATCTGCAGTACCTATGTGCAACAACTACTCTAGTTTGTCAGCTACTCAACTGAAGGATTATTTTCATCCTTTATAATGGGATATTTTGTAAAATTTTATGTTTCTTATCCACAGAAAGTGTCAAAAATAGCCCTTCAGAATTCTTACATATGGGTGATTCTCTGTAAAGTCGTAAATCACGGTCCATGTCTGATATTCAATTGAGTATTGTTATATGAAATATAAAGGATGCTTATACAATAAGTTTAACAATATGCCTTCCTTGTGCGATTGATATAATATTGGTAATAGTTACAGTTTATTTTTTATATGCTCCCAAATATCATGAAACACAGTCCCCTGGGCTGTCCCATTCCTATGATATCCACTTTGTGATATTATTTTCAATGGATTTATGAATGTCATGCTATGTGGCCAATTATCCTTTGAAAACGAATAAACCAAATTATGACAATTCTGTCAAATGATACTATAATTTAAATTTATCAAGTTTCTAAAATGTGTGTAATTTTGTCCACATTTTTTCCAAACAGTACCCTGTACAAATCTCTAACCTCAAATAAAAGATGTTTGCGCCGGTCTCAAATGATATTCGGCATTAAACGGAACGCACCTATGGTCAAGGTCGCTCCACTGCAGCAAGCGACTGCGCAGCGCCATTTTGGTTAGTATTAGCGCGTCGTTTCTTGTGAGAGCACGTGTCAGGGCCGTTACAGCACACAGTCCTCTGGTAAGTATTAAAGTTTATAATATTCATAATTAACCATATATGTATTATGTATTGCTCCTATAATTCCTGTGTTGAGTGATCAGTTGTCGTGAAATTGAATCCCTAGCAGCTGTTTCGTTGATGTTGAATGATTTAATCGAAATACACAGTCCCCTGGCAACAGTCCCCTGGCCTCCAAGATGCCAGGGGACTGTAGCCCATTCCAGGGGACTGCTGATATCAGTTCTCTGTTGATATTTTGCAGTCAACGCTATTATAATGTATCGCACTAAACATAAGAATTTTTTACAGATGGCTTCGAAAAGGAAAAAGTTATCCAGAGAAGAAATATTACAGAAAAAGAGGGAAGCTGAACGTTTGAGGTACCAACGAAAAAAGAATGACCCGCAAATGAGGGAAGAAATGCGAATAAAGGAGAAGTTGAAATATGAAAGAAAAAAGGAAAAAGGCTTGAGAAAATTAGCCAAAGACATGACTTCACGTGAACATAGGGCTGCCTTAAAAAAGTGGAGGGAGCATTGTGCTGCTTACCGGGCCAAACAAAAGGATGCGACAGTGGCTCTCAATACACCACGTGCAAACATGCTTTCATCTGATCAAGGGAGCCCTTGTTCATCTGCAGGATGCAACACTTCAGTCATTGACTTTCCTAGTAACCAGATCCCTACGGTAACGGCTATCAATTCACATCGAAGAAGGCAAGTCAAAAAGCGGAGAGAAAAAGTGAATAAGGAAAAGGATGAGAAGATAGAAGCTCTAAAGAAAAAAGTAGATAAATATAGGAAAAGAATAACAAGATTACAAAATAGAAGTAAGAAAAATAAAGCAGACACACCCAACACTAAAATGCAGAAGATGTTGAATGAACCTGGAGGTAGAAAAGAAGTGGTTAAGAAAGCGTTGTTTAGCGACGTTTTAAATGAACAACTCAAAGAAAATTATTCAAATTTAAAATGTATTAAAGATAAACAAATATTTACGAAAGTCTTGTCTGGAGTTCGATTACAAAAGTACAGGCGGTGTATACCCAGAGACTGTGGTGTTTTGTATAGAGGTGTTCAGAGTACAAAACGTTACAATACTTTGACCGTGCCTGTGATACGGCGGATAAGAATACCAATAAGGTATTATAAGCAAGCTGTTCGGTCCTTTTTTTAAGATGACAGTAACAGTCGCATAGGAGCTGGGAAAAAAGAATACGTTACAAAACAGAATGTGAGAAAGCAAAAGAGATATCTTCTTGATACGATTCTTAATTTATACAAAAAATTTTTGGCAAATAACTTCAAGATTAGTTATCAAACATTCTGTCGGTTGCGTCCATTTTGGGTAGTAAGACCAAGTACACAAAATCGTGACACATGCTTGTGCGTAACTCACAGTAATTTGGACATGAAGTTGCGGGCTCTATATGATGCAAAGATAATTGCCTACAACAACTACCAGAAGTTACTGGAACAGCTATGTTGTGACCGGTATAATGAAAACTGCTTATCAAGAAGATGCCTTCTTTGCAAAAATAGACTTCCTAAATATAAAGAATTCAACGATAAGAGAATCATAAAATATAAGATGTGGGTCCAAGAAAGACAAGAAATCATAGATTTAAAGACGAAAAAGCCAAAGATAGTGACAAAACACCTGAAAATGGTGTACAATGGACATCCCCGTCAAATAATATCACAATTACACACAGATTTAGAAAAATTCTTTGTACATCAAAGAAATATCATACATCAATACAGTGCTATAAATCATTTAAAACAAAATCTACAAGACGACGATGTCCTTATTCATATCGACTTCAGCGAAAATTATTACACAAAGTATGCCGAAGAGATACAAGCATTTCATTTCGGTGGATCTAGAGCGCAATTGAGCCTGCATACAGTAGTAGTTTATTTAAAAGGTACAATACATTCCTACTGCACGATATCAGATAACATAGCCCACTCACCTGCTGCTATTTGGGTACATCTAGGACCCATTTTTCAATCATTTCCATGTGGCATAAAGCATGTACATTTCTTGAGCGATGGCCCCGTTACGCAATACCGTAACAAAACAATGTTCTTTATGATGGCAACCAAACTACCGCAAGATATTCCAGGTATAGAACAATTCACCTGGAACTATACCGAGAGTGGGCATGGGAAAGGTGCACCAGATGGAGTTGGTGCAACCTGTAAAAGAACTGCCGATTTTGTTGTAAATGCTGGTGGCGATATAAATAATATCGAACAGTTTGTACAATGTATCCAAGAAAGATGCCCAAATATAACTTGCATCACAATCGACAGTCAAGATATTCAGGAAATGTCCAATAAACTTCAACAGGAGGCATTTAAGCAGAAGGGCTTCAAAGGCACGTTAAATGTGCATCAAGTCACAGGGGTCTTTTCTAGCTCCATTTCTGACCTCCCAGCAAACTGTATAACCTTAACAATGAGGAGCCTCAGCTGTTTTTGCAACACAGGCATCTGTGAGCATTTTAAGATAAGTAACATTACTTATGACCTGAATCCAAGATTGAGAGTAGAAGATGTGTTTTCAGAATCGGATTCGGATAGTAATATAAATTTAAGCGAGTATAAGTCAAATATGCCTGTGAATGTCGTCAGTGATGAAGTCGCTGGAACTAGTGGTCGACAGCATTCATGTTATAGCACTGGAGACTACGTTCTTGTTAGATTTTTGGTAAAACATGTGGAGTATCGATATGCTGCCGTGGTTAATAAAGTCGACGAAGAGGAAAATGATTTGCGTGTTACATTTTTAAAGGTTTGTGATGACAAGGTTCAAACCTTTAAAATAGATGAAAGTGACATATCAGATGTATCATTTGACCATGTAGTTCATAAGTTGGAGAGTCCTGATTTAATACTGAAAGGGAATCGAATATTTTACAAATTTGAGTCTTTGGTGAACGTGTATGAGAGATGATTGTTTCTTTCAAGTTACGAAGTCATCTGGCCGATACTCGGAGAATAGTTTTTTTTAAGTTTTGTTTGAAAGTTCAGATTTATTTTGTAAACTACAACAATATTGCGTATATATGTCGGTAGGGGCATTTTAAATGAATGACGGTGATCTTTTGTGATACTATTTTTATGACTACAAAACTACAAAATATCACATGGTAATGATGTTGAGTTTTTATATTTTCTGGATGTTCCATGCCTGGCTTTCTAATGAACCATCAAACGTATGAAAATGTTAGTTTTTATATAAAAATTTGTAAGTGAAGTTTTATTTTGTTACTGTACTATCATAATAGTGTTAGTGAAGGTTGTTGAGTTTTTTTTTTGTGAAACTAGTTTCTTGATCTCATTTGTAGTACAAAATATGGAATGTTATGTGCCTCTTGATGAAACTGAATATTTTTGTATGACGTTATATGTTTTTGTATTCATTTTTACTGTACTACTATTAAGTGGTCATAGAGGTACCACTGATGATGCAAAATAAAGAATATTAAGCACATGCCTACGATTTTTATGAATTTTAAACAGTCCCCTACCTCACTAGGCAGTCCCCTGCCCTGCTTGAAACAGTCCTCTTGTTACATATAACAGTCCCCTGCTAAGAACTTTTAGAAAACAGCTAATATCAGAGAAAATAGCTATTTCTTCAATGGGCATTTTCGTGTTTGAGATGTATGTGTCGATTTCGTAGGCCTTAGATGGTGTTTCTTTGATATATATTGCTATAAAATCTCTGGACAGATTTGTATGGTGCGTTGACGAGTTTACAGAGAATCACCCATATATATATTTTATACCAAAGCTATAATAATTCCCAGTCTCCTAATTCCTTAGATGGTAACCTTTTTTTCTCTGATGTTGATAGTTTAACAATATAAAATAAAATTTATGGTCATGTTCTTTCACTATGTGGAATAAAAATCAAAAGGATTTGAATAAAATTCTTTCATTGTACAAATTTCAAATATGTTTTCCCAACACATGAGGGAAAACCAGAATACAGTGCATCATCCTTGAAAAATGGCTGTGAATAAACTATTTCAGCCATTCATACCAGGTGTAAAATACCCCATTTACCTGGGAGGGGTAGCCATTCTATTTTGATGATCGACTAGTTCACTATTAATAAGCTCAGAAATTGAAGTCTTAGTTTGGATGATGCTGTTTATTCTCAATGAACCTGCTTACAAAAATTTGTTTTTGCTATTAATGCCATTATTATTTTATGTAGTTTTTAGTTTTAGTGTGCTAGTTACTGTTTGAGAGGTAACTACAGGATGAGTGTGTATCTAGAACAGAATGCTCTACTCCTGATGACGTCACGCGGCTATTGTCAGGCATTGTATGTTTCAGTGGTATCCGCCTGCTTGGACATTTCACTTTAGTTGAATAAACACTTGTAAAAAAAAGGAAATGGTCCTATTATAGTGCTACATCAATTTTTTTCTGTCTGTCTGTATAGGAAGATGCGTCACATGGGGGCCGCAACCTCCCCGGCACCTCTCCCACTGCGTCCGGGTATCGCGGGGAGGGGCGGAGTCGAGCACGTTCGCAAGGCGGGCCAATCAGGCGGCCACACGATCGCAAGCTTGACACCTCCCCCTACTCAAGCACCTCCTATTTGTCACCGCCCACTGACACCGGTTGGCGAAGGACGAACAGCGATTCAGCTTTGCACCAGAGCACTATGCAGGTGAGAGAGGGGTTTTGCATTCCATTTTATTAATTTATTAGCTGTATTCTGATGTCCTTTTTTTTCATTATAATGTCTGGTTTATGGGTTACCAAGCTTGATAGACTTATGACACAAGAATTAAGGTCATTAGGGACTGCTCTAACAGCAATGACTTGGACTAATTCAAAAGAATGACTTTAAAAAAAGAAAAAAAAAATTTTAGTTCTTTGATCTTATCTGAAGTAACAGTCAGTATGTAGTTTGTTAGTCGGTTTTACAGGGTGCTGTAGAACGTTGTCAGAAGTAATTGAAATATGCAAAATTGTTTAAACTTGCCTGTCCTTGATAGTTCACCTAACAGACAGATTAGTTTCGTGGTTCATACAAATTGATTATCAGAGGTGTCCAAAATTATTTCCTAAATCGCTGACATCAGTGGCGTTGGTACCGGCACATATGTGTAATTATTACATAACTTTTCGAAATAAACATTGTTTCATCAACCATTATGCAAATTGTTCATTATTATTAAAAAAATAGTAGAACTCGCTTTTTCAACGTAGATCGATAAACTCAAAAGTCACTTAGGAACTTTTATGATTCCAGCTGTCTGTCCGCGACTTCGCCCAAATAGATTTCGGGATTTTCATAAAAATTATATATTTCTGCGGTAAGAGTAGTTGATGTCTCTAACCAATCATTCGTGTCAATAATTATACAATAGTTTTCCCGTATTACCATTAAAAATGTTTTAACGAATAATGATCAAACGCCTTATATTTTTAACCATTAAAAAACTATTTTACATAATGCTCTAGCAGTTTCTTTTCAAGAGCCTGGGCAGAAAGAAAATAATAAAAACAAGCAAAGTCAGCGAAGGTATCCCACACGAAGGGCTCCGAATCACCGCACAATATTACAATTGAAGAATAGACGTCGCGATCTCTTGTGCATTATCAATGAACATGGGAAACAAGTTGCGTCCAAACTTCTAACTCCTATTTCATCCCTTTAGGAGTTGAATTTAAAAAATGTGTAACCTATTTTTCTTTATATAGAACATATAGAACAGTTTCAGGTGGATCCAATGAAAGAATCTTCCTCCCATCTTATTGATAACGTCCGCCTTATGGACATTTCTGCAAATTTTCAAGTCCAACTGACCATCATGTTTATAAAACTCAAGAACGTTAAAATTGAAAAATCGTATGCTCGAGTACTCTGTTTAACAAATGAAAGAAAAAGGAAGATTTTCAAATATCAGTGAAATCTTAAATATGTATAATTTACATAATGAAACACGTTGAACGTGTCTTAGATGAAATACACTAAGAAATTTGAATGCGGTAATACTCGTATATTGAAGCAGTAATCAAGACATGAATAATTCAGTAGATAATTTAGTAATATTTTTATGTGTATTTTGGAATAACCAAATATAAGACTTGGAATATCGATCAGCTAGGAACATCTAAATGTGGAAAAGAGCCTTCAAACTTTCACCCATGTCGAGTCAGCACCTCATAATCTAGCGCCACGGAGTTTTGGATGAGCTCTGAGCTCTGTTGTTAATATTTGAATTCATATTTGCAATTCTTATTTTTTTTTAGGTAGTTTTCCGCATTTTTCACCGCTTGTTAAGCAGATACATATTAATATTCTGGTTACATGTATGAATTCGCTCAATATAAATCTCTTTCCTCTTTTTTTTTGTTTTCAAATTGTAGCATAAGTGGATCGATTGTCAGCTCACCTGTTAGTACCACATCAGTGAAATTATAAGTAATGCATATCCCACACTGGCTTTATTATCAGAAACTATAAATATCAATATCTATATATGAAATTTACAAGAACAATATTGAAAAAGTGCTGAAGAAATTTCCAGTGTGATGCTCTCTAATCTCCTAAAAAATATGACTGCTCATTATTATGTCGCAAATCATCTTTTGTTTAAAGCACCATTTAACTTCATATGCAGTAATGCGAATAGGATTGGCAGTTTTTGAGATGTTGTGTATTTCAGAAATAAAGAATTGCTACAAGCTCATATCGTTGACTTTTTTATCCCCTTTTTCTAGTTGTTTTTGTTTGTCACTGTATACAGACTGTAACAAAAGTTTGGATCGCAACGAATATCTGACGAATGACTATTTCTTTTTTTAAATTGATAGGTTTAGGTTCTAAACCACAGCGAATTCGTTCGTTGATGATAGCTGCGATGTTGCCAAATCTACAGTTTTCCGGAAACTGATACCAACTTTGTTTTTCTTATGGAATGCTATATACATTTTATTCGACATTTGTATTCTGCGAGACATTCTGAATACTATTTATTACATATACTTTGACATAGACCTCATAGTTTTCGAAATATTCTCGATCAAACATTAATATCTAAACAATAAAAGTTGTTTTTTTTTTACCTAAGCAATGACCGGCATCGAAAGTAATATCCTTTCATTTCTGACATTCAAAAGTCCATTGAGTTTTGTTAGTAGAGTTATTGAGGATGATGCATTGAATATTTTAGTGAGTATAGCGGAAATCTTTTTACTAGAACACGTGATGAAGGTAACAATACAACTCACATGTCTGTGGAACGCATTTTAAAGACGGAAAAATTCCATCCTTACAGAGTCACCTAGGTTCAAGAGCTATCAGATGATGATTTTGATAGGCGTTTACAATTATGTGAAACCATGCTGGATACGTGTAATAGATTTGAACATTTTTTGTACGAAATAATGTTTTCGGATGAGCCACGTTTTTCTTTGAATGAAACTGTTAATCGCCATAACTGCCGCTACTGAGCCAGGGAAATTTCTCATTGGGTACGGGAAAATCATATATGATATCCATAAAAAATTAATGTTTGGGCGTTTTCAATGGAAGAAAATTTAAAGGCTAAAAGATATTTGCATCTTTTGAAGAATCACGTTGTCCTAGCTTTGGCAGAAATATTTCCCAATCCTTGTAACTTTTATTACCACAAACAATAAAAAATATCAATATTGTTTTCTTTTAGTATATAATATAGCCCAATGATAGAATATGGCTTCAACAAGATGGTGCACCTCCGTATTACTCTCGAAATGTTCGCGAATTTTTGCATCAAACATTTTTTGGAAGATGGATAGGTAGAAGAGGTACGAGTGGATGGCCACCTCGGTCTCCTGACCTCGCACCCCTCGATTATTTTTTGTGGTAGCACTTAAAAAAAATGTATACAAAACCAAACCATTTGATTTGGAGGAACAAAAACAACGAATAGAAAATGAATGCAGAAGAATCGAGGAAAGCGGATGTCTTCAAAATGTTCTAAACGCATCTCCGCAATATCTAGCTTATGTCAAAGAAGTATATGGACGGCAGTTTAAACATTTAGTATGATTTTTATCTTGTTGTGAAGTTTAAATTATCCACTCCACGTTTTATCGTTTACTTTGTTTTTAATTTTTCTCATGTTGCCATGGAAAATCAAATACACTATTTTAATCAATATTAGAATTTCTATTCTCTTGATTTCAGTTAAATAAATCATTTTTTTTTAACTCTACTAACAAACCTCAATGGACTATTCAATGTCAGAAATGAGAGGAAATTATTTTCCATATTGGTCATCGCTTAGGTGAAAATAAGCCTTTATTGTTATATTGAAAACTGAGAACTACGTCAAAAGTATGTTTAATAAAAAGTATTTAGAATTTCTCACAGAATTTCCATGAGAAAAACAAAAGTTGCCATCAGTTTCTGAAAAACTGTAGATTTGGCAACATCGCGGATATCATCAACGGATTCGCTGTGGTTTCGAATCCAAACCTATCATTTTTTTGAAAAAAAAAAATTTGTTGAGACATTCGTCATATATTTGATGCGTTTCAAACTTTTATTACAGTCTGTATATTTATCATTATCATTCATTCATCTTATTCATTGTTTATTTTCTTTCTACTTAAAGCGCCTTTCTCTTTTTTTGTTTTTTTCCCACTTTATGGCACACATACAAAATTAAATTATTGTACTACATGTACTCTAAATTGTATAGGTACTGTTGGACAATAAATGCTATACAAGTCTTATTATTATGACAGAAAAACATGTAATCTAAACAAATTAACTGTTCCAAAGAAGACTTGAATATACTGTTGTATTTTCCTAGGGCATGGTGGACAGAAACAATGATTCGTCCAGAGGTTGGAACCTACCGATGATGAATGGGCCAGATCGAAATAACGACCGAAGGCCAAGATCGAGCTGTGACATACCTTCGTCTCGAGTACCTGGCATTAGGTAACCTTTATTTACCACCTTCTGCACTTTTCCATACATCTACGTATTGAGTCCCAATAAAGATGAGCCTCCATAGATTCGCTTCGTCACCGTACGCGTCGCAGGGTTTGTATTAGAGATCGATACAGAAATTTTGTGGATACTGATATTTCATCTTTTACGAACATAATAGTGAAATCGGATGTGAACCCTTCGGACTCAACACGTGTATGAACGAGTAATTCAATAAAAGGTGCACAGTGAGAAATCCTGCTCATGGAACTGTGTTCAAGGAAAAAGTTGCACTTGAACCTCTGCATATAGAAAACTTCCAACGACAATTACGGCAGTAATGATATACATTACCATGGCGACGGAAATGCGTTTGTGGTGGTATGATCGAAGTAAGTAAAAAATGGCGTCAAATAGGTTGACTCTGCACTTCCCAAGCAACGTTTACATCAGTTCATAAGCGATGATGTTTGGCAGAAGTTGTCACTCTCAACTAGCTACAAATATGTATAACAATGCAACTGAATGGATTGTCAGCCAAACAGGTCCACGCAATTAGTCCATACTCCATAGTCCCGACCGATTTGATAACGCAAACGCACACTAGTGGAGTAACTCGTAAGAACCGGCGATGCAGTCAGAGTCAATCTGACGCAGCCAGTGCTCAGCATATGAAGGTTGCATCAAGGCTAACAGCGATCCCGTGTTGCTTCGATATTTCTCACTCTTAAGGGCAAATGTACGGAGAAAACGAAGTTTTATTTTTATCGTGTTTTTGTCCCTAGCTCCGCCATCACTAGAACGAATTTCAAAAACTGAGGAGCTTTTGCGCCCTTGGCATAGTAGTAACACTGTTTGTAAATTTCATCGAAATCTGCACGGTACTTTTCGAGTTTTAGCCGTTAAAAGATTAGCGGACAGAGACAGACAGATTGACAGAAATGAATGACCTGGTTTTTCGTGATGTACAAAGGGTACTATAAAAGTTTTGACGTAGTGAGATAAAGGCAGTTTTACGGTATTACTTTACGCGTGGTTTAAGCTTAGAAGAAATGACGCTTACATTAAAGAATGATTGTCCTCATCGCACGACTATATTCAGGTGGTACAGAGAATTCCAATGTGGTAGTTTAACTCTGGAGGATACTGAGAGGGAAGGAAGGCCGGGAACGTTAGTAACTGAGGAAAACATTACCGCTGCTAGGAACATGGTTGACGAAGACCGGAGGGTGACTTACCAACTGAAGACACTGAACACAGAAGACAGTCATAGCTAAGTGGTACACGGAACAGTGCCTGCGTAAAGTCATACAGTCTATGAAAAACCTGCGGCCAAAGTCAAGAATGGACACTTGGTACCTCTACCTTGACAACGCTCCAGCTCACTGGGCCAAAGAGTATTTGACCACTACTGGACTGAAACTTATTGAGCATCGTCGTTACAATCCAGGTATTGCTTCCTGCGACTTTGCGCTGTTTCCACATGTGAAAATGAAGCTAAAAGAAAAAAGGTTTTCTTGCGATGAGGACCTTCTGGGGCACAATGAGAGTGCCTCACTCCCGGGTGAAACTTGGAAGAGCTGGTTTAAGGACTGGTTTTGGTGGATGGAGAAGTATATTGAATATGGTGGAAATTACTATGAATGAAGTCAATAAATAAATCTATATTGCAAAACTTTTATAGTACCCTTTGTACATGTATGTACATAACATCCAAAAAATATATCATTTTTGAAAATTTTCACGATTACAATATTTCCCGCCAGTAGACGCGGGAAGTAAAAAATTACCATTTGAAACATAGGTCTAAACTCGGTATTCGAATCTGACCAATTACTTGGTACTCGCCATTTTGAAAACAGTGGCACTACTGACAATCTATGTAATATGAACCTGTGGATGCTTAACTTACAGGCAAATGGTGTATTCTACGTCTGATTGAGGTATCGAAAGTAGTCACCATATTAATAGACTTTTTTCTGAATGATTTTTTCAGTATACACCATTCAGCACATGACCCCAGCTTGATCCAAATACCAATCGCAAATACTGGATCTCTACCAGATCTGACAAATGTGGATTTCTCTTCGCCAATACACGCACCACTGGATCAGGATCATAGTAGTTCACCATACAGTTCTGTAAGTATTAATTACTTCTCGAAAACCAGTTTGCAATACTCAAAATGCAGAGGAAAGTGAAGTAATTTTTGAATTTCCGAAACTAAAATCAATGTTTCTTACTCATTTACAGTACTGTAGACGATGCTTATTTATTTAAGAATATCACGTTTTTTATTTGTGGTAAAAACGAACATTTACAACTCGGATCGTGTTCTGCAAGTTAGGGATTTCCTTTTCAGAAACAACTAAGCTGGAAATAACAAAGCTGATCTAGTAGTAGTAGTAGTAGTATAGATTTCTTCAGCTCTTGTGGCTACATAGAAACCCGTTTCGTACATTTATAGCATATACAAAAAATTGTCTTTCTATAAATACAAATTTAAGGAATATGGAATTCAGTGTCATACACTCATTTCATACATTTTTTAAAAACAAGTGTTACTCCCTCTTGAAACTTTTAAAAGATTTCTGACTTCGAATACTACTAGACAACTGGTTAATTTCTTGTATACCTCAATGGAAAACGGTTTTGAAACGTGTGAGATAATTACTAAAATTTAATTGAAAATCAGTTTCATATGAGTGTTACATGAGGTTAATGCTTTTTCTCATAGTAAACATCATTTTGTTACCAATTATATATTCTAAAAGATTGGATTTTTTCTCTCCTGTGTCGTACCATTCTCCCGTCGAATTGCGCAGGAAGGAATCGACAGCTGCCTTCAACTCTTTATCACTTAAGAACTTTCGTGTCCCCAAGTGTTGCAGGTTAGGGAACGAATAATAGTCACAGGGGGCCAAATCGGGGCTATATGAAGGATGGGCAATGATTTTCCACCTGAATTTGGCGACTCCGCCTTTTGTTTTGTATAGCTCGACGTATGTAGCTTTCTTAGCTTGCCGCGTTAGGCTGTTGTACCACTTTCCAGGAAGTCGACCCGCAGAACGCCTTTCTTGTTCCAGAATGCCAAAGTTATCACCTTTCCTGTTGACGGCGTTTTTTAGTCTCTGGCGTTTAGTAGTGGACCTAAGTTTCGTCCCCAGTTACAATTGAATCTAAAAATTCCTCACGCTTTTCGCGGTATCACTGTAGGAACTGGAGGGCACTTTCGATGCGCTTTTTTGTGTTCATTGGGGAGCATTCGAGGCATTCACCTGGCACACACATTGTGATACTGCAAAATATCTCTCAATATCTTATCAACGGTAGACGTCCCTTATCTGTTCGACAAACTCTCGCACCGGCGATCCGCAAGCAAAAGTTCCTCAGCTTTCCTCTCGGTCTCGTCCGAGACAAGCTGACTCCCGTGGCCGGCCCTGTCGTGCACGTTTGGTACGGCCTTCTGGGTATTCCCTAAACCACTTACGCACATTTTTTATGTCCATACACATCGGTCAACGCCGTCGATGCCGATATTACCATGGGTTATTTAAATATTGATGTTCAAAAAAGCTTTCGTACTTCATACAGCGGTTCCAACTACAAGGGTTCTAAAGAGGCAGATTCCAGAGATAACTATTCTATGTAATTTTAAATAATTCGCCAACTACATCAGTTTTCTGAACTTGTACCACTACAGCTACTCATAGTGTTGCTTTATATTTTAGACGAATTTTCACATTTAGATCAAGATCGAGAATCCCAGCAAGCCTCATGCGAATCGATACCGGTAATGCCTGGAGAGGTTGATCTTGGTGTTCCAGTTCGCCCATAAGACCTTTCACCCCCCTGGCCAATACTGAGCGTCGCATATATGTGTCGAACCGGTAGAATAATGGGGGAAGTAAAGATCGTGGTGTTGTTGTCTGAATTAAGTTAGCTCGCTCCGTAGCGACAGAAGCTCATTGGAAACTTTAATTTACAGACAACCCTCCTATAGTTTTTTTTTTCAATTCAACGATCCTGATCCTTATTTACGTTCTGATTTGTATCGGTTGGTCTTTAACGGCATATGGATGGTCATATCGGCTGAATCGTATATCCGCAATTTAGGCTGATATGCCATTTACATATCGATATCGTTCGATCCATACCACCCTGCCACTTGTTGCTCATAAAGTTATCCTCTTTTCGTTCAAAAGCACAATTTTGTTAACTTCCTCATTTTGCAACTATCGGGGCTGACTAGTCTTCCACTGAGTTCACCTTGACGTTTTTTCTAACGATCTGTCCTCGTCCTCGAGGCGAAGCATCTACAGCATCTTGAATGCGCTGTAAACTAACATCGTATCTTCGTTATTGTTTTTCAAATCCGATTTAGAAACAAACAGCTCGGCTACCTTCATAGGGTCGAAGACTGAGACACGTCGTATCTTTTCACTAGAGGCAGTTCCGCATTTGATAAATGGAAAATATGAGGTGTCGGTTACCTTGAGTGTTGCTACTTCAACAAAAAATTGCTTATTTTAGAAAGATCTAACGCCGTGCAAAGTTCTAACTCTAAGAACGCCCTGCATATATGCTAAGGCTTGGCTTCCACAGGTCAGCTTTGTAATAAGCTTAAACCTTATTTTTTCAGAGTCCTGTAAATAATAGTCCCTCAACGCTTTCCCCTACAAGTATCACTCAGGGGGTGAGAAATCAGGGGCAGTTTCATTTCACGCCAGTGTCTCAAGCACAACCTCACTCGGTATGAACACATTTCATGCATTTTTTATATTTTTGTCTTTAATTGTTCTAATACATGTTGTGTTATCGTATTATTTTATTTTATGTGCTAGTTTTATTTTTATTTTTGCATGGTTTTTGTGATATTTTGCAGAATCATTTGCCAGTCCCAAGTAGTAGATACCAACATCATCCGCCTTATAGAAAGGTTAGTATTTCTCTTTTTTGCTCTGTACCTACTGACTGAACATAGTAACTCCTTACAACATGTACATCTGTACAGAAAATTATGTAGCAGTTCTAAATTATAACGATCAAGCAGTGATCCAATGGAGCAAGTTCTCAATCAAGATAGCCAAGTTGATAGCGACATACAAGGTCTGTAAATTAAGTGACGAGACTGATTTTTTTTAACTTCTTTATTCAAATATAATTACAATTTTATATTGTTACCCTCAAAATAACTCATTCTGAAGCCACACAGCGCTGGAGACGGTTCCTCCACTCGCGCAGTGCTGAAACTCCGATACTGGAATAGCCTTCATCTGGTCCGTTTCAGCCGTTTGAATGTTTTCGACTGTCGCAAAATAAGTTCCCTTGAGGTGATTTTTCAACTTCGGGAAGATAAAAAAGTCACAAGGACTGAAGTCTGGAAATTAAGGAGGCTGACATTGCTGTGTGACAAGGAGCAGTATCGTCATGCAACACCCAGTTGCTCTTGATCTGATGAATGGTGGTGATCAAATTTAACTCTTCACCGATCATTCCGACTGTCACCCGACGATCTGAACGCACAAGATCCTGGATTCTGTCGACATTTTCATCGGTTCTCGAAGATGAAGACCTTCCGCTTCGTGGCTCATCTTCAATCGACTCTCTCGCTTCTGAAAATGCCTCAAACCACCGAAAAACCTCTTGACGACGCACACCGTTGCTTAAAATTGGATAGAATTAGAAAAATCTGCTTCATAAAAAAATTGCTACGGACAACCAAATGACTCGAGCGAGTTCAAACTTGTATTGAATGCGGATCACATGTTCCTCTGTCTCCCCTGAAGCCCGGCGCCTCCAGTGCTGCCAGATAGAACGCTACGTTGCCAGTCTCATCACTTAATTTACAGACCTCGTAGCATCTAAAATATAATTAGCTGTTATTTTTGTACTCAAGATCCTCAAAAGTGTATCTACTTTTGCTTCAGTGTCAAGGTGATTTGAGTTTAGTTCCAAGTTAGTTCCATTATAATGTTGTTCCATGATTTTATCCTATCATTTGCCCACTGATGTTTGTACTTCCCCTAGCTCTGTTATACCTTATAGTCTGATATACCGGGTGTTTCAAATTCCACTATCATCATTGGGATCTCGGAAACGGTAGGAGATACGAGCTATGTTAACTTTGGGAAAGTTGCAAATTTGTGTAACCCAGAAAATAGCCCGCAAAAACTCGAAATGCAACGTATTTCTGAAAATAACGGAAATACTCAAGATTTCCCAAAACTGTTTTTCATTTTTTCTAAGTTTATTTTAGAAGGATTTCAAAATAAATTATAATAAATAAATAATTGTCATAAATTGCAACAAATTGGAGAGGAACAAAGGTAGCAGTTTTTATGTGTATTTTGAAATCCCACATCAAATAATGTCAGGACAAAATCAAAGTGTCATTTTTGAGCCACCTAAATGCTCAACTTTGCTCCTATTTCACCGGCTTCATGTCTATTACCGTTTCCGAAATACCAATAGTGAGAGTCGAATTTGAAACATCTGATATTTGTTGAAAATATATGTTATGGTTTTTCTGTTATAAATGCATTGCATGTTGTATTTCAGAACATCCAAATGGATAAGAACATGGTAAATCTGGTGGACACAGATTTCTCACAAATTCAAGGATTCATATATCAGCAACAATGCTCACCAACATCTTCATCCCCCACAGTAAGTAACGTGTTTTGAAGTAAAATATACATACTGTATATTTCTACAGGAACACTGGCGTTTATAACAAAAAAAATTGAATAGCTAATAATTGTTGTATTCGGGATTATATTTCTGGCCAAAGGATGAAATATTCCATGAAATATGCTTTACTGAAGAAAAAATAGCCAAAAGATATTCTCAGAATATTGCTAAACTTCTTCAAATTCACACCAAGACCAAGTCTCATACGACCTCTCAGGAATGTACAAATTCATTTGAAGTTACTATTCTATTGAAGATTTCTAATACAAGGTTTTCCACACAATATGTATTTTGCACCCAGAAAAATCTCAGAATAGTGGTATAAAATAATGTTGAATTTTTTAAATAGAACACATATTTCAGTGAAAATGATAGTTGCTTTTATCTCATTCCAAATATTTATGGTTTATCATACCTATTTTCATTCTTGCTTCATATGGAAGAGAAAAAAAGGAATTTTTGGTTAATCGAAAAGTCTAACCTCAAGAATTTTTGGAATCACTTAAGGAATTTCCGAGCTTACCAACAAAGAAAACAGAAATTCCTTCTAACTTGCTCAAGGCTGACGGGGTTAACAATTGTTTTTTATCGAATTTGGTATTCCCCAATTTTAATTCCCGTCTTATAAATTACACGGTAGATCAATATAGCAAAAGTTCTTTTAACTCGGACATTCTACCCCTTCACTTCAACTTAGTTACTCCAGAAGATGTCTTAGATATCATTATTTTAATTTAATTTTGAGCAACTAGATGTGATGGAATCAACACAGAAATGATTGAGTATTCGTGAAGTGTTAAATCATCTAACCCATATCATCAATGTTTGTTTGGAAAGAGGAAGCTTCCCAAGTTTGTGGAATGAGGCCGTTATAACTGATGTAACAAGGAATAACAACCCAACAGAATACACAGATTTGAGGAAAATTGGTATATCCTGTACCTGATCAAAAATATTAAAAAACATTGGTTATCAGCAATTTGTCCAATATTTTGAAAAGTACAATATATGCCTGGTTTCCGTAACGGTCGCAACACTACTTGGGCATTAGTGCACGTAACTGATGAAATTATTTGTAATTTCGATAATCTATTTATGCTGTGCTAGTGCTGTTGGATTTTTGTAAAGCATTTGATACTATGTCATTCTTCTATCCAGATTAAAATACTACGGACCTCTGATGTTCCTCTTCGTCTTTTTAAATCTTATTTGGACAGTCGCAAGCAACGAGTAAGAAGGAGTGTCTGCTAGTGCTTATGTTGCTCCGCTGTTCCACAAGGAACCGCACTTGGTTCCTTGTTGTACTTAATATATACTTTCGACTTGCATTCTGTTTTAGAGCACTGTTGTATATTGACGTACTGGACGATACCCAACTGACTTTCACTTTTTACCCAAGTAACTTTGATTAAGCATCGTATAAGAGTAATTTACACCTGGTTAATATAAGTAACTATTGCAAGGTTAACTGTTTGAAGCTTAATCCTACCAAGAGTTTTGCAATGTTATCCTGTATTAAAACCAATTATGAACGTTTTGAAATGACGCTTGCTTTTAGAGTAAATAACGTCCATATTCCACTGGTCACAAATGCAAAAAGTTGTCACTTTAGACACAAATTTTAGATTTCATCACCACGTTAGTAATATGAAAGCTACATATGCAAGCTCAATGATCCTATATTAAAAACGGCCTATCCTCAATTTCGAGGCAGAAAGAAATTACTAGAGAATTTGGATATGTCTAAGCTGTTTCATCCTACTTTATCCTTGCCTCGACGACTCCATAACAAAAACCAGATTGCAGAAAATTAAAAACTGTTGCTGTGGTTTTGTTTTCGGTTTTCGTACAGCCGTGCTACATCTAAGATTTGTGAGTTTGGATGGCTGAAGCTCAAAAAGCTTTTTGAGTATATAATTTTAGTTTTTATCCATAAATTAATCATCACCAAGAGAACTGGCAAGTAAGTTAGTTTAAGTACAATGCCATTCAGTTATATTTACAATTTACTCGGTACGTCTAACAAACAAGAAAGTTAACCTGCCTTTAAAAAATCAGTTAGAAAACTGCTGTTAAAGATGCGAACATCACTCAATGCTTGAGTTATTGTTTTGTTCTTTAACTCTTATTCATTCGTTTATGTTTCTAATATTACTCTTTTTTCCTGGCTTGCTATGCGTGTAAATAGTATAATTTCATAACTGTCCTCTAATTGTTTTATGTTGCCTGTTTAAACTTGTTATGTTTCGTCCGTGGTTAAGAGGAAGTGTGTAAACTTTGCCATTATGTGGAAGTCGCTTAACTATTATTTTAATTAAAAAAATACAGAATATACAATTAAAAATGAAACTTTAATTGATCGCACTTTTATGAGACTTTGCTATACAATATTTTTTCTAACATTTAGCTTTTCTGTTGTACAGTTACACCACCAGCACCAACATCAACAACAGCAAAGCCCGACGTCGACGGGTGCGTACCGCAGCCCTCGGCCCAGCCCTCAGAACTCACCCTCCCCAGGCGGGGGGCGCTCTCCAGGGCCGTGCAGTCCAGGGGGAGGGTCCGCATCGCCCCTCCCCACCACCGCGGATTACCATGCGTTGAGTCAGCAGGCGGCGCAATTTCAGCAGCACTTCGAGCAGTTGAGCATGGTAAGTACGACATTTGATGTGGTATGGTGAAGGATCCGATGGCGTAATTACACAGGTGGACCCGTATTCTTGTTCTTTTGCTTGAAAGCGATACGTTTTCAAAACGCTTAGCGAATCATGCCGTATACAAAAGCGTTTGGTTCAGGTATGCGCAGCTTAAGTTCAATCCGCCTAGCACATATTTGCAAGGCTGCTGTTTCCAATGTTACTAAGATACTATCGGTAGAGAAAGATGGCTGATAGAGTTACAGTACAGCTTCGATAACATTCAGCTATGAACCTCTGCTGTCAGTGTCAAAAACGGCCGCGATTTCGGCGGACAAAATCGCATGTGGAACGAAACACAACATGCCCAAAAGCGAGATTGTACAGGTCCGTATTTTCCTCAATGGTCTTTGAATAATCTAACAAAATAAATGATTATTTTTATACAAAAAAATGCACATACTTTTTACAATTATTTATCTGCTGGAAGTACTTGAGTCATCATATTAATTATACAAGTTGAATTTGAATATCGATCATATTGTCCAGATCCCACATCTTTGTTTCGATTGTTTCTTGAACGTGACGGATGCAATCATTCCAATGGTTTGCCGTCACTCTGTTGACAGCTTCATAAAACAAATTTTTCACGTCAGAAAATTTGCATGTTCGATTGTTTGAAGCCACATAGTTTTTTATATTTGCCCAAATAATTTGTGATAAGGGGGTAGCCTTAAAACGGTCTTATTTTGTTTGAGTAAACTATAGAATGTGGCCCTTTTGAACGTTGGTAAGGCTTCATCACTATTAACTTTCTGTAATACTCGTACTTTGGCTATGGTGGGAAGCTCCTGCCTTTCAAAAAATTGATGGACTTTGCGTCTTATGGCATTACGATCAAAGTTACCAACTGTATCCAATAGCTTCGTGTAATGCTGCCTCTTGTGTGGTGGAAACAATATTTTTTTTATATTCTTTAACAATGTTGAAAATTGTCTTAAGACATAAGCCCGTAGGTAGCAGCATTAAAGCTGAGGAGATGTCAGCAGTGACATGTTCGATTGCGGTATTTTAACAGTGTTTGCATTGAAAATCGAATAGATTGAGAATAAGTTAATATTTTTCTGTTTATTATAATTACTTCCATCATTACACTATTTTAAAACGTTTCCATAAATAAATAGTCAGCGACGAAGTATTGAACTTTGTCGCTTTTTTTTGGACAAATATTTATTGGTTGCAAATAATATCTGCGGCTGCTGCTGAGCACTAAAACCTGTCTCATCATTGTATTGGGGAAATTTACATTCGACTTTCTCCGCCGAAATGGAGGCCGTTTGTGACACTGACAGGAGCGTTTCATAGCTGATTGTTATCTAAGCTGTGGTGACAGTATGATTTCTGCCTACGTCAAGTTGGTAGCTTCCACTAGGAAAGAAATGCAAATTAGTAGTCGTTTTGAAGTCGACAAGCGATTTTCAAAAACACTAATCGCAATCGCAAGTTAGCTGAGGTGGGTAACTATTCCTTGGAAGTTGACTATACATTGTCGGAAAATTCGTTTTTCACGTTCTGGTTAACCAACCCGTAATCCTCTACTACTGTTCTGTGCGTTTCTTGGTGCTCGATATTCATGTCTCGTGTCATCCGTGATAATGCATGTCACTGTCAAGCAAAATTGCTATAGTTTAGGGCAAATCTGCAGTTTTTGAAAAACTGGACCTAAACGTGAGACAAACGGGAATACCTTTTTTTGATAAGCGCATCGCAAGCAAGAGCAAATCACGTTATATTCGCTGAGCGACTTGAAGAGCTTTGAGTTTTGAAGAACCAGAATACCGGCCCTGTTGGGGTGAGTTTGAAAGTCATCACAGACCCAAATATCAAGGTATATTTCATTTCGTAAATTTTTTGGAGGATATTATTGGATATCTGAGCATTATAGAGAGCTGTGAATACAGTGGTCGATATGAGATATGGAAGAGGATAATGTGGAATTCCCCTTTTACTTCCTACGCCACTTATTTTCGTCGGTCTGTCTGTCCGGTAATTCTTGGCCCGTCTATAACTTGGAAAATACCGCTCGGATTTTGAAATTTTCAAAAAGGTTTCTATTATGCCTAGGGCGAAAAAACTTCGTTTTTTGAGGTAGTATATTTATAGTAGTCATTTATTTTAACAGTGAGTAGATCTGATCAAAAGAAATGTTTTTTTCCTTTAACATTTTTCTGGTAAAATTTGGTAAAATTAAAGTAACAAAGTTATAGCCCTTTAGAAGTTTGAGTACCGCCCTGTCTCAATAACAATATTATGTGCTCGTGTTTGGCAACAACGGATATAATCCGCCTTATCGGTTCATCGCATCGGAAACAAAAAAGCGAAAGAATTTGAAACGCTTATCACGATGTTTTTACTACAATTTTATTCACTTGTATTCAGTCAATGTGTCAGTCGGTAATGCGTGAGTGAATAGTGGTGTTTGTTGCGTGGCTCAAACGAAATAAAAAATGGCACATGTTTACGAAAATGCTGAACTTGTGGACATGATTCTTATTTACGGGGGGGGAGTCTTCACAAATGCTGCCGCGGCATCACGGATTTATGCGGATCGGTTTCCCAATCGAGAGCAACCAACCCCTCGTGCTTTTGTTAATATAGTACAAAGGGCTCGTGAATCAGGTGACTTAAGACCTCACAGGGGAGCGCATGCCGGTGCTCCAAGACCGCACGATCAAATACAGGTCCGCACTGAAATACTTGTCGGGAGGATACTTTATAAAACAAGGTAACATTTTTTTTAATTTTTTTTTATTTATCTGAAAATTAATGACTCAACTTCAAAGTCACCCTGTATATACATATATCCTTTAATTTCTTTGGGTAGAAGGCAAAGTATTGCAAAAGTAGACTCTTATAACTTAAACTCTCAAGCTTTCAAAGATCTATGTCGTCATGGTCTGGAGTAAGTCGGCGAGATTGTTGCTGAAATCGTTTTTAAAACAACAGTGAAGGGAACACATAGTCGACGAATAAAAAACTGGACTGATGAGGTTCGATTAGGACGGAATTATTTTATTGTTAAATGGCAAATCATTTTGAAAGGTTTTTTTAGAAAAATAAGCGTTGATTGATTTTGGAAGAAATGTGGAGATTTTAAAACTATCACCTATTAAAAATTCCCCCGAGATTTCATCTTTTTTTCACTGATAACCTCCACATTATCCAACACGTGCCGGCCGACTGACCTTGGACTTGGATAATGTGGAGGTTATCAGTGAAAAAAAGATGAAATCTCGGGGGAATTTTCAATAGTTGGTAGTTTTAAAATCTCCAAATTTCTTACAAAATCAATCAACGCTTATATTAAAAAAAACCTTTCAAAATGATTTGCCATTTAGTAATAAAAAATTCCGTCCTAATCGAACCTCATCAGTCCAGTTTTTTATTCGTCGACTATTCCCTTCCCTGTTGTTTTAAAAACAATTTCAGCAACAATCTCGCTGACTTACTCCAGACGATGAAGACATGGATCTTCGAAAGCTTGAGACTTTAAGTTATAAGAGTGTACCTTTGCAATTCTTTGCCTTCTACCCAAAGAAATTAAAGGATATCTTCTCCTAACAGTTAAGGCAATTAACTATGAATACTATATATTATATATATATACTTTTGATTTCGGTATTTGCATACAGGGTGGCCCAACGAAAAGTTCGCACCCCCATTTGTGACTCTGATGGTGTATTTGGGGAATAACGCTCGGACCCGTCAATTTTGATTTCTAGGGGTCTTTTCATCTATAGCCGTACAATACAGGGTGATCCAAAAATAAGATATTACGTTACACCTTAGATTTTTAAATGGGAACAGCCATTTTTATATTTTCCATAAAGTTTTTAGTAACTTTGCTTTAATAAAGTTTATACCTATCTTCAATCGTTGTGACGCTATTTGAGTTTACAATAAAATTCTAGAAATTGTGATAAGGGATTATGTCGTAAACATAATAATTAATATAGTTCCCATAGTAACAAGAATTTACTTTAAAATTAAAAGCAAGTCTCCGAGTATTAAAAAACAATAAACAACTTACAGTTTACACTCACATTTAAAGTAAAAATGAATTTGCTATAAAGAGGTAGGTCAATGTGGTAATAAGTGCTGAAGTCCATTACCTCCATGCAGTAATAAAGGTGTTGTTCGAATCTATTCCTCACGTTTTCAAGCATGTCTTATTTGTCCACATTCAGCCGTACTACTCTGACGCAGATCTTGAATGGAATCTGGCTTCATACTAACAACTTTACGTTCCTAATGCCCCGAAAGAAAGTAATCTAAAGGACTTAGGTCCGGAGATCTCGGCGGCCACTCGATGGGGCCTCGTCTGCCGATCTCTGATTCGGGAAATGGGTGTCCAAAAACTGTCGTATTGAAGTCACATAGTGCGTCGGTGCACCATCTTGTTGGAAATGAATGTAATTTTCGTTATAATTAACGTCATTTTCTATTATTTCGGTAATCCGTAGCTTTATTGTATTTTCTAACATGTCCATGTACGTCTCGCCCGTAAAGTTTCCAGGAATAAAGAAAGATCCTACAATATGATTTCCGAAAATGCCGGCCCACACATTTATTTGTTTAGGACATTGCGAGTGTGCCTCTAGAAACAGATGTGAATTCGTGACCTTCCAATATCGACAATATATCTATTTACAACGCCATGTAAGTAGAACGTATACTCATCCGAGGAACCAATATTAAATAACAGATTTGCATTCTTGATTAAACGTTGGGACATTAATTCGCAAAAGTCCCATATTCTATCAAAATCGTCTTCATTAAGCTCATGAAAAGTTTTATCTTGTATGGGTGAAATTTATTGTCTTTCAAAATTCTTTGTACTATTGAGCGTGTAAATCCCTTTGGGTGTTGTCAAGTGCTACATTTCCTATATTTCTGCGACTTCATTTCTGACTGGTCGATTTTCTCGATGACGATTACGGCGAATATTAGACACA